GTTTCCTTGTCTTAAATTGCTGTCTCTGAGGCCTGACATTTGTCTTTGCCGGTCTAGAGCTTTTGCTTCTGGCTCAAGCTTCCTTTGAGCTTTCCAAATCCTCTCCTCAGCATGTCAGCTGTGAATGCTTGGGTGATTAATGATTGGAATTGAGACTGCTGGATCACATAGTCTTTCCCCCCGATTTCCCTTCCTCTGAATAATAGCTTTGCAGGCCTGTCATTATTTGCAAGGGGGCAGGACATCTGTGGTTTGGAAGCCACTGAGGTTACTAACACAGAGAGAGGAAGAGCCCTTCCCCGTATATTCCAGGTTGCCAGATAAACTCCTCCTCCTCCTCAGGATGGAGCAAAAGCATTTAAAGTGATGGAGGAGAGAAAACATCAATAGTATTATGGAAGGTAAAGGTGGGTGGGTGAAAACACTTGAAACACCAGGGAAATCCTCAAAGCTAATACAGTGGTACCTCAGGTTACATACGCTTCAGGTTACAGACTCCGCTAACCCAGAAATAGTGCTTCGGGTTAAGAACTTTGCTTCAGGATGAGAACAGAAATCGTGCTCCAGCGGCACGATGGCAGCAGGAAGCCCCATTAGCTAAAGTGGTGCATCAGGTTAAGAACAGTTTCAGGTTAAGAACGGACCTCCAGAACGAATTAAGTACTTAACCCAAGGTACTACTGTATAAATTTTCTTGAAATTCAGTCATCACAGAGCTGGTCCCAGCGTAACATTTTGCCGAAGATCATTCAGAACGGTGTCTGCCAAGCAGTTACACATGCAAATCATTACATTAGAACTGAATATGCATTTGGGGGAGGCGGAATATCTGTGAAAAGGACGCTAGATTTCTGCCAGCTCGCCTGATTGCAGATTTTGCCTAAAAATGCAGATGATTGTTTCTGTCATATTTTTGTATGGGGATCTTTTGCGAAAGAGCATTTCTGTGGCTCATCACAGAATGTGTGCTCAGGAATCCCCGCATCCAGTCAAGTTCATGAAATCCAATTGCAGGTTTCTCTAACTTGTTCTAATTTCCACCCAGCCTGGACTTCCCCACACCTCCAACTCTCCCTGCTTTGTTTCTTCTGCTATAAATATGGGCACAGGCACAGCTGCTACCGTACCACCTGCCAGACTTGCATGCATATTGAATTAGTGTTCCGGAATAGCTGGTGGAGTGTTGGTTGCTCCTGAAGGTGCATGTACTCCCACTGTATGATGTTGCTTGCGAGTTCATTAATCGGGCTTTATTGATTGTATATTAGAGCTTAGTAAAAAACCAGCTGGGTCTCAAGCAATTGTTGATGCAGAAAGGCATCAGTGCAGCAGAAGCAGGCTGCTCAAAAGAAGAAGAAAACTGGGATTTGGAGTATACGGTCTGCAGGGTGGATTTGATATAAATCAGATCAATTTAAATCATGATTTAAATCACTAGTCAGTAAGACTTGATTTAAATCTTCTTTTTTACAGAAAGACTCATTCTTGCTGGTATAGTCTTAATATTTACAACCAGATGAAGCTTTCATTTTTGGAATAATAAATTTTCAGAGTAGTTTTTACACTTATATCAAAAATTACTGATTTGATTATACTATTAGAAATACATGGACAGATAATTATGAAATTATTGTGAGGTTTAATAAGTTAACTCTTTATATTTGGACAACTTTCCTTCTGTACTTTATTGGAAGGAGAAAAATAATCATTTCCTTAATAACAATTTAAATCATTTGTTTAACTAAATCAATAACATTATAGCATATGTATCCATGTTTGTTAACTGATGTGGTTAGACAATAATAAAAAACAAACTTAGAGTGTGTTTTAGCACACATGAAAAACTTAAAACAAATCCTTATTTCCTGATGAATAGCTTTTGAAATATAATGTAATTTAAATAGAAAACTATCCTTAGAAAGATTTTTCCTCCAAAAGCAAAAAATCCGATTTAAATCAAAAAAATCTGATTTAATTTTTTTTTAATCCATTTTTTTAAACTAATTGATTTTTATCCACCCTGGCAGTCTGCAAGAAGACCAGGTTTGATCATGCATGAGTGTATGATTTTTGGCATCCACAAGTCTTGCATTACATACTACTACTTTTGGAAGCTGAGAACATGATTGAGAAATGCTTGCGTTAATAAACGAACAGAAACACTAGTGCTGTCGTACATAATCCATGTAGGGCAGCCAACCGGTAGCTCAGTGAACATCCTGCGTTGGCTGCCTGCATTGGGTTCTTGCATTGGTTCGGTGCAACCAAGTATGGCAAGTTTGAGGAAAGCAACATAGCTTGAGTTGGCTTGGCTGCCACTGATCACCATGTGAGATGTGCCGACCAAGTGTGGGCTCCAACACTCTCCCATGTCTGGACTTGAATCGAATCAGCACTGAGAAAATAGCATTACTGGGTAGTACTTTTTCATGAATGATCAGATCATTCTGTGTACCATCTCTTGTTAGTTCTTGAAACATACGTTTAAGATAGGCCAGTGTGATTATCCGTAGATTACAGCTGGAAGTTAAGCTGAGAAAGCTGGCTTGCCTTAAAACTACCGTATTTTTTGCTCCGTAAGACGCACCTAGTTTTTAGAGGAGGAAAACAAGAAAAAAAATATTCTGAACAAAACAGTGGATGTATGATTTTTGTGGTTCATGCTGTGACCACAGACATGTGATTTGACGGTGAGTTTGGGGTAGCCCAATGCAAAAATCCTGAGGATCCATGTGGATCCGTGCTTTGTAACCACGTTTTTACACCATTGTGGCCCCACGCAACAGTGGATGCATGATTTTTTGGGTGCAGGCTGTAGCCATGGGCATGCTATGTGATCTGATGGTGAGTTTGGGGTAGCCCAATGCAAAAATCCTGAGGATCCATGTAGATCCGTGCTTTGTAACCACGTTTTTACACCATTGTGGCCCCACGCAACAGTGGATGCATGATTTTTTGGGTGCAGGCTGTAGCCATGGACATGCTATGTGATCTGATGGTGAATTTTGTATTTTGTATACACACTGCTAAGGTGGTAGTAAACGAGAGAGCCACGTATTCTCATAAGCAACGCTAGCTGTCATTTGAGCAACACAACTGGTTTTTAGAAACGTAGGTCATTTGCTGCTCTCTGAGTTAAAGTCAAAGCATGGCATACATGTTGGCCTTATTAGGGCAACACATTAAGCACAAATGTTGATTCCTGGGCTCCTGGAGGGGAGCTTGGCGTGTGCTTTGCTTCTCCCCAGTCCTTTTTGCTACTGCACTGTGCTGCACTGAGCTCTAAACCGAGGTTAAGAGATGGCCTCACTAACCACAAGCTGTAACCTTTGTTCTTGGTTACCGTTTAGGGTTAATGAGGAGAGACTTTAACCGCAAACCCCAATTCAGAGTGTACACTAAGCCAAACCATGGCTTAGCTTCGTGTGGCAGGGAAGAGCAAGGCAGCTACAAGTTCCTCTCCCAAGAGCCCATATGTACCCTTGTGCAAAGCCAAAGTTTGGTTTAGTGTGTTGTGTGAACCAGGCCATTGCAATGTCAATGTTTTCTGCTGTGCCTGTGAATACTTTCTTTATCCTGAGCAAACCATTTTGTATTACTGGCTTTTTGGACGGATGAAGTATGTAGCAAAACCTGTAATATATCCAGAGAACAGGTCTCCTTTTGCCCACTTGCGTTATTCTCACCAGGGTGGTGGCTTTGATTTGCCTTCCCGTGATTGATCTGATCCATGCGTATGGCTTTGTGTTTCCAACTCAAGATCCATTGAAGAACAGCTCATCCAGTTCAATCTTTGAAAAAGCTTTGAAAAACTTTTTCATATTCTCCAGTGTGCTACCCTTGCCGTTGTGGCGGCACGAGGTTGCCGTTCTGTGATTGGACTTATGCTACTTGCTGAACGGTTCATTTATCCAGTCTGTATAACATTTACTGCACATGTAACTTGTTAAGATAGAGTTCTACATCTATCCACTCCATGTTTACAGTATCTCCAGGCTTTGTCTTGAACATGGCACCTTAGTATATTTGTTGTTTGAATGGTTACAAGTCTATCTCTATTCTAGCTATTATTCTAGTAAATTTGGTTTTATACTTATAAGCCAGTTTGTGGTGTTGTTGTTTTGTTGTAATGTTTCCTGCCCACCAGGAAGTGCAGAAAAATTGACTGTGAATTGTGGTTTGCAGGGGCAAGGGATGTGGGCTGCGGCTTAAGTTGAATAATTTGTGCTTTAATCATTTGGGTTTTTGTTTGTTGGTTTTTGTTGCTATTTGTAAGCCACTTCGAACAACTCTTGGTGTAGAAGGGGAAGGTGGGGGGGGGAGGTTGTACACTTTGTGGGGAGGGGGGACAAGCAAAATAAATAAATTGCAGAACTGCGGATTATAAGAAACATAGCTGCTGTTGAAAATGTCAGTGCTATGCCAAACCCCCTCCCCATTCCTACCAGAACCATTTCCACACAATAACCAGCCACACTTTCTTCGCCACTGCTGATTAATTTTGGCAGTAGCAATTAGACGCAAGAATTTAAACCCACCATATGATAAGTTGAAGCCTTAATTATTATATAACCAAGCATACTCCTGATGAGGGACACTGATGGGCAGTATAACTTATTTATTATAATTTATTTTTAAGCCTGTTATTTTTGAGAAGGGATTTAAACTCTTAATGCTCGCATTCTGAAGTATTCAAAGCACATCATCTGCAAAAAGATTTGATTTGTGCTTCGTTCCTTCAACCATGATACCCTCAATACCGCTTTGCAATCTCAAATTTATTGCTAGAACCTCTATTGCTACCACAAAAAAGTAGTAGCAATAAAGGGCAGCTCTGTTTAGTTCCTCTTATTAATAACAAAGCCAACTGAACCTTCTCCGTTGATTGTGATGTTTTTGCCAAACATCTTAATTCCTTAGCAAGATTATACGGGAACAGATCTTATTTTTAGCTAGAAGTAATATATTTCATATGTTTCTTTCTCAGGTATCACACAGAAATGGCTGTTTGGATTTGGACCTTGAGCATTCTGAGCTTCTCTTGTGTGACCTGTGCATTGAGGCCTAAGAAATGGGATTCGTTTCTGACCAACACAGAACTGAACCACCTGACGGTGAACCACAAAACGGGGACAGTCTATTTAGGAGCAGTTAATGCCCTTCATCAGCTTACGAGCGACTTGAAACCCTATCCGTCTGTGGGTGAGGTATCCACTGGGCCACAACTTGATAACAAAATGTGCACACCTCCCATTGATGCAAACCAGTGTACCGAAGCAAAAGATACTGACAATTACAATAAGATATTTTTGCTGGACACACAAGAGGGACAAATTGTGGTTTGCGGGAGCCTGTTTAAGGGCATCTGTTGCATAAGAGAGCTCGAGAACATTTCAAAGATAGTTTACTATGAGAACGGCAGCGGGGAGAAATCGTTTGTTGCAAGCAACGACGAGGAGGTAGCCACAGTGGGGCTGATCACCTCTTTGAAAAAAGGCCGAATGATGTTTGTGGGAAAGGGAAATGGACCAAGTGACAATGGGATAATAATCAGCACTCGGCAACTTTTCGACGGGGATGGGAAAGACATTTTTGAACTGTATGCAGAGCCTGCTGTGATCAAATCGACGTACCCTTCCTCAAGCACGCAGCAGTTTCTGTACATCTTTGAAGACAGCAAATATGTGTATTTTATTTTCAATCAGTATGAAAAGCAGCCCCTTAAAAACCGGACAGTAATTGGGCGGCTCTGCAAGGAAGATGAACAGTACCATTCCTACTTTGAAATGGACTTGGAATGTAAAGATGCCAGTGGTCCTTACAACCAATGTAATGCTGTCTATGCCTCTGTGCCTGGGCAGGATCCAGCACCATCGGAGCAAGAGGATGGTGCCTCGTCGGAGGACAAAATGCTAATTGCACTTTTCAAGAGGATCAACAAAGACAATAACTCTGTGGAATCTGCCATGTGTGTGTTTTCCTTGGAGAAGATCAACCAAAAAATGGAGGAAAAACGGGAGCAATGCTATATGAAGGATAAACGGAACGTGTTTTACAAACCTTTCCGAACAGAAACCGCTCCGTGCACTTCTCAGTCTCACCCGGTAATATGAAAGCTTTAAAATATTTTTTATTTATTTTTTATTTCTTTATTTGAAAAGGGAGAGACAGAAAGGTTCAAAACCCTGTGTTTTAGAAACACATTTTAAATCTGTGAAGCAAAAGTGTGAGGCCTGGGAGCTGGAATCTAAAATGTTTCAGCACAGGTCTTTTTGGCTCCAGACATTTTTTTGCATAACATGTGAAATCTTTTTTCTTCTTCCCTGTCAATGTTATAGCACTGTTTTATACTAAATTGTACTTAGTCAGGTTAATATTCAACTGACAAAAATAGTTATGCACCTAGTGTTCACTTTTGGAAGCAAAGTGTAAATTTGACCATTCGGGTGTTTTAAGTGGGCTTAATCCAGTCAAAAGGTGCCAATGTCTCAGTGAGACAGATTTAGCATTTGCTTTGTATGTCCTACATTGAGATAAGTCCAGTTTTAAATTGCTTCATTTGAACTGGGTGATGCCCTTTTCCCTTCCCCCTCATCACTATCATTCATAGCAGAAACCAGCACCAGAATTTTGCACTATGGACCCCACTGAACAGGCCTTCATTGATGCAGTTTGGGGGCACAGAGTTGGTTTTCTATCTTTATGGTGGCATTTGTTATCAGTTTGTCTTCTAATCCTTTTGAAAAAGCTAAAATTGAGATATAAGTTTTTCTCATTCTTAGAGACAATAATGTGAGGAGAACAACATTAAGTGTCAGTGTAATTATGACAAGCTTATATCTATAACTTTTTGATCAATCAATCTCCTTTATTGGCATAAAAAGTGCATCATATACATGGATCATAGTAGGAGATACTTTAGGATAAAACTGTCCAGGCATCATGAGGTACGAAGATGGCTCTCAGGACCTATGGTGACGTAATTTCATAGAGTCACTCAGAAATCTTGCCGCATTCTCCACAACATCATTACAGTGGTACCTCGGTTTAAGAACAGTCCATTTTAAGAACGATATGGTTTACCAACTCCGCAAAACCAGAAACCATGTCTTGGTTTGAGAACTTTACCTTGGTCTAAGAACAGAATCTGAATGGTGGAAGGGCACTGGTGGCGAGAGGCCTCATTAGGGAAAGCACACCTTGGTTTAAGAACGGTTTTGGTTTAAGAACGGACTTCCAGAACGGATTAAGTTTGAAAACCAAGGTACCACTGTACTAGCTTTTATAGCTTGTATCTGAAACTCAGCGAAATTATGGATGACTCTTAAAAAAAAGAAAATAAAACGCTTCCTATCATGTACATTAGTGTCCTTTACATCCAGAAATTCCCCTTAGATTGAGTGTGGCCAGATTTTAATATTTTCTACCTTGTATTTCTTTTAAAAAATAAAAAGCTATAAAATGATTTCCCTCATTCTAAAAGGGGGAAATATTACACAGTATCCCCCAAATATTCCATTTTTCAATTTGGAAAACTTTGGGGGGGGGGAATCTTCCATAGAGAAAATAAAAAAGGATTTCCAATGGGGCGGTTTTCTGTGCCTTCCTATCCCTAAGACCAACTGCAGTGCCTCCCAGCCTAAGCATCGGCCATGATCCCTTTATACAGCCTCTTCAAGGGAGGGCTTTCCTACTAACTAAGGACCCTCACATCCAAACATCTTCATATGGATGCCCTGCTTAAGATATGCAGAGAGGAGTTTCCACATCACAACATGCATCAGTTTGAATTTGGATGCCACCCATACCATATATCCAGCCCACAGAATCTTTGTCCAGGGGATATCTGAGATATTTCTGCAACCACCTTAGGTCAGGGTTGGATCATAAGCCACCTGAGGTCTCATCCCCCACCTGTGGGACCTTCAACTAGCAAGGATGGGGGAGATCTGCACCAGCAGTGATATAAGCTGAGCAGAGAGGTGTCTCCATCCAGTCAGACCCCCTCTACACATAGTGTGGCATAAAAGAGGGGGGTGGGTTGGATTTCATCCCTAGTTTCAAAGTTCAGAGTTTATCACCAGTCTGATTGTTGTGTTTCTGTTTCTTGCTTCATTTCTTAGAATTCAAGCCAAGCCTTTCCATGTGGTTCTGAACATTTACCATACCCTCTGGGAAGCAGAGAGGGAATTACTACAGAACCTTTATTGAAGAAGAAGGGTATAGACTTAACTGCAGTGACCTTTGCCGTAGAGAACACGCATACAGTAGCATTTGTTGGGACATCGGACGGCAGAATCCTGAAGGTAACCTCAATGTCTTAAATACTTTCTTGTTGTTGTTGTTGTTGTTTAAAAAAGAAGCGTGGCCTGTTTTTGCAATATAAGAAAGCTATGGCCAGAATGAATCTGCCATAGATAAAAGGTTTATCCGGTAATTTGCTTGACTTTTAAACGGAACAAACTTTCCGTAAAGTATTTCATGAAGTAAATTCAATAAGCATATTCAAACAATTTGTTTATATGTATTGTGGCAATAGTGACGTATTGAACCCCAGAATTAAAAGTAATCATAAAAAATAACCATTCCTGAACACCATGAAATCAAAATATGTGAACATATTTCAGCCCAAAATCAATAAAATCATGTTCAAATACAGTGGTACCTCAGTTTACGAACTAAATCTGTTCCTGAAGTCCTTTCTTAAACCAAATCTGTTCTTAAACCGAGGTGCGCTTTCCCTAATGAGGCCTTCACTACGGGTGCCCTTCCACCGTTCGGTTTCTGTTTGTAGACCGAGGTAAAGTTCGCAAACCGGAACACTACTTCCAGTTTTGCGGAGTTCATAAACCGAATTTTGCGGAGTTCATAAACCGTAAGCAGGACTGTTCTTAAACCGAGGTACCACTGTATGTCCTTCTCAAAGCTGTACCTGTGTGTGCATTAAAATTCAAATAAACATAAACCCATTAGCCTGGCAGAAACCTGGAACGCCTCCCATTTGTTGCAGTTGTTATTTAGTAGAGTTAGGGCAACCAAAGTCTTCATTTAATCAAAGCCTGATAGAGTTCTGCCTCATACTAATGTATCTTTTTTGTCCCATTCCCAACAGATAACTATAGCCATTGACGATGAGCTATATTACTGCTCTTCCTTGTCTCCTTGTATGACCAGTTCACTGCTGTGTTTGAAATGGGAAAGCTATGGTTTGTGCAAACTGCATTTGGCCTACGGACTAAAACTGGGAACCCACTTTGAATGATGCTTCCAGTTACAACTTGTAGGCAAATGATTTGTGCATACCAGAGCTTGATAGAACAGCAAACTCTACTAGCCTGCCAGGAGCAAGGAAGTCAAGGAGCATATTGAAGCACTTCCAAGAAACGGAGCTCATGAGCAGAACGCTCAGACCCAATGGCAAAGCAGGTTAATTTCATTAAGCAAATGAAAAAGTAAGAGGGGTTAGAATATGACCAGGCTAACAGCAAGGTCTCTTGAGTATAAACCCTTAATAGATATCGCTAATACAGAATAAGGATCAGAAATTATGAATTAATATATTGAGTGTAATTTTGAAACTTGTTTGACTCTTGTGGGCCCTTCCAGCTGTACAGTTGTATGATTCTATGATCTCAATCATAACACATGAAAGAAAATTGGCAAAGAGCTTTGCCCAGATAGAAACTGATAATTTTGCCAGAATAGAGCAAGATTTTGAAAAGGCAATGATGTTTTAGAAGAGCAGTTCTCCTTTCTTGCAGCTCAACAATTATTTCTTGGGGTGGTTTTGTTTTAAAATGAAAATGTCTAAATGTGTTTCAACTTAAATACTTTTTTATTTACTGAAATAGCTAAGATAATGTAGTTAATCTGTATTCCAGGTGTTTTTGTCGAATCCTGAAAAGGAATATGCTGGAGTCCTTGTTGAAAAAAACAAGCCTATCCAGAAAGATCTCGCCCTAGATGCTCTCCAAGAGAACTTGTATGTGATGACTGCAAAAGAGGTACAAAATGCTTGGAAACAACAATGAAACTTTAAATATCATGTTCAATTTGAACATGTTTCTCAGGGCATATCTGCAGGGTGAGCTGGACCTACAGCTGTGTTGCTAAACGGAAATTACAAGAAATATGCAGGAATAGTTCCTTGAGGCATGCAAAATCAGAAGTTAACCAGCGTTCCCAGAGCTGCCACTCTGCACATGCCCCAAGACAGTGTGATCTCTTTATTTTCATTCAGCAGGCAACTGTTCACAAAGAAAGCAACCTTTAGCATAGCTTCCTTCATGGAAAGCAAATGGCTCGTCCTCATTAGATAGAGATGTGAAGGAACTCTGGGTGTAAAGCAGCAGCTGATTATGCACTTGGGCCAAAGCAAAAAGCCCCAAGAGATCTCCTGGTGTAATGTGTAGTTTGGCTTGGCCTTAGCCCAAGTCCAGCATGCAAACTATTGGACCACATGGCCTATCATTGGTAATTTTGGTGATTTGAAAGCTGGTTGTCATGTGCTTCCTGGGACCAGAGTTATGGCACCAAGAACTCTACAGTGTATAATATATATATTTTTTAAAACCCAGCAAGTAATGTGTACATGAAGAGGATTTGATGCAGCTTTTTCAGGGACAAATAGGGAAATGGAAAGCAAGTAGGTATTGCAAAATTAAGAGAGCTTTTTAAAAAAAACAAAAAACAAACAGCAGAAGATGACATTTACCTCAGTTTATTTAAAAGGCCTGGGTGAACAAAGGCCTGACACCAAAAAGATCACAAAGAGGGTGCCAGGCAAACCTCGTTGGGAAGGCTGTTCTATAACTGAGATGCCACCACTGAAAAGACACTGGTGGTGGCTTGCCTCAGTTAATTCAGTAGAGGCACTGGGGACTGGGGTTTAAATAGGAACAAATGACAGAAGGTAGTCTTTCAGGTAACCTTGTCCCAAACTATGTAGAGCTTTTAAAGTTAAAAACAGCCGTTTTAATTTGTCCCTGAAATGGGCTGGAAGCCAGTACAGCTGACGGAAGCATTGTTGTAATATGATCAAACCACCCAGTGCCTCTTGCATCCCAGTTATAGACCAACTAAGGTTTCCAGGGTGTTTTAAAGACAGCCCCAAATACACCAGACAACAATAGTATTGTGTAGAGGTTGGGAAATTCCTCCCCTGCATAGTCTCTTTTGTTTTATGTGGCACATAAGCAGATGCAGAAGCTCTGAGGGTTAGTAGTATTCCCTTTCAAAAATAGAACAGCACAAAGTAGTCATTATTCCTGCTAGCTTTGTGGCTCAGGGTCTGTTCCTCCATCTTCTGCTCAGCAAATTCAAAGCGTCATTAAGAATCGTCTACAGGTGCTTGTTTGGGCAATAGGCATGATTAGTATAATCAACTCTGCGAAAGGATTCTCTTCAAGATTTTTTTAAAAAGCAAGAAGAGTAGATTTAAATTTAATTTGTAGTTCTCTAATGACTTACAATTTAGTGCTAGGATTATTGAGTGATTTTTTTTCACATGACTATGAGTGTTTTGCCAGCCTACATCTGGGCCTGTTCACATGTTTCACTGACCATTGTAATCCATGAGGTGTGATATTTGGAATTCCTTTTATCCAGAATTTATTGTATATTACGGGAAATTGCAGTGTCCCTTTAACCTTAACTACTTGGGGGAACCAATGAACCCAGATTTGGGTTCAAAGATAATAACATTTCTGCATGCAGGAACCCGGAGTTAAGACAGAAGGCAGAATTGGGATTCAATATGACCTTAACAGATTGGAGAACTGGGCCCAAACTAGCAGAATGAATTTCAGTGTAAGGTTCTACACTTAGGCAGGAAAAACCAGTTGCATGAATATAAGATGTGGGACACCTGGCTTACCATTAGTACATGTTAAAGAGATATAAGGGTCTTTGTGGACCACAAGCTTGACTTGAGTAAACAGTGTGATGCAGCAGCAAAAAAAGGGAATGCTGTTCTAGACTGCATCGACAGAAGTATACTGTCCCGATCAAGGGAAGTAATAGTCCTCCTCTATTCTGCTTTGGTCAGAGCACTCCTGGAGTCCTGTGTCCAGTTCTGGGCACCACACTTTAAAGAAGGATATTGACAAGCTGAAACGTGCGCAGAGGAGGGTGGTTAGGATGATAAAGGGTCTGAAAGCCAAACCTTATGAGGAACGGTTGAAGGACCTGGGCATGTTTAGTGTGAAAAGAGAAGACTTAAGAGATATGAAAGCCATCTTCAAATATCTAAAGGGCTGTCATGTGGAGGATGGGGCAAGCTTACTTTCTCCTGCTCCAGAAGCTAGGACCCAAACCAATGGATTCAAGTTACAAGAAAGCAGATTCCAAGGAGACATCAGGAAGAACTTTCTGACAGGAAGAGCTGTTCGACAGTGGAACTGACTCCCTCAGAAGGTGGTGGAGTCTCCTTCATTTGAGGCTTTTAAGCAGAGGTTGGATGGTCATCTATCGTGTATGAGTTTGTTGAGATTCCTGTGTTGCATGGGGTTGGACTAAATGTCCCTTGGGATCCCTTCCAACTCTACAATTCTTTGATTTTATGAATAATTACCTGCTCCACTGGGGAGAGTCCCATGGACTGCAAGAAGATCAAACGTATCCATTCTTAAGGAAATCAGCCCTGAGTGCTAACTGGAAGAACAGACCTGAAGCTGAGACTCCAATACTTTGGCCACCTCATGAGAAGAGAAGACTCCCTGGAAAAGAACCTGATGTTGGGGAAGATGAAGGGCACAAGGAGAAGGGGACGACAGAGGACGAGATGGTTGGATAGTGTTCTCGAAGCTACCAGCATGAGTGTGACCAAACTGCGGGAGGCAGTGGAAGACAGGAATGCCTGGCGTGCTCTGATTCATGGGGTCACGAAGAGTCGGACACGACTAAACGACTAAACAACAACAACCACTGGGGCAAAGGAGAGGAGAAGGAACAAGTTTCCTGAGTTTCACCGTGACCTAAAGCTGTGTGGACATGCTTGAAACATGAGCTAGATATGAGTCTTGTGGCTGTGTGCTTCAAATATTGAGAGGTAGATTGTGGATCATTGGAGTCATGACAGAGGGAGGGAGGTAAGCAAGCTTCCATAGAGCCCTGTCTTGTATAGTGTCCAAGGAAGCAACCCGAGTTATTTATAACATCCCCCAAATGGTTCAAAAGTAGTCAAAGGCTCCTTGCTGCCCAAAAGAAAAGGCAAGGGGAAGTGATAGTAAAGGAAAGGAGCTCTCTGGTGTTGGAGCAATCTGTTGTCCTGGATGTCCCACAGGGATCAAACCAACAACTGTGGAACAACCAGATTGAGGAAGACTAAAGACATGCAATGGAATAAGCATCCCTCTAGGGGAAGGAAGACAAAAGGTGACTTACGTTCAGCAGAAGGGAATGCTAGAGTGAGACTGATGCCACAGGCCAAAGCAGATTTTTTGGATGATAAATGACAATACAAGTGGCGTTTGGGAATATACGTAAGAATTGTGACCCAATAAAAGCCATACTGTATCTGGAACATTGGTATAACAGGAATGTCCCTCATGAAGAGCAGAGATAGATGAGCTTAACCTTTTCATATGATAAGAGAGAGAACAGTCCAAACAGAAAGAGGAAAGAAACTTCAGGTGCTACAAAACAAGGTTTATTTAGTGCCCAATGTGTTTCAGAGAAAATATTTTCACAAGGATACTGTAAAGTTGCAAATGCCACATAGAACAGAAAGAATGATTGGTACAGAATCAATACTGAGTGAGATACATTAAGTTTCTTTGTGTAAGTATATTACAAGCATTCAAAGCAATACTGCTACAACTTGTTTGTTTGAACAAAACCAAGTTAGAAACAAACCCCTGAAAATGAAACAATCCCAAATTCACTTGTGGGGTGGGGGAGTTTGGAGTTGGTTCCATTTTCATTTCTACCAGTTATCCTTCTCTTATTTATGTTTTTGAGCTCTCATACTGCCCTTGAGAGAGAAAATTTCACCAAAATCCCATTAGAGTCTAAACACTGTTTTGAGGCACCTGAATTTACCTCCATCCTCTCTCTCTCTCTCTCTCTCTCTCTCTCTCTCTCTCTCTCTCTCTCTCTTTGGCCTGCTAGTGGTACTACCCCAGTTTTGTTGTTGCTTTTTTTAAGTTATCGTTGGAACAATGCCAGTTACAAGAAAAGGAAGCATCTACCTCGTCAGGGCTAATTAATGACTGAATAGAGACATTTGCTTGTGTTAGCAGTTGGCAACTGGCTTCTATCTTAAATTAGGCACTGGCATAAATCCAGAGTTCTTGCACCTCTCAATCCTATGAGGCTTTCAGTAACAGCAGGCAACCAATGCTAAAGTTTCCTTCATCTCTACACTTGGAAAAATCCCACACTCATTGCACCGTCACCTGTAGAGTGAACCTAAAGGAGCCAAAAGGCTTTGAGACATGTGAACTGACCACCTTGGTAACAGAAAGCCATCTCATTGATATTTAATTGCTTTATGAATGTATCCCCAATGAAGCAAAACAAATGAAATTCTAAACACAATCCCTTGGGGATAAAATTGCCCTGAAACTTCCAGGTGTTTAGCGTCACCACATCCAATATCAACAGGTAGATTCGAATCTGAGCATGTATAACATGCTTTGAATGTCCTATTTAAAATATTTCTGTGCTTTCAGATAACTGTTTGGTATAGTTAGAAATACTATTCCTTGAGGTATATGCAAACATGGCATCATAGTAACTTTTGAAACTTTTTTGGTGATGAAAAAAATTAAAAGGTAAAGGACCCCTGGACGGTTACGTCTAGTCAAAGGTGACTATGGGGTTGTGGCGCTCATCTCGCTTTCAGGCTGAGGGAGCCGGCGTTTGTCCACAGACAGCTTTCCGGATCATGTGGCCAGCAGGACTAAACCGCTTCTGGCGCAACTGAACACCATGATTGAAACCAGAGTAATAATCAGTGTTAGAAACTGAGATATGAAAGCTAGGAGCTAAACGGCACCTTAAACCTAGGTTATAGGTGCAACAGTGGAATGTCTAGGCACCCTTTTTTATAACAAGAATACAAAGCTGAAAATGAATGAACTGCAGCTAAAATATTATGTTTTCACATGGTCTAGTCGTTGTCTGGCCACCCCGCTAATATTCTTAAGAGGGTCTCTTCTCCAGTCTTCAGAGAGTAGCTGGAAGTGGGGAGGCAGAAAAGGGTTCTCCTTTCCTTCCACTCTGCAGTTTGAATCTGAAATCTTAGGAGCAGTACTGCGCCCAGAGCTCAGAAACTGCTCACACTAATGAAATTCCCTGTTGCAAAATGCACCTAGAACAATGGGAGCTTCGAACACTGGTAATAATGAGTAGTGTGCATTTAGGTGTGTGGGTGTGCGTATGTGCTTAGTTTGGCAAATTTTAGCTTTAGAGTCGGGGGTTTGTATCCGGAAAACAGCAGAGGGAAAAGGATTAAAGCACACTACCTCAGCATCACTCTTACAGAGTGCAGACACAGCTGCTTTTAATTTATTTGTTTTGGGTTTTTTAATGCTATATGTTTTTTAGGAGAGGTTCTCTGTGGCCTCAAGTGGTTTGTCCCCAAACATGACCTTAAGTTTACTGCAAATATTGATGGTGCAAGCAAATTCCTGTGAGCTCAGGACAAATTGTGAATTGGCTAGGAGTACAAAATTATGAAAAGCGTATTAGAGTTATATAATCTATTCATAACCAAAGCACTTTCCCGTAATTTATTATTAGATGTATCTACTCTTATTAGGTGTTTCGCTTGCCTGTCCAAGAATGTACGAGTTACTCAACCTGTGACCTGTGCATTCAAGCCCGGGATCCGTATTGCGGCTGGTGTGTAACAGAGGGAAAGTAAGTATTCCATGCTACAGGGATATATTGTATTATGCATGGTATTTCTTTTCAGAATATCATGTATGCTGAATGATTTCTTCAAAGCATTTGTACCAGAACTGGGAAAAACTCTTCATCACAAATTACCACAGTGTAAACATATAATGAGCAGCAGGGAGGAAGCTAATTTGCATATTTTGTCTGTATAGCTTGTATATAATTTGCATGAAAATGGTGGTTGCCAAGCCACAGCTGGTGAATATCTAGCATTTATCTGGTGATAGTCTTATTCTAGTATTTTAACTCTAAACATTCCTTAATACAATCCTTCCAGCTGAAAAACAGCACTTGGGAATCTTTGGATGGTGGAGGGAAGAGAACCATACTGAATTTCAATTTTGCTTTTAGGTTTCTGATGTTTTAAGGGTACAAAGTTTTTGTCTGCTACCGAGAGACATGCTGAAATTTATTATATTCAGGGTGTTGTGGTAAAAAGTTGCCTTCCATTTCTACCAAACACACATTGACTATGGATGAGGTAGATTTTCCATTTCCTTTTTCACGATATACACCTTCAAGTCAGTTGAGATTCCTGGTAGTGATTATTTCCTACCAGGGTGTCAGAACTTTATTGACACGCTAAACATACAAATTTTAAAGACAGAGAAAAAGAAAAGAACAAAAAACACAGCACGCTTGTTTGCTTAGCCCTCCATGCTCCCAAGCTGGAAGCTATAAGAAGTCAAAATAAACCAAGATAAAAGCCAAAATCTTCAGTGTTTTAACAGGAAATCTCCTCATAACGTTGAAGATTTCTCTAAAACACTTTCTGCTGCTGTAACATGCCTAAATAGCAAAATTAAATTGTGTTGGTCTGTCATAGCTTTTCTTCAGAACCACAACACATAGGAATGGTCCAAATTGGACCATTGTTCCATGTAGCTCAGATCGGCTGTGGTTTCTCCTCCTAAAATATTATTTTATTATTATTAAGGTTTCTTTAAAAAAACACCCTGAAAATAAACAACTTAGAATAAAAAATAAAAAGTGAGAACGTGAAAAAAGCCGGGGGGGGGGGAACGTTTTCCAAATCACTATAAGGATTAACAATTACAATTCCATATACTCTGGCATCTCTTCAGATTGGTATAACTCTTTTGCCTTTTACATCCATTGTCTTCATTGTCTACTCCAGGTTGGGCTGAGATTGGATGCAACTCAGCGATGCATTATTCTTGCTGCTATTGGGAGTATGTTTTGGGATTTTATTGTTAGTTTTGGAATTTTATTGTTACATGGGAAATTTTATTCCCTATTTATTGAGGTGTTTTAATTACCGGTAGCTGATTGTTTATAACTGTTTACATTTTGTTATATTTCTGCAACTGGAAGAGCGACTTACGTAAATAATTCGATGTTGTCAGCCACCTTGACCGTGACTTCCAACTATTAAAAGGCATCATGCAAATAAAAGATGCTGATGAGCTGAAAAGAGATCAAGCTCAATACATGGATTTCCAAATTTGTGCCCTTCCTTTCCCCCTTATTATTGCTTTTAATTGCTTATTTTGAGCGACACAACTTTTCATACTTCTTAAGAGGTGAGAACACAGACAGCTGATTGAACTTGAAATCTTTTGCAAGGTACTATTTGGGGGAACATCGCCACCTGTAACTGTTCTTTTTGTTCTGAAATTAAATTATAGGCCCTCACCTGGGCCTGTCATTGAACACGCTGGCGTAACTGTTATACCTCTGAAGTAGGCTTAGCATTTTCTGAAGGAAAGCTTTTGCATGGCTAGAGGCTTATTTTTAAATAAGTAAGGGGTGGTGAGATGGCTCTAAGTCAGTCTCCTCTGCTTCAAACTTCCAGGTTAATTAACCCCATGGCGGAACCATGTGGGATTTTGTGATATGAAGTGCATGCTACTGGCATACAAGGTTTACTTAATTATAGGAAAAAGGAGATAGGTTTCAGGAATCCTACTTCCACTGCAAACATCTTAACTGCAGCAGTAAAATTGCCTCAAAGCTTATCATGAAGCCAAACGAAGAATAACCCCTCTTTATATACATACTTGAAATGCAGAGGAAACCACACAATTTAATTTGAATGAGAGGCTGACTACCTATGAATGCAAAGGCATATTTGCATATTGCCGGGTTGGGGGATCTCAGCTTTTCTCTAAGACTTCTCATGGTGACTCCTGACCTCATTATTAAAGACTTTCAAAGGTCTTTGTCAGCAAACAGCCAGTTTTGATCACATACACTTACAGACAATTAAGTCTCCAAGTGTCTAAAGAGGACCCCCTCCCCACAAAAGAGCCCAGGGAGCATTGTACCCTCGGGGGGGGGCCAATGAAATGCTGGCTGGCTTTGGGCAGGGTGGGGGTGGATGGAGACTAGAAATCTATGGGAAATGGAATGGAGTGTCCTAGAATAGGGCGTGATTGGAATCGTGAACAGGTACAAGACATACTGCAGAAATTTGTTGCAGGTCCAAATGTCAGAATGAGAGTCTCTAAGTCAGTCCAAAACCCTCTTCAGTGACACACACACAGAGAGAGAGAGGGGTGGGGCACTGGATTCAGAATTGGAATCGCTTTCCAGAAATCCACACCAGGTTTTTGTTTGTTTAAAAGAACAAAATACAGTCATACCTCAGGTAACAGATGCTTCAGGTTGCGTTTTTTTCGGGTTACAGACCGCTGAAACCCGGAAGTACCGGGACAGGTTACTTCCAGGTTTCAGCTGTCACGCATGAGCAGAAGCGCTAAATCGCGCTATGCGCAGAAGCACTGAATCGCAACCCACGTGTGCGCAGACACACCACTGCGGGTTGCAGACGCTGCTGGTTGCGAACGTGCATCCCACACGGATCACGTTCACAACCCAAGCGTCCACTGTAAACAAGCTTTATTTAAATCATTAAAAGCAGCAGAAAAATATTGGAACCCAATGCAGATATCTATAATTTCAACAAGAGGGAAACAAGTTCAAGGATATTGGAGTTACAGAGAGCGGGCAAACAATAAAATAAAATAATAATTTCCCAGCTATTGTTGTCATACACAATATCTAGGCCTAGTGTCTTTGGGAGCTGCAATACCAGTCACAAAATGAAGGCTGCAGATCCACAGCAGATGATATATGTTTCATGAGGCACCAAATTCCTAGAGGTCCTAGGCCTTTCCAAGGACTGCAGCTGCCAATGATCCGATATTTGGCTCTTTACTCTCCCGCCACCCCAAACAACTGAAAGGAAAAGGTTCTGAGTTCAGCACAGGCCTCCCAGTTGATCTCCCGCAAGCCGCCAAATTGCATTTTTTTGCTACTAAATTATCTGCTCTGGTTATGTTTTCTTTCAAATGCAATTTTGGGAATTGCAGTCAGCATGACTTTATTTTTATTTTATTTTTTCAAAGTTAGGGCTCACCTGTACCAAACTGTAAGCAATAGTTGTATTGATGGAGAAAGGATGTAGTTATAGAACTCATGAGTTGTAGGAACTCCTGTAGACGATACCTGGTTCAGATTACCAGCATTTCCAGATAGGAATTGTAAAGACTCTTCTATGAAACCCTGAGAACCACTGTCGGTTAGCAGAGGCGATATTGTGTAAGTTTAGTGTAGGCAAATACTGAGCTTCTAGTTTTTCATTGACACAAAACGATGCATTTGATGAAATCGGCTCTAGCCATAGAAGCTTGGGGCCACAACAGATCTGTCAGTCTTTTAAGATGTCGGAAGACTCCTTGTTGTTATCCATTGTTATGCAGTGTGTTTGCTGCACTTGCCCTTCATGATAGTTTACATTTCAGGAAGGCATGTCAGTAAAATATTTAGCCATCCAGAGACCGCAATAGGTATCCTTGTGTTGCTCTCTCTACAATTCTGCTTGGCACCTCTGCATCTACTGGATTCAGTATAATGATGGAGAGAACCTGAAAGTGGTTTCATATTTCAAGAATTTTCCTTGAGTTCACTTTCCCAGCAGCAGTGGGGAATAGTCAATCTTATAGCCAAGGATGTATGTTTTCATTTGTGACTCAAGCATGAGCTGACAGAGCTAAGCCTCAGGCTGAGACTAAAGACCTGGTGACAAATTTGCAGTGTGTTAAGGAATAAGCAAAACACTCCAAATTTCCACACTCTGTAGGCACAATATTGTTCCTTAACAGCTAAACTACTTTTCTGTTAACATGTTGCTTGAATACTAGGTTAGGGGTCCCCCCCCCACTTTGTGTACAGTTCATTGAATTTAAGATAAATATTTGAACGTTTGTTGTTGTAATTTGACAATGCTAACAGGTAATTATCCTGTCATAAAGAATAATAAGTAAACAGAATAGAAGAAAAGAAATATTAAGCACACATTCTATGCCACCTTTCCACCCCCAGTGCTTATGCATTTGAATGCTTTTGTATTTTGGGTTAATGAGTGCGGATTTTTAAAATGTAATTACTTCGGACAACTTTAAATTTTGTTATTTATTCCAGATGCACGAGGAAAAAAGACTGTGCAAGATCAGCTCAGGAAAACCACTGGCTCTGGAGCCCAGATGGCATTTGCCTGAATATTACAAGTGCTTACCCTCAAAATATGAGCCGGGGAGCCACAGGCAACGTAAGTGCAACAGGATCATGTGTGTGTGTGTGTGTGTGTGTGTGAGAGAGAGAGAGAGAGAGAGAGAGAGAGAGAGAGAGAGAATCCAAATCATAGTGCATTGTGTGAGGAGTGAGAGAATTGCCCTTGCATATAATTATGTGTGCATTTGTTTTGCAATGTTCTAAAGCAGCGGTTCCCAATTAGGGGTCTGGGAACCCCTGGGAGTCCGCGGAACACACCCAAGGGGTCCGCAGCACCACCCCCTGCCAGGGACTTACTCATCTTGTTAATTGCACAGTGAAAGCCTTCCGCGGATCATCCAGCCTCTGCTCACAACCAGCGCCTACTTGAAGGCAGGGGGGAAACTTGTGAAAGAGTTGCTGGATGGCAGTGAGCTAGGATTGGGCACAAACCTCTGGCACAGTTCCTTAGGGCTCTTGCAGTTGGAGGGGAGAGGGGGGAAAGAGTGCAAACAGCTCACATGCCTAGGGATCCCTTCCCCTTGCCGTCTACTTTTTAACTGAGAAGAACTAATTGTTTTCAAGGACTATCAAGTTTAGAGGACTCTCCCACTGCTCGTAGGTGGGGTTTCAGTGAACCTTGCCTTATGAGTTTGGGATTCATGTCTCATCTTGGAAGTGCAACAGGGGAAATGGCTAAGCAGATTGTCACTATGCTTTGCACAACAGCTCACCCTCTGGTGATTTAGTTTAGTGCTAGGGCTGGGCGATACTTTGTTGTCAACACCGTGATATATCAGCAGCTAAATGCGGGTATGTGGAATTTATCTCAGCTGCTTCTTCCGAGATACATGGCCCAGCCCTACACTGAAAGTGAGTCCCGATGCCTCTCAGACTCAAGGGCAAGCTTGAAGAGCATGGGGCTTCACAGAGCTGCTCAGCTGGGGGGTGGAAGAGGCCTCCTGCCCCCCAGCTGAACAGCTCCGATGCCTCAGAAGGCATCCTGCCCCCCAGCTAAATGGTCTGACTCAGCATGATGCTCCTAACACGATAAAACTTGTTATTCTCCTGGTCCACAAGACTCCCAAGGTACACATTGAACAACTTCACACAGGGCTGGGAAACTTTTACAGCTGCATGGGCCAGATCTTTTTCAGGATCGACCTCGTGCTTCAAATTTTGACAGCTGGCCAGGACCACACACCTGTCAATCACATAACATTATGACATCTCATGTCAAATAATGACATCTCCTACCTGTGAGAGATGCATGGCTGTCCCCTTTCAAACTCCCAGTCCTAGAGGGGAATGCAAGGAGACTCAAAGGCGTCCCAACAGCCCCCGTGCTCCAAGTGCTCCCCCCCCCTAGAAAAATAGGTGCTGGTACTCACCAAGAAGGGACGTGGGTGGCGCTGTGGGTTAAACCACAGAGCCTAGGACTTGCCGATCAGAAGGTCGGCACTTCGAATCCCCGTGACGGGGTGAGCTCCTGTTGCTCGGTCCCTGCTACTGCCCACCTAGCAGTTCAAAAGCATGTCAAAAGTGCAAGTAGATAAATAGGTACCGCTCTGGCGGGAAGGTAAACGGCGTTTCCGTGCGCTGCTCTGCTTCACCAGAAGCAGCTTAGTCATGCTGGCCACATGACCCGGAAGCTGTACGCCGGCTCCCTCAGCCAGTAAAACGAGATGAGCACCGCAACCCCAGAGTCTGTCACGACTGGACCTAACGGTCAGGGGTCCCTTTACCTTTACCTTACTCACCAAGAAGTTGTTACAGTATGTGCCACACTTTTTAACAACAACAAAAAGAGGTGCCAGCCCTGTGTACCTTGGAGTATCCCCTGATAAAAAGCACCGCATGCTCCCATTTCAGCCTGAAATGGAAGTGCAACGGCTGTCTTAAGGCCTTTGTAAAGTGATGTTTGAAGCATCCACACACACCCTTTTCTTTTAAGTAGCGTCAACTGATGTACCAGTGGGTATGATTTGGGCAAAGTGTGCTCGCAGTCCACTTCTGATCTGTGAGCTGGAGTTTCTACACCCCAATTTAAAAGAAGTAATGGAAGTTTCAGACCACCTAAATGTTATGTGTTTGTGTAAATGACAGAACAAGTGCACTGCTTTATAGAATAAAGAAAATGTTCTCCTTGGGGGGGGGGCGGGAAACAAAGGTGTGGTTTTTTTAATGATTTATTTTAGAACAAGAGGACACACACAGCACTTCCGTACACTCTGTCTATACAGCTAGATTCCCTTTTTCGTATGGTTCATTTATTCGCTACAGGTATGTTACAGTTCCCAAAGGGAAAACTGTCTCAGTTGGGGGGGAAATAGGCTGTACAATTGCTAAAGTCACACAACAGCGGACAAAAGCAGAATGAAACATAAAAAAGAGAGAGCATGCAGATAGCTCGGTGTGTCCTCAAGCATCCGGTCAATTCAAGCAAATTTTTAACCCACCCTGTTTTCTCACCTTCATTCTAGCTGCTTGTTTCCTTATATAACAGAAATAATCAAACACTTGAATGCTCAGTTGGCTGTTTTCCCTGAGGCTCATGAAGCCACCAGACATCCCTCTTTGTCAGGAAACTTTTTATTTCTGTCCCCCAGCAGCCCAAAGCTCTACTTCATCTCTCCAATTGTGAATGAGGGTTTTTGGAGGAAAGTTTGTCTTTGTTGCCCTTTCAAAACAAGCGTCTTGATTCTTTCCAGGCTGACTTGTGACTCCTGCTGTGTCCTCCGGCTATTGTTGCAGTGCGGTTAACGTGCTTTAATTATGTTGGAAAAGTTTGAATAACTTCTGTGCTCAATAGATGTTGCATTTGTGCTTTCCAAAAGCCAAAACAAAACAAACCCTGCAGAACACTCTCTTTTTTTCTAGCACATTTTAGGACAAGATGACAGAGTGTAATTCCATCTCTGCCAAGCTTTTCGCCAAGGGGAAAAGAAGGGTTTTCAGTTAAGGATGTACTATTTACAGGGGATATTTCTATTTCTCCTTCATCGAATCCCCCAGGCTTTCTTCCTGGTGGAATGGGACAGAATGACCAAAGCACGCTATAGGTTCTTATGGAAGTCTGCACCGATCAACAGTGCCGTGCCACAAAATTTAAATGGTGTGCTTTTCAATCCAACTTACAAAGAACAGCACAGCACAGTTTGCAGTATACACCGCTAGTTTGCAATATTTTTTGGGTGGGAGAACAAAATGCCTGCTTCCCCAAACCATAATAGTGTTCAGATTATTATTTTTTTAAAGTGACCTCCTTCAAAGATAGTTTTGTGCAAATGTCAGCCTGCAGGTCCAAATTCCTGGTTAGGTAGCGGCAGCTCCACAGCCACACCTGCAAGCCCGCCACTTGCCGGCTAGGACAGAAGTCAGGGTGCAGGCAAATTGTCATGTGATATCAGTTGTGCCAGCTTGGGATTTAGCAGATCCAAGACCAGCTCCCTGGTCCCAAAATGACTTGCATCAGGCCTCACAAACATACCCAGCCCAACAGAGAGGGTGTTTGGAGTCACTATCATTATCATGCATTTTAAATCAGCTTTGGTCTTGTTTTTTTTTTGAGCAACCCTCCTTTGGAGGTACTGAAAGGACAGATCTACGTTCTGTGTTCTGATCTATGTTGCATTCTGCATTTTGAGGAATGGCATTCTGAGGACTACAGAAGAGAACAGCAAATTAGGTGCCACAAATCTCCCAATACATTTGGAATTATTTTACCTTGGCTTTATTGAGCTGCCTCTCAAAATACTGCTCTTGGCGAGGTGGAGTTTAAGAATATCAGAAGAAATACTCCTATATAGTCTTGTAAGATGTTAGTTCTGGTTCCATTTTCTTAATAACCTAATAAGGAAAGTAATTTGATTTCATAACTATACTTTAAATTAAATAAATGACTTTATCTCAATTAGAAATATTCCTTTTTTGTGTGTGTTTCTGTGTTATCCAGATCGAGGATGTCTAAGTGTTGTGCATTGTTACATGGTTATATTGCTAAAAACTGAATAAAAATTATAAAAAATAGATTACTTTCAAATACTATTCTGCTCTCGTGTGTGTGTGTGTGTGTTCTAAAGTGATCTATAGTGCCTAGTTGCATCAGGCAATGTACGTAGTGCTTGCCTAAAGCCATTTTGTCACTCCTTTTGAATGTAACCCTGATTTCTGTGTTGGCATCCTCTGACTTGAGGCTTGAACATAAAAAGCTGTGTTTCACAGTCAGACTGCTAACCTTTCTGGTACTGTCTATTCTGGTGGGAGCTCTCCAGGGTCTTTTGCAATGATGCTACTTTTTTTTCAACTTGAGATGCTAAACACTACCCTTGAACTATGGCCCCTTAATTACAATAAGGTTGTTAAGAATCCTAGTTATCAGCGAAGAGGACATTATTGTAATATTAAAACATGTGGCACTAGTAAGCTTTCTTCGGGGGGGTTTTCCACCAGTGCAACACATTTGCTTCCATTCCTTTTTCCTCTTCCTTGCTGCTACTGTCCCTGTTACCCTTCCTCTCTGCCTCCTCCATGTGGGAATCCACGGTTTTTTCTTATTTGTTGCTTTCTGACAACCTCTTTTTGCTTGCATTTTCAGGTAGAATTGACTCTCAGCCCTCTCCCAGTTTTAAATGTAGATGACCAGCTTTGGTGTCATTTTGGGGAAACGAGGCATGAGGCGAAGTTACAAGAAGGGACTATTACCTGCAACCCTCCTAATGAAATCCCTCCAACGACAAAAGGCCAAGGTAAATAAAAGAGCAGGTCTTCACATTTAATATATATGCCTGTGCTTTCCAACTTTGAAGGTATCTACCGTATTTTTCGCTCCATGACACACTTTTTTCCTCCTAAAAAGTAAGGGGAAATGTCTGTGCGTCTTATGGAGCGAATGTGTGGTCAATCACTGGCTCCCTTTCCGGCCCCGGCCCCTTGCTCCCAGGCCTCCATTGTTGAATGTTCTGCAAACAGAGCCTGTTTGTTTCCCCAGCGACATGTGACTGGCTGATTAGATTATGTGTCTGGAAACTGTAGAAACGGCTCCCTTTCCTTTCCTAAAGAAGCTGCAGAACTGTGAGTTGAACCCCATAAAAACAGGATTTTTTCCCTTTGCAAAGTAAGCTCAACAACTTTGAGCTGATCCTCAAATAAACCGGGGCTTTTCCCCTTTGCAAAAGAAGCTGCACAACTGTGAGCCGATCCTCAAAAAAACGGGGCTTTTCCCCTTTGCAAAAGAAGCTGCACAACTGTGACCTGATCCCCCAAAAAGCGGGGCTTTTCCCCTTTCCTCCTCTAAAAACTAGGTGCGTCTTATGGTCAGGTGCATCTTATGGAGCGAAAAATACGGTACTTATAGTAATTGCTTTGGAAACACACATACGTTCCCTACCTAACTCATTGCTCTTCGTATTGGCCCAAGACGTGCAACCAGTCATCCTTTTGAATTAGAAAGATTGGCAGCTGCTACATGCAATAGCCACACTACCCCCAATACCGCCTGCACTAAACCTGTAAAGAGTGAAGGACAAGCTGTGGCATAGCGTGGGTTGGAAGTGCCCGGGGCAAGGCAAGTATGGTGCCCTTTAACCCATGGTACCTGTCAGGGCTGGGTGGTGGCAGCAACAGCCCCATTGGCCCCCCTCCCCATGCTATGCCACTGAGGACAAGCATTCACCTTCAACATTGGTAAGCACTAGAGAGCCCTTGTTGGTTAATGAAGAATGAAAACTATGTTGGAAATTTTGATGTTGTTGCCATGTTAGTCCTGGTAGCTGTGTTCTCCATCACATTCCTAAGATCAAGGGAAAACGACCTCATAAAATGCCCACACAGTGTACCGAAGTTCCAAAAACCTTTACAGAGGCGATCTCTGTTGATGATACATAATTACTGTGAAAATTTGTTCATTTGGGGCCTTATATACACATTTTGTGCTTGTTAGTAATCCATAAATTTTTATTGACAGTAGCAAGCACACACTTTATGCCATATGATGCCATCTTCTACAGATTGTTGCATGTGAAAGGCAGTAGTTCCCATTGGACTGTAAGAAATCTCAGCCATTTCTCCTGAGAAGATTTAGCAAATGCAAATAAGAATACTTGTAAATAGCATTTTAAATACATACTTACATACATAGTTGGAATTAACTGGCGCTTAAAAAACAACAACAGCAATTTTCAGCTGACCCCAGTATATGAGATAAAGTGAAAAACAACCTGGAATTTTCAATAGAATTCTTCAGAAAGTGGGTTTAAATCTGAGCTGTCACCACTCTTTCAAAAAGCTGTTAGAAGAAAGCTGAGTTTGAAATTGCTCAATAGCTTGTGAAATAACTTGTCAGGGGGGTTTAATGATTTCCGGAAAAGGAATAGCTGGAAGCCTCATTGAGGAAGTTCCCATTTTTATATATAGCTCTTGATCCTGAGTTCAGCAATAATCCAGATTAGAATCCCATTAATGGAGGAAGTTGACCAGCTTTCCAAATTGCTAAGTTTTCCTTATTATTTTGAACACATACTGGTTATTTCAGAAACTCCTTTTGTTTTATTCATAGTGTGTGATTCATAAATTGCACACCCTGACAGTGTAAAAAAATAAAAATAAAATAAAAAACACCATCTTCTGAATTCATGTGCCTTAGTTTCCTTGGTTTTTCTGACTTGCATTTTTCAGTAGCAGAATACATTGTCCCTTTTGAATAAGCATTTTCCTGATCTAATAGTCGGGGACTTTTAAACATTTTATCATACTTCTATCAGGTTTTCTTTTTCTTTCTTCCATTTAGTTGCTGGACATTTAATGCAGTTTCATTTAGGGGGAACAGAAGGTTCTCACACTAACCCCCACAAATTCAAGAAATGTATTGGATAGGCATTAACATTGTACCAAGAAGTATTCATTATAAAGCACCCCCACGCAAATCAATCTTTTTCCCCCTCTTTTTTCTTTGGTAGATTATGTCTTGGTTCTACTGAGTCTGACCTTTGGTGATAATATATTTCTTGCATCGGGTACATATCCTTTTTATGACTGTCGAGAAGCTATAAACCGTATTGAAAATGAACCGTAAGTATCTAGCTGCCTAACTTCATTCTCCATCCTATCCAGTAAACCCAACGTGCATTCAAATATTATAATAGTGAAGTCTCTTGAGTGAACTGAAGGGTTCCTATTTTATTTGCGCAGTACTTTTGCTTCCCTTTCATCAGGCTCCACAAAGTATATTACGAAAAACATGCTGCCCTACTTCATCTTTGTTCGTTCACCATGTCTTAATTCTACTGCATTTGATCTTTGATGATATAATATATCTAAGACAGGCATGTCCAACATGTTGATCGATCGTGGGATTGGTTTTGGTCAGAGGTCAGCAAACTTTTTCAGCAGGGGGCCAGTCCACTATCCCTCAGACCTTGTGGGGGGTCGGACAATATTGGGGGGGTGAACGAATTCCAGGGCTATTGACTGTTAGTCTCCGAAGCGCCCTCTCCGATTGCATGGAGCCCGGACAGCCCCGTGGTTTTCTACAGATCTGAGGGCAATGAAACAATCGTTGAGACGGCTAGAGCGCCGGTGGTGGATAACTCATTCTGAAGCTGACCAGACACGGGTTAGAGCTCAATGTCGAGTCTACCAAGTGGCGGTAGCGACGGCGAAGAAGACTTTCTTCACTGCCTCTATTGCATCTGCAGAAAACAGCAGCAGGAGACTTTTTCAGGTGGTTCGCAATTTAGCGGAACCACCTGTTACATTGGGGCCCAGTACGGGCCACATGATCTCCTGCAATGATTTTGCAAAGTTTTTTGCAGATAAAGTCGCTCAGATTCGGGAAGAGGTAGACTCCACCGTGAGAGCAGGGCCGGGGCGGGAGAGTGCTAGAGTCCTGTCTAGTCAAATTGCGTGGGATCAATTCCAATCTGTTACCTCCGAGGATGTGGACAGGCTGCTTGGACGAGTGAAACCAACCACCCGTCTCCTTGATCCTTGCCCATCCTGGCTTATAAAAGCTAGCCGGGAAGGGCTAGGCGATGGGCTTCGTGGGGTGGTGAATGCTTCCCTCCGTGAGGGAGCCTTCCCAGACCCGCTGAAAGAGGTGGTTATTAAACCGCTCCTTAAAAAAACATTTTTAGATGCGGGCACGATGGCCAACTATCGCCCAGTCTCAAATCTTCCACTCTTGGGCAAGGTGATTGAGTGAGTGGTTGCTGAACAACTCCAGGCACGCCTGGAAGAAGCGGACAATTTGGATCCCTTCCAGTCGGGATTCAGGCCTCATCAGGGGACTGAAACTGCCTTGGTCGCACTGGTTGATGATCTCTGGCGGGCTAGGGACAAAGGTGAGAGCTGTTTCCTAGTTCTGCTGGATCTCTCAGCAGCATTTGATACCATCGACCATAACATCCTTCTGGACCGTCTTGAGGGGCTGGGAGCTGGGGGCACTGTCATACAGTGGTTCCGCTCCTTCCTCCTGGGCCGTGTTCAGAAAGCGGTGGGGAGGTGAGTGTTCAGACCCCTGGGCTCACACTTGTGGGCTGCCTCAGGGTTCTGTCCTCTCCCCCATGCTTTTCAACATCTACATGCAGCCACTGGGAGAGATCATCAGGGGGTTTGGGCTGGGTGTTCATCAGTATGCAGATGATACCCAGCTCTACCTCTCTTTTAAATCAGAACCAGTGAAGGCGGTGAAGGTCCTGTGTGAGTGTCTGGAGGCGGTTGGAGGATGGATGGCGGCTAACAGATTGAGGTTGAATCCTGACAAGACAGAAGTACTGTTTTGGGGGGACAGGAGGCGGGCAGGTGTGGAGGATTCCCTGGTCCTGAATGGGGTAACTGTGCCCCTGAAGGACCAGGTGCGCAGTCTGGGAGTCATTTTGGATTCACAGCTGTCCATGGAGGCACAGGTCAAATCTGTGTCCAGGGCAGCTGTTTACCAGCTCCATCTGGTACGTAGGCTGAGACCCTATCTGCCTGCGGACTGCCTCGCCAGAGTGGTGCATGCTCTGGTTATCTCCCGCTTGGACTACTGCAATGCGCTCTACGTGGGGCTACCTTTGAAGCTGACCCGAAAACTACAACTAATCCAGAATGCGGCAGCTAGACTGGTGATTGGGAGCGGCCGCCGAGACCATATAACACCGGTCTTGAAAGACCTACATTGGCTCCCAATACGTTTCCGAGCACAATTCAAAGTGTTGGTGCTGACCTTTAAAGCCCTAAACGGCCTCGGTCCAGTATACCTGAAGGAGCGTCTCCACCCCCATCGTTCTACCTGGACACTGAGGTCCAGCACCGAGGGCCTTCTGGCGGTTCCCTCACTGCGAGAAGCCAAGTTACAGGGAACCAGGCAGAGGGCCTTCTTGGTAGTGGCGCCCTCCCTGTGGAATGCCCTCCCACCAGATGTCAAAGAGAACAACAACTACCAGACTTTTAGAAGACATCTGAAGGCGGCTCTGTTTAGGGAGGCTTTTAATGTTTGATGTAGTACAGTATTTTAATATTTTTTTTGGAAGCCGCCCAGAGTGGCTGGGGAAGCCCAGCCAGATGGGCAGGGTATAAATAATAAATTATTATTATTATTATTATTATTATTATTATTATTATTGAACAACAAATCTCGACCTTTTGGCTTATCCATACAGGTGTTATTCCTGTGCAAGCAGTAGATGGAATTGCCAGTGGGACTGGAAAACCCACTCCTGTCAGGACTCTTCTTCAGAAACAGATGTGATTCAGCAAAATATGGTAAAACCTTTAAAAGTAGTATGAACAGATCTTATTTAAATACAGCAATACCTCTGGTTATAAACCATCCTCCTTGCGAACACTTCGGGTTACGAGCTCCGCTAACCCGGAAGTAGTTGCTCCTGGTTGCAAACTTTGCCCCGGGATGCGAGTGGAAATTGCACGCCGGCGGCTCCATTAGTGAAAGCGCGCCTCAGGTTAAGAATGGTTTCGAGTTGAGAATGGACCTCAGGAAGGAATTAAGTTCGTAACCAGAGGTACCACTGTATTTAAGTGATGGTTTCTATTTTATTTTTATTTATTTGTTTGTTTTGTTTTTGTAAATAAATTGGAAAGGAATAGCAACAATCTGAAAGTAACTTCGGGGGGAGGGGGAACTCTGGGGGTTTTGTACCTCCTTGGTGGGGAATGGAAATAAATATTGGAGTGAAGTGACTGGGAAGCCGTTCAATGTTTTCTTTTCAGTCCATTTTGCTGTTTTACTTAAATGGCTGGAAAGGAATTTCAAGAATGGGAATGAAAGTTTAGCATATGCTGCAGTCATTTTTAGCATGTCTAATTTGAAAAACTGTAATCAAATCTGTCACTAAGCATGAAGATCTTCAGAACAACAAAAATTCAATTGTCCAAAGTAGGTGCAGATGTTTTGTGATATAATATTTCTAGTTTTAATTGCATATGAAAATGTTTTGTTTTTTTCTCCTAGGCGGAAAAATGCCCACACTTTCTAGATCCCAACCCTAAAATAATACCCATGGAAGTCTCAACAAAAGTATCTTTTGAAGGAAAGAATCTGGATTATTATGAGGTAATTTTCACAAAGTGCTTGAATATATTTTAATATTATATACCTCTCAGCAGTTCGTGAACAGTGTCCTCTTCTGAAGTCTGCTGTTTACAAACTCCTTGTGCAAAAAACGTTACACAGTTCTAAATAGACATTGAACAATTCCTTGCATACAAGACTGATGATTTCTTTAAGCTTGCTTTCATAAATATTTCACAAATATAACAATAGTTTTCAATATTATACAGTTGATGTGGGTAAATAATTAAGAACATGTATGCTTTTTGTTCTTTGATTTACTTGTCGTGTTTGTTGCATTTGACTTAACGTTACAATGAGCAGAGAAACGTCTTTGTCTAGTTTATATCTTTTGTTGAAGTGTCTGCCGTATTTTATAGCTTCTCTCTGTTGCCAAACATCACCCCCCCCCCGACATTTGTCAGGGATGATAAAACTGTTTTTACTTTTCCTCCCTTCCCCATGCTAAGCTGAAACGTTTTTGGTGTTGCGAAACATCTCTCATGTGTAATGTAAGCGAATTATATGTGTGTCTCTTAAATCAGTGGTTCTTAAACTGCTCTTTAGCTGTCGCTGTCATAGTTGCCTCATTTTTCTCCAGGATGAAGGGGTACGGGGCCTCCTGATTAGAAACCGTTCACTGGTGTGGAGAAACAATATTATTATTATTTATTGAGTTCATATACTGCCCTATACCCGGAGGTCTCAGGGCGGTTCACAGAAAAGATCACAACATATATAATCAGAATAAAAAACAACAACCCAATAATACTCCCCCAGAAAAGAACCACATTTTAAAAGGGTATAGGATAGTCTGCAGTTATGAACAATAATGAGAGGGTGTTCCCAGATGTCCAGAAAGGCAACCAAGTCTGCCCCTTCTGCTCTTTCTTCATCTTGTTCCTCCTTCAGCCATCTCCATTCCTTCTAGAAAATTCCACCACACCTTCTTTGGCTTTGTACCTCAATGGCTGTATCAGAAAAGCCGTATCTGAGGAGTTGCATCTTAAACTTAACAGTTCCTGGAGCTTTGTTGGTCTATGTTTATAGCCTAGGGACAGCGTGATACTTTTATGTGAAATGCAGATTATTATGAAATAGTCCATTAAGAGAGGCTTTGCTCATTCCCCAACGGTCTCTGTCGTAAAGGCCCTTGAGAGGTTAGTGTTTCGCATTTAATGGTCAGCTGCTCTAAATGTAGTTTGGGGCTTCCTATGCCTCATCTTGGATGTAGCAATCAATATTTGTGCGGTTTTAATTACAGGATATGGATATGGCTGCAGTAGGGGGGAAAAAAAAAAGGTTAGGTGTGGGTGCAGTGCAGCTGTGTTGAGCTATAAACAGGAATACATATGTAATCCTGTTCCCTCTGTGCCCACACATACCCTTGAAGTGATGTGCAGGGATGCTCTGTGAAAGATTTGTTTTTCCTTAGTGTGTCCTCTTCTGATGGTGGTTTGTCTGTAGCGCCAGAAGAAGTACATGTAGCAGCAGCATGGAACAACTACAGTCATCCATTCCACTGTGGCCTCCATGTTTTAGAAAGCAATATAGTAGCAGCGCCAGTAGTAGTTGTTATATGCCAGGCATCCTCAACCTTCGGCCCTCCAGATGTTTTGGACTACAATTCCCATCATCCCTGACCACTGGTCCTGTTAGCTAGGGATCATGGGAGTTGTAGGCCAAAACATCTGGAGGGCCGCAGGTTGGGGGTGCCTCTTATATGCTGTCCATCTGACTGGGTTGCCCCAGCCACTCTGGGCAGCTTCCAACAAAATATTAAAAACACAGTAAAACATCTACCATTAAAAACATCACTAAACTGGGCTGCCTTCCGATGTCTTCTAAAAGTCAAATAGTTGTTCACCTGTTTGACATCTGATGAGAGGGCATTCCACAGGGTGGGCGCCACTACGAAGAAGGCCCTTGGCCTGGTTCCCTGGAGCTTCATGTCTTGCAATGAGGCCCTCAGAGCTGGACCTCGGTTGTCCGGGCTGGATGATGGAGTTGGAGGTGTTCCTTCAGCACTTGGAATTGTGCTTGGAAATGTCTTGGAAGCCATTGTAGATCCTTTAGGACCGGCGTTGTATGGTCCCGGCGGCTGCTCCCAGTCACCAGTCTAGCTGCCGCATTCTGGATCAGTCGTAGTTTCTGAGTCAGCTTCAAAGGTAGCCGTGCATAAAGCTCGTGTCCCAAAAGCTCTCTGGAAAACATTTACAAAATGTTGAGTAATGAAGGACACAATTCGCCTATTGTAAATCCTCATGACTAACACCATACCATAAATTTATTGTGTCCTTTGTATTTGTGACACAGCTCCATGGTTCCTCTGATACGGTTCACTTTGAACCAAGAGCTGCCTTAGTGCTTTAGTTCACCGTTTCCAGTCTACTACTACTGTCAGATATCTCTCAGGAGGTTACCAGACATGAACACCTATAGCTGGAAACTTAGACCTCTTGACAAGGAGACCCTGTCTGCTCTATCCTAGGCTTTTTACTCTCTTGGGTTCCTTTGGAGAAGACAAAAAGCACAATCTAAAGCCCTCAGCTTCCATAGATTGACACCCCCCCCCAAATGTTATTATGAACATAGTTCATTCTACAACAATCAGGTTTCAATTTTCACTGGTCACTCCCATCCATAGATTACTGCAGAAATCTTTACAATCTCGCTATCCCTGAATTATATTGAATTCCTGGGCTTTGGGGTGGGGGGAATGTGTGTGAAAGAGAGAGATACTTTTGTAGTTGACAGATAATTCTAGATTCATTCAGCTTCAAATTGCACGCACCCATTCCTCTTTTAAAAAAAAAAAATTATAAAAACTTTTAAACTCAGCAGGAAATATTCTGTTGTATGAGTATCATGTTATTTTACCTACTGGAATTAATTACAGTACAGTACCAGTTTTATGGTATCCAAACTTTCTATTGGGCATCAGGAATTTTATCTGCTGAGTCCCACCCCCTCAGATTTCAACGTCTTAGATGGGTGGCAAAAATGGCAATTGTTGTAGGAAGATCAGATCAACAAAAAAAATGTTTCAGTCCATACTGTCAGGGAACTGACATCGGAGAGAGAGCCGAAGGGGAGGCTCCTAGATGATGCTGGAGAAGGACCCAGCAGCAGGGGGAGAAGCAGCTCAGTTGAGGGGGAAGCATTTAAGCGCAACACCAGGGATAAAGGGGGGCAGATGGGGGAATCGGAGAGAGGGCTCCAGGACTCTTCACTGGAACTCAGTGAGGAGGGGACAGGTCCTCCGCTACCCACGCCCTCCCTGCGCAGAAGACTCCCGCGCAGTGAGAGGAGGAGGAGACTGGGTGTCAAACAACTCTTATGTTGGAAGAGGTTCAAGAAACGCCCACTGACGGATTCTGCCAGCGACTGAGGCAGTCACGATTAGAAAGGGCTGTGCAGTCAGAAAGGTTTAACAAGGCAAATTAGCCTAGAGAGGCACCAGTTTACGCACAAGTAACTCATACTCATCACACATACCTCTACTGAAATTTTGGCCAAAATGTCCCTTAAGATTTAGCTGACAGAAACCCTGCTACAAATTGGACATGGGAGTCCAATTCACAAGTAACTACTTGAAGGAGGAGTTATCATTGTGTGGGTGACTTTCAGTATTCCCCTCGCTATTAAAGCATCAATTGCTCAGGTGCCCCCACTTTTACAACGGCTTACCAGACTTTTCTGTGTACTCAGTTGCGGAGTCTCTACGATGGTAGCCTTTGCTTTGGGAATGTTAATTTGCGTACTTTCAGGTCGTCTCCTCTATACAGTGGTACCTCGGGTTAAGTACTTAATTCCTTCCGGAGGTCCGTTCTTAACCTGAATCTGTTCTTAACCTGAAGCACCACTTTAGCTAATGGGGCCTCCTGCTGCTCCTGCGCCACCGGAGCACAATTTCTGTTCTCATCCTGAAGCAAAGTTCTTAACCCAAGGTACTATTTCTGGGTTAGCGGAGTCTGTAACCTGAAGCGTATGTAACTCGAGGTACCACTGTACATCCTTTCGATCTAATTTTTTTTTAAAATGATATTTATTAAAGTTTCAAACAATACAAAACCAAAAAATAAAAATACAAGAAAATACAAAATACAGAAAAAAGAGTAAAATTTTTAAAATATAACAAAAAAAGAAAAATAAAGAAAAACATACAAGATAAAAACAGTTAAAAACACGTTAACTTTCCATAGCATATCTTCCTTACCCTTATTTCCCCGGACCTCCTCATACCTCCCTTTTTGTATTCCAGTTCAGTTTGTTAGTTCTGCAAATCCTTACCATTAAGCTTTTACCCATTTGTAAACCCTTTTTCGTATCTCTTAAAGCATTACAGCTGGAAACCACTTAGTTTCTATCCAACATCCTTCTAAGATTCATTAATTTTACAATATTTCTGTAAATAGTCTTTAAATTTCTTCCAGTCTTCTTTCACCGACTCTTCTCCCTGGTCTCGGATTCTGCCAGTCATTTCTGCCAATTCCATGTAATCAATCACCTTCATCTGCCATTCTTCCAGAGTGGGTAGATCTTGTGTCTTCCAATACTTTGCAATGAGTATTCTTGCTGCTGTTGTAGCATACTGTACATCCTTTTGATCTAACAGGATCTGCTAATGGAAGAAACCTTTCTGCATTAATAGAACATAGAGAGGGATGTTCCCTCTTGCCAAACAATCTAGAATTTAGCATGCTACCTAACCTAGACACCTTTATACTTTACAATTTAATCTCTTGGTCAAAACTATTCAGTGGCACCATCATGGCTCCAGGACCACCCCTTTAAAATCACTGCAACATTCCTGTTTGGGGCTGTAAAGTTTCTCTTGAACTTTAGATTTTGGATTACATCAACCTTTGCCTTGCCTGAGAGCCTGTCAGAGCCTTCGTACCTCCTTGCTTCCTGAATCTGCTACCTGCTCGAAATTTCTTTAATTAAAATATTTTTTCTCTTCAGTAACCCAACTTACCCTTTGAGTTCCTTTCCAAATACATCCTAGTCGTATTGTGGAGAAGTATCTCACCCCTGAGAAGGGCAATATGAAAAGCAAGGGAATGAAAGTGAAAGAGTTCTGGGACATTTCTTGCCACCTCTCTCTGTAGTCTGCCTTCCCTGTTTCCCACACTAATGAGTAAGGCAAGGAGAGGAAGAAAAGGCAGAGAATCAACTCTTCCCTCAAAAAAATTATTCTTGGGTTGGGACACCTCAGGTCTTTCTGTGGCAACCTCTCAGCAAGCTACCTTTTTAATGACTTTCTCAAATTCTTTCTGCTGTGTGTTCAAGAGCACCCCTTTCAGCACTGTGACATGGCTGAAATGTAGGAATTCCTCATTTGGCAGTTCATAAGTTGGTTATTTTGGCTGGGGAAATAGCATTAAGAGCACATACAATGCAGATTTTGTGACTACACTTTCACTTTCTCCACCAGCTTCTTTTTAGTTCATTCTTGCTTCATACTTGGCTGTTGTTTGGGAGTTCTGCCACTTTCTTGGAAAGGAGAGAACTCCTGCTGTATTTACAAATGCCACTGTCAGCTCTTTCTAATTTCCAAACTGTGTTTGTAAATCTATAGAAGCTTGACTGATTGATTTTGAGATCTTGGTAAGAGCTGAAATTATCATTTTGGACAAACCGGTAGTACAGAGTTGGTTGTGACAGTGATGATGATGATGATTTCGATTTCTTACCTGTGCTTCACCATAAGGTCCCAGCATGGGTAGTAGCCATTTTAAAAAGACAACATTAAAATCAGTTTACCACAAAATATTTTAAAATCATTTGTTTTTGTAGCTATCGTATTGTTTCTGATTTTCTTGAGAGCTCTCCTGTTAGCTAAGGTTGAGAGAGTGTGAACTTCACTGAGCTTCAGATCCAAGCGGAATAGCGATGAGATTGGAGCCTGGAACCCTAGACCTCCACTATGATGCATCTGAGTTTCCTTTGCTTATATTGCACTTCCTGGGTGTGGGGTAATGGCTAGTACATAGGCCTTAGACTAGGGAAATCTGGGTTCAAATCCTTGCCTAGCCATGAAGTTCACCGAGCCAGTCACTGTCTCTCAGTCTAACCCGCCTCACCAGGCTGTGAAGATAAATAGAAAGGTGGGATTAAAAATGCATCAAGCAAAATTCTTTCTGCTTTAAGTACTTCTCCTGTGGTAGTAATTTTAATAGTTTGCACACAGACCGAGTCCTGTCAGTCACAAAGTTTGCTTGTGCCCTCTCACAGTGATTTCTTTCTGGCATTGTAGAGTCACTGGGTTGGGCTTAGACTCCTCCTGTGATGACAAGTGCAGGAGAAAAAAATATCTTCAGGACGTGGGTACAGAGAGGCCCTTAAAATGGGTTGGCGAGATCAAGCCACAGTCCACCAAGGCTGTTCCCCAAAGTTGTGAGCTCCCTGTGGAGTGATTTTTCTGAGAAGTAAGGATGAGATATGCTGCCTTAATATTGCCTTCCCCTGCCTTTGGAAAAGCACTTAGAGGAAATGTTTTGCATGCTTTCCATCTCTTTTTGATTAAAAATTGTTTGGAGTAATCTATTTAGAGCATCAGAAAATGTTGTAAAGTCCTGCCTAAAGAGCCTACATGATCTGTGTTATAGTTGTGATTGCCACAGTTTAATGATTAAGGCTGTCAATTTGATCTAGTTGTTTCCAGAGCTGCTCAGTGAAACTACTGTTGGCCTAGTGCTGGTATTCTAAGTCCAATATCTTTCTTTTACAGGGTAGCGATTTCAGAATTGGAAATAACCGCATTCAGTTTGAGACCAAAGTGGAAAAAGCATCTGATGGAACTTTCTTTTTTCAAATCCAACCGGTAAATATCAGAAATTGTGGGGTGGGGTGCTTACAGATCACTTTCTCTCTTGACTTCTTCAAGGCTGAGCAACATTCAGCAATGAGCTCACCTTTCCACCTCCTACAGTCAACATGTTGGTTGTGTTCAGACTTCTCTCCTTCCCTCCACTGCCAGCTTTGACACAGAGATATCGGCTTCGTTAAGCCAAAGTTTCCCTTTACATCTAAACTGATTATCAGGCATATAAGCCATTGTCCCATTTTGTTGGGCTGGCCAATATACTATGAGGATGGAGATGAAACAAGCTGGCTATGACTTGATGTTGGTGATAGACCTAAGATAAAGAAATGATAAGATCTGTGCTGTTGTTGAGATTGTTGGCCTTTGCTGGTGAATGTTGATGAGATTTTCCGATTTTTGTCATTCACTTTTATTGAGGCAGTCAAAAATATATCTATACTTTGGACAAATGCATAAGTGACACAACAGGATTATTAAAATTTGCTCACGGGGAGAGGGCAATTTGCTGTGGTCGCCACTAATGCATCCTGTACTTTTAGAATGAAAGCCATTAATGTGTGTGTTCAAATTTTCTCAGTTCTTTGAAAGATACATTTGTTTAACACCCACTGCAAACATGACTAAACATTGCACTTCCCCTTTATGTGCCTTTTGAAAATGAGATATTATTATATACACACACATATATAATAATTTTCTGTTACATTCATCTGTTTCCCATTCTTTTGGAAAGGTTACAACTATCTTTGTTCTGACAAGTGTTATAATCGTATGAATGCATCTCCTACTAGATGTATGTGGTTGTTGTTATTTGTGCCATCATTTTGAAGATACAGCTATCACAATATGACCTTGGAAGCAGGTAGCTACTTGATTTGGGATGAGTGGGTTAAGATATAAGATGATTTCTAACGGAGATAACCATTGTCTTTTCCCCTCCCTTCAGAGTCATGTTGAAAACGAAACACTACCACTTAGCTTATACATTAAGACGGATCAAGGCAAGATTGATAGCAAATTGATTGGTAAGTACATAGTACAGGAAAGGGAAATTAAAAGTACCAAAATCTTATATATGCACCTTTTAAAGCATTTCACTGTTCTAATCATTGCATACAGTGGCACCTTGGTTCTCAAACTTAATCCATTCCAGAAGTCCGTTCGACTCCCAAAACTGTTTGAAAACCAAGGCGCAGCTTCCAACTGGCTGCACTCAAGCCTCATCAGACATTTGGCTTCTGAAAACTGTTCACAAACCAGAACACTTACTGTATTTTTCACCCTATAGGACGCACTTTTTCCCCTCCAAAAATGAAGGGGAAATGTGTGTGCGTCTTATGGGGCGAATGCAGGCTCCTTGGCTTCAGCGATAGCAACGCGAAGCCTGCGCTCCGGAGGCTTCGCGTTGCTTCCGCTGAAGCCAAGAGAGTCTGCTCTTTGAGGCTGGTGGTGGGGGAAAGCAGCGCTTCCCCCATCGCCAGCCCCAGAGGATGGGGGGCACAATCTGGGTCGAAAAGCCCGCAGGAGCCGCGCGCTGTTTAAAGAGCGCGCCACTCTTGGGGGCTTTTCCTCAAGGAGGGACAAGGGACTGACTGGCCGCATCAGTCCCTTCTCCCTCCTAGTCGAAAAGCCTGCAGGAGCCGCCTGCAGCTCCTGTGGGCTTTTGCAAGAGGTGGGGGGATTCCGCCACCTCCTGCAAAAGCAGGGAGAAGGTCTTGGAGTAGCACACGGGCTGCGTGCAGCCTGTCCGCTGCTCCCAGAGCTGCGGGGGGGGGGGATGTGGAATCATATTTTCCCCCTTGATTCCCCCCCCCCCCGAAAACTAGGTGCGCCCTATAGGGCGAAAAATACGGTACTTCCAGATTTGCGGCGTTCGGGAGCTGATTTGTTCAGCAACTAAGCCATTCAGGAACCAAGGTTTGACTGTAATTAGCAATCCATCAGCTTAAAAAAAAATCTAAATAATGTTGTCTTGAATAGGCAATGAATATTACTGTTGTGAACTTAAATATGTATTGTCTTGGCTTGCTTGCTGGGTATGAAAAAGCTTTCCCCCACCCACCCAATAATCCATCCTTCAAGTTTTCTGATAATTTCTCCCAAGTTATGAAGCATCTCTGCAACACAAGTGGCCAGATCTCGAGACCACAGTATAGTTTTAATCAAAAGCTTTGCATCAAGCATGTCAATAAATGGCCACATTTTTTTCTCTAGAGTCAAATGCTATCACTCCATTTAGAGTCAGCCAAGACTTGCTCTTCTGTGCTGCTGCTATTGCTTCTGCCCCTTTGCTGCTTTAGCTCAGTTACAGTGGTACCTCGGTTTACGAACTTAATCCGTTCCGGAAGTCCATTCTTAAACCGAAACCGTTCTTAAACCAAGGCGTGCTTTCCCTAATGAGGCCTCCCGCCGCCAGTGCCCTTCCACCATTCAGATTCCGTTCTTAGACCGAGGTAAAGTTTGCAAACTGGGACACTACTTCTGGTTTTGCGGAGTTCGTAAATTGAATCGTTTGTAAACAGGGCTGTTCTTAAACCGAGGTACCACTGTAGTTAACTTTGGGCTTTTTTCTTATTACAGTCCCAATGTTGCAACTATTTTTGTCCAGGCAGAGGCCCAGTGCGACCAGTGTGTTTCCTGGCAGGCAAAGAAGTCCATGCACAATGACTAATTATGCTAGAAAGAAGCCAGGCATGACCTTCCAAATGCTTTTTAGTAATCCTTTTGCTTATTACTGTGACTCAGTGACACTTATAACTAATGTTGGCTGTGCTGATCAATCTTGCACAGCTACAAATCAATCTTTAGGTATTGTATTTAATAGATTTGCTTTTTAATGGATGTTGCAAATGAAAATCATTGTTCAAGACCTCTCCTCTTTTCCTATAATGCTAATATCTCCCACCCAAACAATATACATCATCTTCCCGTATAGAATTACTGCAAACCTCTAATGTATTGTGGCCACATAAAAGACAAATGATATTCTAGAATGCATTTGATATGGCATTTCCAGTAAGGACCGCAGAGTGTTTCTACATTTGAATAGCACACTGGCAACCTTACCCTTCATCCATTTTTGGTCAGCCATATTCAAGCAGAAGTAACCTGGAATAAATGGAAAGAATTACAGAAAGGGTTCTAAACTTTATAGGTCAAGACTACGGATGCTTGAGGATTTTGTCCAGTCTTTCATTTTAAGTGAACCAACCTGATTTGCAGTTCCCGAACTAATATGTGGATTGGATTGGATTGCCATTATCCTTGAGTTTTTGCAGCTCAAGAATGCTCAAAAAGCGTAACATAATGTGCATTTTAGGGTGGTTTACTCAAATGAATACTATATGGGAAAAGTACAATAGGAATATTGCAGATTTTAGCATAACTTAAAAAAAAAAATTGCAGAAATGAGATGGAACAAAGTTATGAATGAGCACATACAAAATTGGCATGGACCAGAAATTGACTGTCATCCCACCCTAGTCTAGACTAGACGATATTTTCGTTTAAAACACTTCTCATCTTAACAAATGAGTGATGCTCTGTTATATTCCCAAAGTCATCCATCCATATGTTATATATACACTTTCCCTCTCGCTCTCCCTCTCCCTCTCTTTAATTGATTAATGTTCATAGTCTGGTTGGTATCAGCAGGGCGCAGCTTAATTTTACGTCCATTCTGCCCACATTCATCTCTGTGGTTTACTATGAAAAGCAGAAGCTGAAAAGAACTGGGGAAGAAGTACCTTTTTGTACTAGTGGTGTCCCAATTCCCCTTCTCACTTTCTTGCCATTTGCGGGCCCTTAATAGAGCTGAATTTAAGTGCACCACACTTTGAAAGATAGTTACTTTGCTCGTTCTGGTCGCTACTACAGAGAAGGTGAGCAATTATTGAATTTCCAAATATAAATGAATCCTTTCTTTCTGTAACACATTTAGAGAATACCAAGTAGCATTGGCATTTAATGTATTTTTATAGCCACTGGAGACTTAGAGCAGTATGAAATCCAATATATCCCTTTTATCCTTTGTCCTGTTCTATCAATGGTTTCACAGCTAGTACCTAAAGATGATGGATAAGGGTTGGAATCTAATGGCTGGTTTGCTGCTGGTACATTTAACAACCTGATCAGTAACGAAACTGATTAACACTTTGAGCTCCGCCACTGTATTGTGTGTTACTTGGAGAGCTTGCCTTTCAATACATTACAAATCTAATTTAGAGGCAGTTTGAGTGCTGGTTTTTGCAGACACAGACGTTGTTTTCAGTTCTCCAAATAAAGATGAAAAATATAAATTGAATCAGTTAGTCAGACACAGCAGTCTCTCTGGTTACTTTAAAAAATCCAGAATTCTGAAATTGAATTCCATCAGTCTGTTTTCTGAGTCAAACCAATAGTACCTCACTGCTCACTTCAGATGTAGAGTGTGTGAATGCACATTCTTTAGCCAGAATCAAAATACAACAAATAACTTCCCTCAAAAGCATGTATCCACCATCAGTCTTTGACTTATACGTATTCACACCATCTAGGGTTGCCATATGTCTGTAATTATCCGGACTTACGCGGTATTTGTCCCTCATAAATGGTGTCTGGGTGGAAATCGGTGAAATGTCAGGGAAAATCTGGAGGTATGGGAGCCCATGTTAGAAGTGTAGATTTTGGCGAATTTCATTAAAAATAGTTCAAAATCTTTTCTGGGGGGTGGGCAGACTAAAAAAAACTTCATCTTTTGTGTCTGGAGTTTCACTTTTTGAAATATGGCAACCCTAACAACATCTATAAAAAGAGATCAGGGCAGGGCATGATGATGGCTTGAGGGATTATTGATTAACAAATTCACTGTTCTGGAATCCAGGCTAACCACATATTCCTAGGCACTTAAATGATTTGGGGCACTGGCCCATAGATGTATTTGAAAAATCTCTCTCTCTCTCTCTCTCTCTCTCTCACACACACACACACACACACACACACGTATACCACTTGGGGGAAAACATTCTAACATGCATTTAAATAAAGAGCCTCTTTAAATGTTATAGAATTTTAATTTCAAGAATTCAGTTAATAATCTTATTAGTGTAAGGCTAAGAAAGGCAGAAACCTAGCAGTTCAAAAGCACGTCAAAGTGCAAGTAGATAAATAGGTACCGCTCCGGCAGGAAGGTAAACGGCATTTCTGTGCGCTACTCTGGTTCACCAGAAGCGGTTAGTCATGCTGGCCACATGACCCAGAAGCTGTACGCTGGCTCCCTCGGCCAATAAAGCGAGATGAGCGCCAGAACAACCCTAGAGTCGTCCGCGACTGGACCTAATGGTCAGGGGTCCCTTTACCTTTACCTAAGAAAGGCAGAGCCTTTTTTCTTATTTTAGCTGATAAATCAGGAGAGAAAAAACATTTATTCTTCCTTTCTTGCTCTTTTTTTAAATATTTCCTATCTGTTGAAGTTGGTAACTTTGTGGAAAATAATTTGGGGAATGTGGGTTTCTCAGATTAATTGCCATATCACATTGGTTAACACGAGTTCTCTTTTCCAGCCCCGATATGCCAGCCTTGTAGGCTCAGCATAAGCTGTTAAGGTCAGGGCTGGCCCTGCCATTAGATATACTGAGGCAGTGACAGCAGGGTGTCGGAAGACAAACGTGTGTGCGCCACACAGCCTGACAAAAACCCCTAAGCCAGCCTATGGTAGCAAAAGATACATGGCTGTGTCCCACTAAGTTATACAGTGGTACCTCAGTTTAAGAACTGTCCTGTTCATGAACGATTCGGTTTACGAACTCCACAAAATGGAAGTAGTGTCCCAGTTTGTGAACTTTACCTCGGTCTAAGAACGGAATCTGAACGGTGGAAGGGCACTGGTGGCGGGAGGCCTCATTAGGGAAAGCACACCTCGGTTTTAGAACGATTTCGGTTTAAGAATGGACTTCCGGAACGGATTAAGTTCGTAAACTGAGGTACCACTGTACAGTGGAACCTCGGGTTACATACGCTTCAGGTTACATATGTTTCAGGTTACACACTCCACTAACCCAGAAATAGTGCTTCAGGTTAAGAACTTTGCTTCAGGATAAGAACAGAAATCATGCTCCGGCAGCGCGGCAGCAGCAGGAGGCCCCATTAGCTAAAGTGGTGCTTCAGGTTAAGAACAGTTTCAGGTTAAGAACGGACCTCCAGGACGAATTAAGTACTTAACCCGAGGTACCACTGTACTCAGACTAGACCCGTCTCAACTAATGGACCTAATTTAGTTGTGCCCATTATTTTCAGTGGGTCTGCTCTGAGCAGGACAACCCTCAGTCCTGTTTCCAGAAGATTCAGCTACCAATCTGGTAAACTCTTGTACATGACAGGAAGGATTGCCATCTTGTGCTTAGTCTCTGGCGGTCAGTGCCTTGACCAGCCCTGGTCAACCTTGTTCAGTTTTCCATCCAGTTAGTCTTTGATTGCAGGACAAGCATTGAAGTCTTGCTGCTCAGCATCATGTATACAAGCATATTACCTTGAATGGGTTGGCAAGCAGATTATGTCTTGCAACCAAAAAGGAAACAGAACCCAAGTTTCTGATTCACAGTTAATAAATAAGCAAGCTTCTGCTCAGCTAGCAAGTTTAACTACTTTGAATAAACACAGTGGATCATGCAGAGCAAGTGGGTGCTATTTTTAAAGAAGACTGGTTTCAGAACACAGTAATGCACTGTAACTGTTTTTTAGCGTAATGTGAGTTATTCCAAAATTGTCAACTCTGAGGACTCCTTCCCATTCCTCCCGTGCTAGTCAGGAAGGTTAATTATAGCTTTGTTGAGCCAAATAATCAGAAGGGAGCCCCCCTTATATTCAGGTTTGTTTGTTTTTTAGTTAGGTAAAGGTAAAGGGACCCCTGACCATTAGGTCCAGTCGCGGACGACTCTGGCTTTATTGGCCGAGGGAGCTGACGTACAGCTTCCGGGTCATGTGGCCAGCATAACTAAGCCGCTTCTGGCAAACCAGAGCAGCGCACGGAAAAGCCGTTTACCTTCCGACCGGAGCGGTACCTATTTATCTACTTGCACTTTGATGTGCTTTTGAACTGCTAGGTGGGCAGGAGCAGGGACCGAGCAACGGGAGCTCACCCTGTCGCGGGGATTCGAACCGCCGAGCTTCTGATCGGCAAGTCCTAGGCTTTGTGGTTTAACCCACAGTGTCACCTGCTACTTAGAACGAAAATGTTATAGTTAGTAAACTTGAGCGCTGATTGTTTCCAGTTAAGTTGGTGATCTGAATGCCCATCAAAAACATACTCAGACACGAAGGCTTGAGAATTGTTGCTTCCAACTTGGTTCATGGTCCTAATTATACAGCACCCTGGATTTACTCTGCGTGTTCTGGAATTAGGCCATGATGCTCTTCAGTCACGTGTGGAGTATGGCTTGGATCTCAGAAGGACTCCAGATATTACAAATTCCCTTCTTAACTTTACCCCTCAGTGAACACAAAGCTGTTACAGGCTTAAGAGACGCTCTGTTTTCCTCTGTGATTCATGGCCACGATAACCAGAAGTGGCAGGGCATCCTTTATCATGGTTCCAGTGCTCCCCAGTGCCCTCCCAATCCTGGTCTCTGACACCATCCATCAACCTTTGGTCCTTGCTGCAGGACTCCTTGGGTGGAGGCATAAGTTGAACCATCTTGGCGTGTATATGAATATATATTATTGCACTACGCTGTCTGAATTCTGCTTTTCACGGCACAACAATAAGTTGTAGACTTTCGTGTGGTCTGTTTATCTTAAAGTTAACTATGAATAGCTATCTGTTTTTGCTCCAGACATCTGAGATTGATTAGAAAGCTCTCCAGACAAGAATGAACTTGCATATTGAAAAATCTCTAAACACAGCACCCCTACAACTCTCATTGCCCGTCAACCCATGTGCATTTCATCTGAAATAACATCTCAGCTAGATCTAAATCTACTGTTAACAAAGGAATTTCTTCTAGTCACTTATTTTTCAGTTCCCCTGCCCTAAGGTAGAACTGTCCGACTATTTGCCGTCCTGACAGTTCAGGGAAAAAATGTGCTAATCTGCGGAAAGGCTAATCTGCTAAGCAAGTACAGTGGTACCTCGGGTTAAGAACTTAATTTGTTCTGGAGGTCTGTTCTTAACCTGAAACTGTTCTTAACCTGAAGCACCACTTTAGCTAATGGGGCCTCCTGCTGCTGCCACACCGCCAGCGTGCAATTTCTGTTCTCATCCTGAAGCAAAGTTCTTAACCCGAGGTAGTATTTCTGGGTTAGCGGAGTCTGTAACCTGAAGCGTATGTAACCTGAAGCGAATGTAACCCGAGGTACCACTGTATCACTTAGATGGCTGAAGCATAGGAGCTCACACTTGCACTGCACAGGAAAGCAACACAACAACAAAGCTTCCATGGTCTCCTCCCACTTCGATCTACACAAAATTTCTTTCCAACCCCAGATCTGGTGGTCTGTCTGTACATGAGCCTGGTCAGGCCGCTGAATGCAATAAAACCAAAACTGAAGGGCTCCATTATTTTGCTTTCCGCCCTCCGCCCCCATTATCTTACTTTCCTTTGCAAGTTACAGTAATCATTAAGAATGCATTAATGTATCAATAATTTGATGAAGCTGTGTGGCTAGGACACTTAAGTACATTACTGAAAGTCAGAAAGGTGATAAGATGCGAAGATAGATTGAGTCGCTCATTCGTTATTTATTTGTGCTCCTTTCTTTGCCTTTTGCACAAAAAAGGGTGGTGGCTCCCAGAGCAGCTTACAGAAAGCAATAGAGAGGGAGTCCCATGCCCTCAAGTCTACATTCTAAAATTCATAACACACTGGGGGAGGGGTGGACAGGGTAGGCAGGAAGGAAGAGGGAAAAATGGCTTCTTCACAGTTCTTGAAGAGCTGATCTGGTGGGAGCTGGAATACTCTCAGGAGGAGGCTTGATGAGTTGCGTTCCTCCGTCCGTGGCAGTTCTCACATTTTTGCAAAAAAGCAACACTCACCTTCCTCCTGCACCCAGGATCAGATTCGAGAGCAGATGACAATGTCCAGGCTGGGAGAACAGGACTGCTCCTGCCCAGTGGCGAAGCTGCATGCTCCACTACTGGGGGCAGAGAGCAGGCGGGGGCGCGGCACACGTTCCTGGGGTGTGACACGCTGCCTGTGGGGGCGTGGTGCATGGGGGGTGCCACGATGGCACCCTACCGGAATAGTGGCGCCATGGGCGGACCGCTCCCTCCGCACTCCCGTTCCTCCACCAGCGCTCCTGCCACAGTTATCTCCTCAAGCAGCCGAGTTGGTGGTTAGTCACAGATTGTGGTATTTGTTGAGCGCCATGATTGTACCTTAATGATGCTGCCCTGTTGGATGCACGTCAAGATTAATGTGGGTTTGAATTTCTCTGAGTGGTGTAATAGTAACTGGCGCTAGAAACATGCATATGACTTGTTTTCCATTTTTACAGTGACTCTATACAGCTGTTCCTATGGTCGGGATGACTGCAGCTTGTGTCTCGCAGCTAATCCTGCGTATCAGTGTGTCTGGTGTGACGACAGCTGTGTTTACACTAGCCGGTGTGCTGCTCCCACTACCACCTGCCCTCCTCCAGTCATTACTATGGTAATTTATGCATCATTCATAACATAGCGTGAAGTCCACTCAAGTCAGCTTGCAAAGCATTTATGGAATTCTGAGGAGCTGTTGCAAACTTGTGAAGTCCCATAGTAAAGAGACTCTGTCTGTTTCTTTAAGATCCAGATGGTGAATAATCACTGTGCTCGCGGGGCATTAGAACTGGCTTTTTGACTAAACAAACCAACAGGAAAAGGCTACATAACTATATCCTAGGAGTGTCTTCCAGTAGTGCTGTAATGGCAGGCTGCTCCTAGGTTACACGGGACGAGTTCATAGCATGGTTTCTTGCCTTGCCTGCATTGTCTCAGATCCCAGGAAGGGGTATTATTGGCACGAGAGAGTCACTGTGTCACCAGAGCAGCTAAGGAAGGAGGCATGCCATTACATTTCCTGTACCACTAAGGGGCTGAACTTTACGAGATGTGTGAATATACTGCTGGTCTGTCTTTGCTCTCCATACTTCCTCATAGCATCTGATTTAACCCAATAAGCTGGTTCAGACATAACAATCTCCGTTTAACAAAGCCAAGAATGTTGCATCTGAACAGCCCAGTGTGTTAGATGATATAATCATCACTGTACATTGCTAGCAGCTAGTGACGATAAGGTAGAAAGCCAGACTAATACAATTACATTATTCAGGCATTGTGTTAAAACAGTTACGGTTAGACAGGAGAGTCTTCAGCTTCACCCCTTACATACCTTGTTCTGCCCAGATTGCTTTTTACATTTTCTGGCTGTCCAAAGCGTTTTAGTTCAACAAGTCTAGTCCCCCTTAGGGTTGCCATTTTTTTGAAGAGAAGAAAGAGGACACATTTGCCAAAATCTACTTTTAACTATGGATCTCTATGATAACTCTCATATCATAAGAAAGAGGACGTGTCCAGGGAAAAGAGGACATGTGGCAATCTTGCGGCCTTCATCTTATCCAACCAGTTCCACAGTTCTAAATTTGTAGCAGAACATTAAAAAGAACATTTGTAAGCAGAGTGGTACCTCAAAAGGTATCTCTGCCTGTAACCTGCTTCAGAGGTAGTTCACTCAACTAAATAAATGCTTCAGTATTTTTTTCTATTAAAAGGAGACACCATCGGGTTCTTTAGGCAACCACAACACAGTTATAAACTGGATGAAATGCTAGGTGTTACTCTAGGCAGGAATGCTATATATAATAGTTATAACCCGGTGTTGTAATAAAGTATAGTAGAATTCCATTTTCCGTCAGGTATTTGAAATGATGCAGCTTGTTATTGATTTTATAATATTGGGAAGAGCGTTAGACTTGACATTTTACAGTAAAAAATAGTTGGCTCTCGAGGGTTTTTTCCCCTAAAAAGGCAATTAGGATTTTTTAGGAGTAGGCAGCCGCATAACAGAAGAGGCCACAGAAAGTCCACAGAAAGCTCTACCAGTGTTGCTGGATCTCAGACTGCCAGAATTTTTATCATTTCCTTCCTTCTTTCACAGACTTTTTGCACCTGGAGCCCAATAGGTTGGAAAATTCAGGTTCTCAGGGACAGAGGCAGTAAGGCAGGCCTCAGAGTCCTCTGAAGTTCATCCTCAGTGCAGGGAGGGATGCCAGTTAGAAAAGGGAGATCAGAAGCCCTGTGCAAATCTGTTTGGCCTATCTTTGGCCTGGGGATCGCCACTATTTCTTTATCACAGTTGGCCATTCCTGATTTACATCCCTAGGCACTCTGCACTGCCCTCCTTTTACCACAGTCCCTTAACAGGTATAATTCTGTTGCAATACATCCTCATAGTAAAGTCTTATATTTAAAAAACCGTGCATCATTCCCCTTAAAGGGGAAAAATAAATATCAATGGAAGTCTTCAATATACCCCTAGGACATGAAACTCTTGTAAAGCAGATGTCCCCCCCCCCCCCCCGCCTAAACACAAAGGTTTGCAGCTCCCTACCTTTCAATTCTTAGAAAAACCAGTTTGATATTTCAGTTGAGTACTTTGTGGTACTCCGTAGGATATAAAATATCATTGCTCTCAGGAAGTACCTAAATGCTCCAAGGTGTCCACATTGACAACAGAACAAAAACTTTTGTTCTAGAGTCAAAAGAGGTGGTTCTGAAAACTTGCCAGGGTGATGTGCTGAGCTCTCACTGTACACTTTTAACACAGGAGATATAAAGTTATGGGAGAACAAAGATAAACCATTTGTGCATGGATATATGCCTGTGGGTCTTGGGAGGGTGTTGGAGCAACAAAAGTGTTCTGAAAAATCATTGAACTATAGCTATTATGCAGTGGCAGACTAAACTTGAATGACTTCTAAGGCTAGTCAGGTTTTGTTAGCTGACAAAGGGCAAGAACTCCTTATTCCAAAAACTGCACAAATAGAGTTAAAATGTCAAGATTTCCTAACCACCCTTGCCACTAGGGGTAGGGTTCAACTGATATATAATCTCAGAGTTTGCATGCCCATCCACTACAACCAGAATAAAAATTGGAATTTTCCAGATTTCTGGCCAAAACTCAAATTTAAACCCCAAACATTTGTATTCCTCCTTGAAGTCTGTGAACTTACTGTTTAAGCTGCTGGTTGGTTATTAAAATGATGTTGTGACTTTTTAAGTATGTTTTCTTTATGCTCAGATTGAACCACGTAATGGACCGCTGAGCGGTGGAATTTTGTTGACCATAATGGGATCTAATTTGGGCATAAATGCTGAAGATGTCAAAAGTATAACAGTGGCAGGCACTGAATGTATATTTAGAGAACAATTCTACTCTGTTTCTACCAAGTAAGTAATTGTCTGATGTCCTGAATGCCAGTTTGTTTGTTTTTTATCTATTTGCTGCAGGTTCATAGAAATGTGAAATAAAACAACTGTCCTGACAAAAATGACAGTTGTTTGCTTTAAATATATAACTTCTTGAGCATTTCTGTATGGTAATGAGTTGTAACTATTTAATGTGTTTAGCTGTAATTCTAGAGACAACTGCAATGTTTATGCTTATTCTGTTGTACTTTATACATGTAATTATGTAAGAGACTTGTAATAACAGCCACCTTTATATTTATGATCTAACAGCTCTAACTCGTTTGTTGCTTATCCAGACTCAATTATGCACTAATTTATTTGAACTGGAGGCATTTGTAAGTTATCTCATGCAGCTTACATTTCCAATGGTGTCACTGCAGGAAAGTCTCATATATTAAACATTTACAACCTTGCACACATTTTTTTAAAAAAAAAACCCACCCACCCCTTTTTGTAATCCTGTACACAAATATTATGAACAGGTAGTTTTGTTATGTTCATTTTTAAAACACATCTCTAAAATGAACATTGGAAATGTTTTAATTCAGTTTGGCAAATGTTAGGCATCCAGGTATCCTGTTATTGTGTATTCATGGTGATTTGTGCTCATGATGGTATTGGGGCGGTTATATGCTTCCAATACTGTTTGCACCTGCAAAACATTTTGTGTTGGTGAGACTGTCTTTGTTTCCCATCAGTACTTGTCCCATAGCTTCCTACTAAAACCCTGTAACACAATGCAAACATTCAGGGGGTGGGGTGTTCTATCCTGCTATTGTTGTGCTATAGTGTATGAGTGTCCCCCAGATCGCAATAATGCAGTAGTACTGAGAAAGTATTGCAGAACTAGTAAAGTAAAAACATGTTCGAACGGTTCCATATAAATCCATCACTGATTCACTTGTATTGCATCAGTGACATGTTGCAGAATACTTCTGCCAAAAACAAAGAAAAAACAACCCATGCAGGGGGGGGTGCACCTCCGATGGGGAAATCAAGGTGTGAGTCTTGGTTTTTCCTATTTCTTTGAGAAATAAACCTGTAAATTCATCTTGTGAAAAGGAATGGCGTGCCATTTTTTAATGGTTTCTACATAATGAAGGCTTGAGTGTGATCTTCTCCCGGAGATTTAAAATCATTTGCGTGACCGATTCTAGTTTATTCCACCTTGTATTACTTTTGAGGCTTCTGTAATGGTGTCTTATTTAATTGTTAGATTTTATTTTATTTAAGAATGGACTGCAGGGAATATATATCAATTTAGTTCTTTTATGTACAAGCTTACCTTGTTTCCAACTAGGATTGTATGTGAGGTTGGAAGTGTGCCAGAAGCAAAAGAAGGTGAAATTGAAGTTGATGTAAATGGACAACAAGGCAGATCAACAAACGAAGTGCAGTTTACATATCAGGTGAGTCTGTCCTTGTCAATAGCTTACCTTATTTAACACATAGTATCTTGTTTTCCATTTCTCACTGGGTCAAACGTAAGTGTATAAACAGTGCATTGGTTTTTATTGCTTCATTTGGAACCATGGAGGTTCTGCTGAAACAGAATGCTTAAGTCTGCTAAATATAATAGAGAGACGGCCTGTTATAAATAAGGTGGATACGGCACCTGTACTACAGAAGACAGAAAAGAGATGGATGGGCAGCCTTGTGCTCATCCAAACATGCTTCCACCCCTTAAAGGTCTAATGCTAATCCAGTCACAAAGGGACTCTTAGGACATTTGACTTTATGCTCAAGGGACGCAGCTTCAAGCCATCATCTGCCTGCTACTTCACCCAATTCTTCCAAGGCAAAGAAGTCCCACCTTGGGGAAGGAGGATGTGTTAGTAGCTTGTATAGATAGCCAGGGAAGACTGGAGCATCCTGGGGGGCTGCCCAGGTAACAGCAAATGAAGCACAGAGCATCATTTACTGCCAGGGCTTTGGAGTTTGTAATCCACAAATTGCACAATAGAAGAAGGTGCTCTGTGCATCACTTTCCACTGAACAGGCAGCCTGCTAGAGTCTTCATTGGAAGCCATGCATGGGCTGAAACTGCCCTCCTAACCCAAAGTGAGGTTTGGGTTTTGCCTTGAGAGAGGAGTAGCATCCAGTGGACAACTAAAGATGCAGAGAGACGCAAAGGATGAGATTAGGGGAGAGTGGGTTGTCTTTGCCTCGGTTCAGCTTACAGCAATCCAAGCAGGGGTGGCTGCATAGTTGAACACCCCTGCTTGAATCCTCAGCCAACCCTCAGAAAAAAAACATATTTGGCTTTGATATGGGCCATACTTAAAGAAACAGCTCGTAGCTTCCTGCTGAACCGGTAATCTTAATGGGGAGAATGGATGCCTAGTCACTGAACGGTACCTAATGATACTAGAAATCCTAAAACATTTTCAGTTGGGTTGCTTAATTCCATAAATAGAGTCTCTGCCACAGACGGCATGATATAAGTCATGTGAGAGATACAGTTAGCCACCTTGTCACCATGCCAAAGGATAGGCCTTCAATTGCCTTGCCGCAGATGCAGCCCTAAAACTCGCAGGACCTTATAGTGCTTGTAAGGTATAGGTAAGTGTACATGGATAGATACAACGTACAGGGTTATTTTTAAATTCAGCTGTCACTTTTGGTATTTAAAACAAAACTAGTGAAATGTGTCATATGGAAAGTCAAGGTTAGGTTATTCTCTTGGGGATTCATTTTTCTGCCTGGGCTATTTCAGCTTTCACGCTGAATAACCACATAGAGGAAGTGGATATGGTCAAGTCACAAGAAGGAAGGAGTTGGATATTTGTAGAATGCGAGGCCAGAATTGGAAAACAAGGGGCATGGGGCATGCATGCCAAATCTGTATTGTCGGTCCATGGCAGGAGTGGGCAGCTTGCAGCATGTGAGACTTCCACTGTGTAATTCTAGCTCTTGCTATTAATAATAATAGCAGCATTGCATTTCTAATTTTCATTACTGCGGAGTTACATGTGACTCTTTCTTCTTCCAGGATCTCCATTCTTTTAGCATTCCAAAATGACAGCTGTTAAAGATTTTTGGCTTGAAAAGCATAACTTGCATTTTAGCTTAAAAAATTCCCTTACAGTTACTGGGAAGATGCAGTGTAAGAGGAAAAGAAAGAACTGAACTGTTAATTTAATGAGGTCACCAAGCTATGGGTAGTTTCTTTTCCTCCCTCTGACTTTTCACACCAATTCTCGGCTAATTATATTTTCTTTCCCCCTCCTCTCACCCAGCTAAAAGAGGAATAGATAGTTTTATTCTAAAAGGAGATGGACATTCTTTGACCGCCTCCACTTTTACCTTGGAGATGCGTCTGTAATGGACACCAGGCTAACAATTCGTGTCTGAAATCTGTAGGGTCATCATGCCATAACTTACATTTCCTTTGGTCCATAGAATTAGGATATGAAGCATGACACAACTAACTAAATTTTACTGAAAACTTTGCTGTTTTTTTACTGGGCAATAAGAAGAGATAATATTTCCCCCCTCTCTGCCCTAACTTCCCCATTGGTTTTATACACTCAGTATACAAGAATGTCAAGTATCATCAATCAGTCTCTGTAGCATTTAGTGACCTAGTTTGTTTGTCATGTTAAACCATAGTTAAAATAAACTGTACGAACAGGTAGTGTGCTACTGCCTGCTTCTGAAATCACAGGCCACTCACTGTTCGCTTGCAAACAAGCTTAGCGTTACCGCTGAACCTAGGGTCATGCTTTGATTCTTACCAAACAAACCGTAAACAGTAACCAAGGTTTATTCTTGGCTTACCACTTATGGTTTGTTTGGGGGAAGCAAACTGCTGAAATTTGTCTGTAACGCTAACCCAGACCATAGCTTATTTCACAGCAGGAGCAGCGAAAGAGCAAAGCACCTGCAATTTCAGCATGAGTCACCAGCGCATTAAACTATTTTAACTAGTTAAAAGTGCCGTGTGAGTGAGGCCATTACATGTGATTTTGCTACTACTGCCATCCTCTCACTTGGTTTGCCTTTCTTATTACATGAGGAGACAGACCACTTCACACTAGGGATTAAGATTCCTATGAGTGCTAGGTGCTCAAATCTCCAGAAGCATGACATGATCTTTTACAGCTTTGTCACAGCAGCTGAAGTTTAAACCAGGCAATCTAGTGTGTATTATGTTGTCTTAACATCCTTTGTTTCTGAGACCACCTGTGGGCATTGTTTGTGGGCAGTTTAGCAGAAGTCGAGCTTCTAAACTCTTCCTTTGCTGCTTTGTGGGAGGAAGAAGGGATAGTGTGCAATCCTGAGGTTCACAGCAGATCTTTCCAGCATGTTCATCTCTGAATGCAACCTTTCTATCAGATGTTGCAGCTGATCATGCATAATCACACGTCCTGTAGCTTTGAGTAGCCACTGCAAGTAATAAGATTATGTGTAAAAAGGTAGAGAACCCTTACAGTTAAGTCCAGTCGCGAACGACTCTGGGGTTGCGGTGCTCATCTTGCTTTACTGGCCGAGGGAGCCGATGTTTGTCCGCAGACAGTTTTTCTGGGTCATGTGGCCAGCATGACTAAGCTGCTTCTGGCAAAACCAGAATTATGTGTAGCAGCCTTTAATGCCAAATTATGGACAGTATTTTTTTCTGAACTACATATTCAGCGTTGGCCCAACTGAACAAATCACTGATAACAGCTCAAGTTGACCCAAGCAAGAAACATTGCTGTTCCGTTTTTAAGAATAGATTTGCACCATCTGGTTAGCTATAACTATATGAAACTGTTTGATGTTGGTAATCCAGTTCGATGTAACTAGTTCATTGTGAGATCAGCACTATCTAACCAAACAGCAAGAAATTTAAAACCTTGCATGCAACCCCAACGTGCAGTTTCATTCCAAAAAGCGCCGTTCATTAAATTTATAGCACTTGCTTTATTGGCCTGCTTTATTGGCCCATTAAGGAAAACATTAGGTGTGCTGAGGCAGCTTTGCTGAGCACTAGATGATTATATTAAAAGGACAAGGATGTGTGTGCTTCTTTTTATGTTGCAAAAGGGCTCTTTCATGCTCATAATTTTTGTAACCAGTTTTTTTTTAGTATGTGCATGGTTAGGGTCACAAGAAGTTGCCTTATTTGGAATCAGAACATTGATCCATTGATTGGTCTTCCAGGATTTCAGGAGGGGAAATCCTGTATAAGTAGTTTCTGTATTTATATCCAAGTGACTACAACTATTCTACCTAACTCAGCAGGTGTGGGTACACACCCTGGCTCTAATGCGCACACAACATGTGTGCATGGGGTATGCATTTCCAGTTCTGTAGTAAGGGCAGCTCATGACTCTTTTGTGTCCATGCACCTGCTCTCGCCGCTGAATTCATGGAATCGTAGATTATTTTAGAGTTTGAAAAGACCCCGAGGGTTGTCTAGTCCAACTCCCTGCAATGCAGGAATCCTGTCCACAGACATTCTGGGTGGTGGGTGGGCCTCGAACCACCAACCTTCTGATTAACAGCTGTTTTGGGGAAGCTGGTATATACATGTAACCCTGCATTCCACAGGGCTCCCTCTGGACTTTGCATTAGATCTATGTTTCCCACTCTCGGTTATCAGTGTTTTTGTTCATTTCATTGCTGGACTGGTGCAAGAGAAGCTCACGTGGCATGCGCCTCAGTTCATTCTTCTAGGGTTGCTGCCTCTTTTCTGGGAGCTGCAAGGAAAAACGAGACAGCAACAACATGCGATAGTTTTTGAAAACATGGTTTTTGAAGACACACAGAGACAATGCAGGCTTCTAGTGTGGGAGTAAATACCATCTGACATACAATTAAAAATTGAAAAGAGCTCCTTAGGCTTTATATAAGAGTGCTGTACTCTTGAATATCAAAGCAAAATGTTAATCATTGCGACTTGCACTGCAGCGCATTGAGTTCCATTCTAGGGCAATCCAGCTGAACATTAAATGTATTCTGCGGAGAGTGCTGCTTCCCTGGGCTTCTGAAAAATTAGTGCTTTTATGAGTGCTTTTCAATGTGTGTTCCAGTTGTTGTTGTTATTGTTGTTATCATTATTATTCTTACTATTTGTTAAATTTGCATACCACCCTTCATCTGAAGACCTCAGGGCAGTTCACAACATAAAAATACAAAACAAGAAGATAAAACTAAAACAAAACAATACCCCCCCCCCTTCTGCAAGCACATTTTTAAAAAACCATAGGATGTTAATAGAATGTTAATCAGCCAAAGATTATAGAGAAACATTTCTGCCTGGCACCTAAAGATATGTAATGAAGGTGCCCTTCCCTTTTTTTTTCTTGCTTGGGTCAACTTGTAATCTATATGATCCTTATAGTTTATAGGATCGGAATTGATGCGTGTGGGGGATTTCTGAAAGGTGGTGCTTTGTCCTGGATCTTTGGGGTTTTCCTAAAAAGCTCAACAATTACGGGGGTGTCTTGGTTTTTACTTTTTGAAATATGGCAACCCTAGTGTTGCTCCCATCCCTTCCTCCCCAAATCTCAAAACTGCATACTTGAGGAGTTATCCGATGTTATCCTCACCACACCCCTATGATGGGGTAGCTTGACTGAGAGCGAGTACTGTGACTGATCTAAGGTCTCTTGGTAAGCATCATGATGAAGTCAGGGTTTGAATCTGGTTTCTCTTGTGCAATTCAGTTCTTTACCCCAAGGTGTCTTGCTGGTTGTAAACTATCGATAAGGGCTTGCAGAGACATTTGTAAACACCTCTCCCTTGCATTTGCATAAAGGATGTCATTTGCGGTTCCATGGTATTGCATTCCAGTTGTCCTCAAGTTTTTATGAAGTAAAGCTTGTGTCTCCTGCAAGAGCATCTAAAACATCTCCTAAAAGTTGCACATTTCTACATACATAGACTATCTTTACCCCTAAACCAATATTGTAGGATGCCTGGTGTTGACATTTTTGTAAAAGTGAGCAAGGATTTTAATCTTATGCAGCTGTCTGCCTCTTCTTAAATTAGGTGCTCTGAATTCTGAAGGCTGCATACATAATTCCATTTCCAAATGAAAAGACTTTGACAGTTCTTAAACACTGAGACATTAAGGCTGCCCCGGAGCTTACTTCTAAGTAAACATACACAGGATTGTGGTGTGCGTGATATTCCAGCTATTAAATAAAAGTTTTGATAAATTTGGTGAATAAAAGGCATGAAGGAACTGACAACAGAAGATAGGGTTGTGGGCAAGGCTGAAGTTAGTTCCAATTAGTCAAAACATATTGCAAATTTGGGAGAGGGCTATATAAAACAACAACAACAGAAGAGGAATAAGTTTTGAATTAATTGTTTGAAGTTGATTAAACTGGCTCGTGAAAGTGTAAAGCAGATAAAGCGAGATAGCATTATGCTTAATTGCATCATGTTTTCAGAGGATGATCTATAGAACCAATTAATACTCTGCTAAGATACATTGCAAAATATGGGAGATGTTAATTTTACAAAAGGCTTTTGCACTTCTAAAAAACCGTTGATGTGATTTGGCCCTTGCAATGTGATTTGGCCAGGGCCGTCTTAAGCATATCTGGTGCCATGGTGCAAAGCTCGCTCCGCTGCCCCCGCCCCCCGTTTCCCAGAGTTGTCGACCTTTTTTTAGGGAGGACGGCACTGCTGGCGGGGCAGTTCCTCCGGCGGGGAAGAGGCAGAGGTTGAACGTGGCGCCTCCTGGCTCAGCTGTACACTTTGTGCCGCGGTGGCCACAGCAGATGGAGGCTCCAGGCACGGTGCTGCTTCAGCGCAGGTGGGATGGCGGAGGCAGGCGAGGGCAGCGAGCTGATGCTGGGAGACTTTCCCATTGGCCCGCGGCCGCTGGGAGGTCCAGCCTTCACCTCTTCCCTGGCGCCCTCCAGAACTTGACGCCCTGGCGCCCTGTGCCACTAGCCTCTATGGGTAAGATGCCTCTGGATTTGGCCTTTGTGATTTGGCCCTGTGCAATCAGGCACAGGGTACATTTAGGTTACAATTTTTAAGCCTTGATAGTAGGTGAGCTGGCAGCAAGTTTTGGGCGGTCCCAGAACCATAGAACGGTACGTTTTCACAGCATTGCTAAGCCCCTTGCTAAGTCAGGTCTCCTACACAACATGTCACTGAGTTGAATGCAGACTGCCACCTATTTAATGTGGCCTGCCACTTCCAGCTTCCCACATTTGCAGCACCAGGCAGGAAGTTTATCAAGCTTGTGTTGGGCTATATTTGACTCAAGACTATCACAAGTTTTGCAGACCTATTTTAAGTGATACTTTCCAAATTAGCCAACTTCCCACAGACAATAGAAGGGGACAGTTGCCTTCTGTGCAAATATCAAAACCAGTTGCTTTCACATTGCCTCACAATGCTGCAGGCATTGCTTTGTTGCTCCTGTCATTGATAACAGTTATATTCCAGGAAAGTGTGAGGAAGAAGCACTGAAACCATGACTGAAAACAGTAAGCCCAAAATGAAATCCTCAAAAAATGAACAGGCAGCTAATCCATTATGTTGTAGCTTAGGCCTTGAAATCAATAGCAGCTTAGAGTAGTGTAAGCTTTAAATAGAAGTCGGTTCATAATCTCTTTCATTTCTTCTTCCCTGGTCCATTTTTTTCCCTCATGGTAGTATTTCCAAACCTAGAAAAGTGCCTTTGTGAGAGTAAAAACTGAATTTAACCAGTTTTTGACTTCTTCATAACAGGATCCTGAACCTACAGGAATAAGTCCTCAAATTGGTACCAAAGCTGGAGGGACGTTCTTAACTATCAGTGGCACAAACCTGGACACTGGCTCTATTCAAGATGTTCAAGTTTACCTTGATAATGTACCCTGTCAAGTGTAAGTATAAGGACTTATAAAGCTGCCTTTCCTCTCTTAGGTGTGGTCATGCCATCTATATTGTAGATTTCTAACCTCTGTCAGTAGAACTTTCAGCCATCTTAATGTCCTCTGAATTATCCTAGCCCCACCTAAATTGTTTTCCCCATGGACTGTTTTCCACAGATCCTGATGATGCAACGGAAACTTAACATTTTCTCTTTCTTTATCTAATGTGATTAGTGTGAGTTCACACTGATTTTGTCCACAGTATATGACTTTAGAATCAAGCAGCCACTTAGATGAACAGCTCTCGGAAGATCAATCCTCAGTGGAGTCATTCTCACATTATCCTCCTTTCCCACGAATATGTTTTAGTAGGGGCACACTCAGCTAAGGTTCATAGCTCATACTTGATTCACCATGTGGGCATTGTTCCACAGAACATTACTAATGATTCTTTCAGTGGCCTCACCCCAGTGATAATATCCTGGACAACGTACATATGAAGAAACCCCAACACTGCAGGAATATTCAGCTGTCCCATACAGGAATCAAACCTGCAACCTTATCAGCAGCATGCCCTAACCAACTGAGCTAAAAGCTGCCACAGTGCTGTGATTTCAGTCTTAGCTGAGAGATATTCATGCAATCAGCCTTTATTGGATTATTATTCATCACCAAACTTTGAAGAAGACCTGAGCAGCGTACATTAGATTGTTCCTTTTAATGTAGCGTGGATTGTGACCCTTCTTGAGAAGGGGTCATACAGTACGGCATGGTCTGAACAGTAGCACAGTAAATAGCACAGTAAAATGTGAAGTGCAATTGTTGTGATAGGTTCTAATGCGGTAGTATTGTTGCATTGCCATTAGAGTGCCAAATAGCATTTCAGGAAGCATGTTAACAGATACGGACAAGTCAGCACCTAACACTGAAAACATGTACCAGATTGCAGTGCTCTGAGCAGCAGAGCTAGGAAAGTGGAAAGTGCTTTAAATTTGTGAAGATCACCTTAAATGTTACAGTTAAAAGACAAGGGAAATGGGTAATTTGTACAGAAGCTGCATATAGTGTTGTCTGCAAGTGTCGTGTTCATTCTCTTACTCTGATGACTTAAATGGGGCTTTACTATTGCACTTTCCTTGTGTTTGTTTCGGCTGTGGAGGGTAGGGTTGTCTACGACTGACATGAAATTATTGGAAAGAAATGAAGCTAATTGAGGCATAAAGAAGTATATAGAAGAGTGAAAGCAGGACTTCCTTTGCTTTTTGCGCTTACTTGGTAAAATACGTCAACACTCAGAAAGGACCACCAGATCCCCTTGGCTAGAGATCTCACTTAAAAATAGGCAAGCTTCCATAGCATTTTGTTTTAGAACCTTAAAGTGAAGGTGGTCCTCAAACATCTGAATGGGACATCAGGGAAAGATGAAAGTCATACAAAGCATTAGGTCAAAACAGTCCAAAACTAACTTCCACGAATTTGTCCTTATCTGGGCAGGAACACTCCAATATTGTTGAATGTCTGTGTCCTGGCAGCAGAACCTGCAGCCCACATGTTGAGGGACTTTGGAAGAAGACTGGCTGGGAGCACCACTCTGGCAGCCCAACAGCAACAGCCCGGGCATTGAGTTGGCAAAGTCTCGTGATGGGTTGGGCTGTTAACTCATATGCACCAGGCCCCTTAAGGAGATTCCCCCATGGGTTCATTTGGGGAGAGACCAACCCTGACTCTGGTCTCTTACCAATGCCCCAGCCGCTTGTGACATTGAAAATGAAACAAAAATACTACCCTGAGCAAAGCTATTTAAAGAGCTATCTATAGGAGGGGCATGGCTGGGCCCTAATCCCAGAGTAAATTAATCATGGTCACATCACTTCTTTGCTCTCCTGACGTCCCCCTTCTCCCCCTTCCCAAATACCCAGCACAAAGGGGTACAGTGGTACCTCGGGTTATATACGCTTCAGGTTACATACACTTCAGGTTACAGACTCCGCTAACCCAGAAATATTACCTCGGGTTAAGAACTTTGCTTCAGGATGAGAACATAAATCGTGCAGTGGTGGCGCGTCGGCAGCAGGAGGCCCCATTAGCTAAAGTGGTGCTTCAGGTTAAGAACAGTTTCAGGTTAAGAACGGACCTCCGGAACAAATTAAGTACTTAACCCGAGGTACCACAGTACTTGCATTGGATGTTAGTGAACTTGGTTTCTCAGATGTTCATGCTTATACACATTCACTGTTTCTCTTACGTAGCAATAATAATAATAATAATAATAATAATAATAATTTATTTATACCCCGCCCATCTGGCTGAGTTTCCCCAGCCACTCTGGGTGGCTCTCATTTGAGTGTTAAAAACAATACAGCATTAAATATTAAAAACTTCCCTAAACAGGGCTGCCTTCAGATGTCTTTTAAAAATAAGATAACTGCTTATTTCCTTGACATCTGATGGGAGGGTGCCACTACCGAGAAGGCCCTCTGTCTGATTCCCTGTAACTTGGCTTCTCGCAGTGAGGGAACCGCCTCAGTGTCCAGGCTGAATGATTGGGGTGGAGATGCTCCTTCAGGTATACAGGACCGAGGCCATTTAGGACTTTAAAGGTCAGCACATTATACTGAATGTAACCACATTTTAATATTCTAAATGTTAGACTAAATAATGCTGGTATTCTCTGTGTCACTTGAGGAAATGAAGATGTCGTTTTCCTGTGGGCTGGGGTTCAGGAGGTTGTAGAAGTCAGTCTTGATGAGATTTTTCTTAATTCCTTTTTTCTTAATTTAGTATCACATTTGGGCAAGAAATAGTTTGCGTTACTGGACCAAATAGCAAGGAAGGGCCTGTTCCTGTAACAGTACGGCATGGAAGCAATGAAAGAAGGATAGAAAACGAACCGTTTACCTACAGTGAAAACCCTACAGTTAGCAAGATCACACCTGAAGTCAGCATATGCAGGTAAAGAAATATTTCTTTTGTAGGGGAAAAAAGTGTTCAGCTTTAATGAGCTGAAATTATAAGGTTTTCCCCCTCTCCGCTTTCAATGTAATTATTAGATAACAAGTATCCTGGGTCTAAGCAATCACAATAAATGTAGCATAATTGTATATTTCTTCTAAAACAGAAGTCATCACCATCAAGAAAGGCAGAGCTCTCGTCTGTTTAAGAATAATGTATCAATTAATAAGATGTTCATTACTTTTTTCCTACTCCACTTGAAACAGATTAAGGGTTACAGTCAACTTAACCCTACTCCAGGAAAGACCCATTAATGAACCCATTTAAAATGTCTTTGAACTTCACCAAGTCTACTCTGAGTAGACATTAGGAGAACAATGGGATACATGGCTTTATTTGTGCTTTTATATTTTAGCGGAGGCCGAAATATTACTGTCGTTGGAGCTGGTTTTGATATTATCCAGCATTTCTCTGTGAAAGTTATATTTAAGCCTTTTGTCGAGAGATCATCAAGGAAGAGGAGGAAGAGGCAGACAGAGGAGGTACAAAAGGTAACCATCGTCTCTTCTTTGTACAGAAATACAGTGTGGGCAGTATTTTATTCATTTATTAAATTTCTATAGCACCCTGCATCCAAAGATCACAGGCTCATTCTCATGTTGCTACCCTCCAGGGCTCTCATGGAAGAGACACAGGGTCCCAGTCGGTTCATACTGAAACTGTACCTAATCCAAAAACCCTTGAAATTTCTCTTTGTTAGTTTTAGTGGATTCAGTAGTTGGTCAAGAACTTTAGGGTTTAATTAATTGGTTTTGAGTGGCATAATTGGAAAAGGGTGAGTCCATGGGGCACAAATTGCCATGTGCAAGCCCTGCAGGGCTCACACGACTCAGGGAGGAAGCTAAGGAAAATGTTTATGTGGTACTCTTGCAGATTTCCCCTCCATTTCCCTCCTATTACTGTATTTTTTGGTCTATAAGACTCACTTTTTCCCTCCTAAAAAGTAAGGGGAAATGTGTGTGCGTCTTATGGAGCGAAAGCAGGCTGCGCAGCTATCACAGAAGCCAGAACAGCAAGAGGGATTGCTGCTTTCACTGTGCAGCGATCCCTCTTGCTGTTCTGGCTTCTGAGATTTAGAATATTTTTCTTCTTGTTTTCCTCTTCCAAAGACTAGGTGCATCTTGTGGTCTGAGGCGTCTTATAGAGTGAAAAATATGGTAATTCCTATAAGAAGGAATTTTGCTGTGCCTGCTCCAAGGTGGGGATAGTTTTCTTGCCCAGCTGGAAATATGTTAAAGGAACCAAGGGGATTTTAGATCTTTGTGCTGTTGCTGCTTTTTTCCTGTTTTAGTCACATTATTAATTATAATTTTAGTGTTTTGAATAGTTTTTTCCGCCTGTATGAGCTCCTATATAACATGATCTGATATGCAGTAAACCAAGGGTTAGCAAACTTTTTCAGCAGGGGGCCTGTCCACTGTCCCTCAGACTTTGTGGGGAGCCAGGCTATATTGGGGGGGTGAACGTATTCCTATGCCCCACAAATAATCCAGAGATGCATTTTAAATAAAAGCACACATTCTGCTCATGTAAAAACACCAGGCAGGCCCCACAAATAATCCAGAGATGCATTTTAAATAAAAGCACACATTCTGCTCATGTAAAAACACCAGGCAGGCCCCACAAATAACCCAGAGATGCATTTTAAATGAAAGGACACATGGACACATTCTACTTATGTAAAAACACACTGATTCCCGGACCGTCCGCAGGCCGGATTTAGAAGGCAATTGGGATGGATCCGGCCCCCGGGCCTTAGTTTGCCTACCCATGCAGTAAACTCACACATTGGTATGCAAAGGTTAATTTGGAAGAAGCACTGACACTGCATAAAACTACAAGTGAAATTCACAGTTTGTGGTGTAAAAATGATTAGCAAAATTAATTGTGTCAAAGATGGCAAGAATGGAGTCCAGTTAAACTTAGTACATTGGTACCTCAGGTTAAGTACTTAATTCGTTCCAGAGGTCTGTTCTTAACCTGAAACTGTTTTTAACCTGAAGCACCACTTTAGTTAATGGGGCTTCCTGCTGCTGCTGCTGCGCCGCCGGAGCCCGATTTCTGTTCTTAACCTGAAGCACTATTTCTGGGTTAGCGGACTGTGTAACCTGAAGTGTATGTAACCTGAAGCGTATGTAACCCAAAGTACCACTGTATTCAGAAATGCACTGTTTATACACTGGGATACACCTATGATCATCCATCCTAAAACAATGCATGTGAAGTAGCTCGTGTTTTTTACCAATTCGATAGACACAGAGATGAATTACCAGTGCTGCAGTAGCAAAAATACCAACTTTCAAAAAAAGACTAAAGCATATGAGATTGCAAGAGAGAGGTGACAGCTTGCACATTGAATTCACTTGTATATGTGTGAGACAAAGAGGGAGGGAAGGATAAATAAAAAACGTAAAAATTTACCTACCAGTGATCACCAATACTTGTTTGTTTGTTTGTTTGTTTGTTTGTTTGTTTGTTTAGTTTGAAGGAAAAACCATCTCAAAGATCAATGACACCACCCTAGTCTTCTTATCACCACCCGTCCTGGAGGACCCAGAAAATTACAGAATTACTGTGCTTCTCCAAATGGATGGTCATCAGGTGGGAAAAGACTTTCAATATGTTGCTGATCCAACCTTTGAAAACTTCACTGATGGTGTCAAGAAACAAGTCAATAAACTTATTCACGCAAAGGTAAGTGTGTCAGGAAAATGACCTCTCTCAGTGTGCTTTGCCCTTTCGTATTTGCATTTGGCGCTTTCTTTCCTAATTGTGTTAACCCGATGCAAATGGTTGACTGGAATAATTCCAAACACTGTTTTCAAAGACTAGTATTGTCTGAATGTGGGGAGCATAAATTCCTTTTTTTGTGCTACTTAGGGGTGGGGGAGACCTGTCTTTGCCTGCTGACATATGCCTCTAAAGGTTTCTTGTCAGTGGGGTTTCCTCTTTCTGAAATCAAGAATTGAGTCCTTATCAGCAAGTTCTCCTGACATTCTTTGACCTTATTTATACCCCCTGTTGCCACCAGGGGATGATATTGGATATTGTAAATCTAGGCCGGCACTCTCGTTGCCCTGCAGGAACAGCTTCCATGAACAAGGCTTACAGATTTGCCTCAGAACGTCAGCTACCCTGAGGGTATTTCCTCTTCCACATAGATATCAAATCCAGCTGTTTGGTTTTCAGATGGAACTGTGCAAAACATGAATGTATTAATCATGAAAGCTTTTATCCTTTTCCTTCCCTCTCCTCCCCTCCGCTCCCAGACACCGCGAAGCGAGTCGATAGCTAAGATGGCTTAGTGTTTCTGTGTTTCTGTCTAGGGCAGTAATCTCAACAAAGCTATGACGTTGGAAGAGGCGCGAGCATTCGTGGGAGAAGAGCCCTGCGTCATCAAAACTCTGACGGAGAACGATTTGTACTGTGAGCCACCTGAAGTGCAGCCCCCGCCCAAGAGAAGGCAGAAGAGAGATACGGTTAATAACCTGCCAGAATTCAGCGTAGGTCACATTTATCTGTCTTTTTAACAACACATATAAGGTGTGCGGCACAGAGGGCATCTTGTTTTGAAGTGGCAATAATAAAGAGCCTTCTTTTACGCATGATTTGTGCTTCCAAAGAGCACGGGCAGAAGAAAACCATTCTCCCGTTTGCCACTCCTTGCCTAGAAACAGAATGTGTGAAAGCAAGTGTTAGCTTTCTTTTGCTAGGGCCTAGGCTGTACTGGTACTGAAATGTGCATCGATCTAGATCAGTGCTTCCCAAACCTGGGTCTCCAGCAAGCTTTTGGACTACAATTCCCACCATCCCTGACCACTGTTCTTTATAGCTAGGGATGATGGGAGTTGTAGTCCAAAAAACATCTGGAGAGGAGACCCAAGTTTGGGAAACTCTGGTCTAGATTCAGGGCCACCCTACCAGCACAAGCAACCCCAAGCAGCAGCTTAAGGAAGCAGTACTTTTGGAGGAATCAGTGAAACATATGATCTGGGAAATGCACCCCAGGGAACTGCGGTCTTATTTATTGAAAGAACGAAGTTATAAACCACTCACCATTCACAAATATTGTGGTGGTATCCAAAAAGAAAATTACAGTCATACCTCTTGTTACGTTTGCTTCAGGTTAAATCTTTTCAAGTTGCGTCCCGCGGCAACCCAGAAGTACCGGAAAGGGTTACTTCTGGGTTTCGCCACTCGTGCATGCACAGACGCTCTAAATGACATCATACGCATGCGCAGAAGTGGCGAATCGCGACCCACAGACACGGGTTGCATTCTGCTCATGTTGCTTACGGGGCTCCAGAACGGATCCTGTTCTCAACCAGAGATACCACTGTACAAAGTTAAAACAATAAAAATACATTCAATCCATCTAATATACAGTGCCACAGCTTAATGTTTACAGCAGACATAGTCAATGTGGAGCCTTGAGTTTGCTTGTGGACAGTTAACTCCCAGCATCCCTGACCATTAGTCATGATGGCTGGAGGCTAATGAAGATGGAGTCCAATAACATCTAGAAGGTCCCATGTTGCTACTTCTGGTGTATTGGGACACGGGTGGTGCCATGGTCTAAACCACTGAGCCTGCTCGGCTTGCTGATCAGAAGGTCAGCAATTCAAACCCGCACAACAGGGTGAGCTCCCGTTGCTCTGTCCCAGCTCCTGCCAACCTAGCAGTTCGAAATCATGCCAGTGCAAGTAGATAAATAGGTAAGCTGCAGCGGGAAGGTAAGCAGCTTTCTGAGTGCCCTGGTTTCTGTCACGGTGTTCCATCATGCCAGAAGCCGTTTAGTCATGCTGGCCACATGACCCAGAAAGCTAGCTGTGGACAAACGCCGACTCCCTTGGCCTGAAAGACAGTCGCCTTCGACTGGACTTAACTGTCCAGGGGTCCTTTACCTTTTACTCCTGGTATGCAGGAGTGACCAGATCCCCTTGCTATTGTCTTTTAGATGTCTAGTCAACATACATTTGTGTTTTTTTTTTAATGTTTGGATTGATCTAATAATTTTGTTGCTGGTTTTGTGTTTGATTTTGATTGTGTATTTAGTATTTAAGTCTGGGTTAAGTTTTGCAACTTTATAGAGTTGAAAGCTTTGTAGGCGGCAGTCGGATTTAGGTAGGGTAATACTATGTGAAGGACTAACTAAACCTGCACACCCATCTGAGGCCCCCCTTCCCTAAAGAGGTCCAGTTAGCTTTCTCCATTTTTGGGGAGAGTGGAAAGACTCTCTTTTATGATTTCCATGCATCTAATCTTCCCTATGTTCCCTATGTTTATAATCTCCTACTGTACTTTTGTCTTATTTTATTTTGACCTCTATCATTCTCTCTCCCCTTGCTGCCATTGTCATCAACGTTATGCTCCTGATTTTGGTTGTATTGGTGTTACTGTTATTTTATTTCTGTGTTTTAATTTAGAAGCCACTTTGGGTGTCCCTTTAAGCCTGAAAGGTGGGGTAGAAATTTCTAAATAAACCTGATGTTTTATGCTGGGCAATCCCTTCACTGTGGTTTGTGTTTTTTAGCTATCCTTACCCACTGGCCTGCCTTCATCCTCTCCCATTTTGATGATTTTGAATTGTTAGCATATAGTAAGGATTAATTAGTTAGGCTGCAAATTTCACCCCATTGACCTGGGGGTAAACACCCCATTGTATTCAGTAGAACTTACCTCTGAGTAAACATGGTTAGGATAAGCAAGTTAACTTGGCACTCATAATACTGTTTAAGGTTGGACTTTATCTATCCTACTTTTGAATATATTATATTCTTTGGATATATCTGGGAACATAAGCTCAGTTGTTCCGGGGGATGGGGAACAAAGGGGCATAGATCTAAAACATCATAATGCATAATAAAATCATGCTGTCTGATTATTAACTTACAAAGTGCACTTATTTATCTAGGTGAAATTTGGCTTCAAAGAATGGATCCTAGGAAGGGTTGAGTATACCCAAGTGAGTGACATACCACTAGGCTTGATCTTGCCATTGGTATTAATTCCCATGGTGGCTATTATCATCATCTCAATCTTCTGCTACAGGTAAGATGTGGTTATCGGTCATCAGATAATATTGAAATGCCAGAGGCAAAAGCTGATGGTGAAGGGAAATGGGTCTGCAGAGAAATATGAAGAAAATTATTTGTGATGATTCCCAGTGTTCACACATGCGGTTCTGTGTGAAATAGAATATCACATTGCTTCAGGGCTTTTTTTCCAACCCTCACTGATGCTAATCATCCTATGTCTTGGATCTGTACATATGTGCAATCAAAGATATATTCTAAGCAGGATGTGGGGAAGATAGATGTGGTTAGCATTTCTTTCTGCCGGTTTTTGAAGGTTTCTAAATTTTAAGATGATTGGTTTACTGTGCATTTTCTGTACATGTCATGATAGGGGGTGGGTATGTATTGTATATCTTTAGTCAAAGCAAAGGCAGATGAATCTTTCTAACATGGTATTGAAAACAACAAAAGGTCATTATATCTGTCTTCAGAGAACAACTTCATGGAAGAAAATGGGTGACTTTTGAATGCAAAATACAGGTGTATTTTTGTAGGAAAGGATTAGGATGTTTAGGTTCCTACCACCTGTATTCAGGAATCTTTCCTGGGGGGGGCGGGGATCTATGCTGAACTCTGAGATCTTTATAATGTATATTTTTGCAAGGAGAGGTGTTGTTTTATATCTGAGTTATCTTATGAAAGACCAGAAAAATGAGCGGAGGTTATCAAATCTGTTTCGATTGCAGAAACCCAGAATATAAGTCACACGACTGAAAACTCCACAGGTTCTGTTTCTGTGCAGTGTCTGAACACATTTGCACCCTACAGGATACTGCAAGTGTTTCTTGTTCACAACTAGTCCCCCATGCTCAAAATTGTGTGTTTCCCTTCTGAATGAATACGTGTTAGAAAAACATATTCAGGAGGGAAAAACTGTGTAGAGGGTAATCTGAGTGCTTGTTACAGCAATGAGATTTAAATTGAAACTTGCACATGACTAATGTTGAAAGGCTGCAACTAACCTGAGCATTAAGAACGCTATTGATAAAGCACGCAGCCATTAGTCCAGGTTCATAAACAACTGTGGAACAGGCCAGCAGCAATTATTACTCAACTTCATTCAACAGTTAATAGTTTTCTTTTGAATAAAATCCATTCTTTGAGGTAAATTTTTAAACAATCCTGGCTGCAGTAAAATCAATAGAGCCTTGTTAATTTTGTGCCAGCTTAAATTTCAGCCTATTGTTTTCTTTTCTTCTCCCCCACCCCTCTGCCTTCGCAGTTTTAAAAGATCAGGAGGAAAAAGACTGCGCTTCGGAAGATCCCTCTGGCCTTTGGCATGGCTGTGTTGTAAAATGATTTATTTTTACAGCCTGTAACTTTTCTGTACTCTCTGTTTCTATTCCTTATAGACGGCAAAGCGAACAAGCAGAACGAGAATACGAAAAAATTAAATCACAACTTGAAGGCTTGGAGGAAAGCGTCAGAGACCGGTGCAAAAAGGAATTTACAGGTATGACTTATACCTAATTTCTTGTGGGGCCTCCGGAGAAATCACAAGATGTGTCGAAATGCTGCCACTGTCTGCCTTAAACTGCCTTCTGAGGATATGCAGGAGGCGCAACCGTTCTAGATTACAGCGTGTTGACATGCGCATTGCATAGTCATGTGGCAATTAAATGCAAAGGCCGTCAAAAAGAGAATACAAAAAAGGAACCGACGGGGTTTGTTTTTTAATGTAAAAGGAAAAGAAGTACCTGGAACTAAATTGGCAACGGGGAGAAATAGTCAGGCCTCTCTCGCCCTGAAGTTGTTCCTACTATAACGCAGTTTGCAGCAGCAGTTTGAAGTGGGGTGGCAGGTGAAGGAGCAATATGCTGAAATGGGGTACAAATGGCCACAACATTTTATTGGCTGCTGGTCACAGCGTTTGCCTAGGCATTAGACAAGGTTCCAGTCCTCAGGCAATCTATAACTACTGAACTGGCACAACCACGCTAACACACTAGAAAAACATTGTTGGGAGTAGTAGGAATCTTGGGCTCGCCACTTTACAAACTGATACCATGGTCCTGTCCTGTAATTTGGGGGTGCGGCAGATGTGCCAGCTGTCAAACTGGGATGGGGCCCTGAATTGTCACCCTTATCCCAGTGGGGAGCAAGGGAGTCCATCTCTGTTTACTCCTGCGGGAGGCCTCCAATTGCCCTGAGCGAGAAGTTGTGCCAGAAATATGGACCAATGTAGTTAAGCCATAGACTTAACAAGATTGTTGCGAGGAAGGCAGAAATCCTGAATTGCTCAGATAAGGCACACAGATATGAGTAAAATGCCTTTCCAACCCCATCAACTGGTAGCTAACAACAGCCTAGCTTTTCTACTTTGTTTTTTCCTCCTCCCACCCCTCCTTTGTATAACAACTTACCAGATGTCAAACTTTTGAGACATTTTGGTTAGTCCCAGTAGAGGTATTACCCAACTCTGGATTTTGGAGGGTTTTCCCCCACCCTTATGGACCAGTACAGCTAACTCTGCTTTTGCATCTTCTGCCAGCTCCTGTCTAGTTTTTGGCCTGCTCCTTGCACTAAAAATTGATCCTGTTTCTTCAGTTCTGTCCATTTCCTTCAGTTCTGACTGTTTCACCAGACTGAGTTTGACTTGTAGCTTGGCGAGGACTTGCCAAAAAGGACCAGTGCTCACTGGTTATGTGACAGCCTGCTCTCTGACAATAGGGAATGTTTACAAAACAAAGAAAACAGGAGTAAATGAAAAATATTGCTGAGACAACAAGTTGATTGACTCTGAGTACTGATCAGTCAAGAAACCAGAAGCCCTCTGTTCTGTGCCTTTGTAAGGTGACAAAGCGATTCATCCTCTCCTGTGTCAAAACTTAAAGGCTCTTTGATCAACCAGATGTGTTGTCAGTGATAACGGATGAACTATTTAACCTCCTTCCTTCCTGCCAATAGCCTAGTTGTACTTGCATATTGATCTTTGCTCCTTCATGTACTGTTCTATCTGCCATTTATATTTTAAAATGATAAAAAGAGAAACTTCAGACTTAACTGGCATAGCAGCTATGTCCCAACCCCAAATAAACGGACTAGCCTCTGATCTGTTCTCTCGGTTGCTTTATTAGGGACGGATTTTTAAATGAATTTCAAGCCTTAGAATCTGACTGTTTTTCGCATTTGCTTCCCTTAACTAACATTTGTTAGAGATGCAATTTGGCTCAAATGCTACAGTTCTTAAAAGAGAGAACCTTGGTTTAAAAAATCATAGCAGCTGCACAAAAATCCACTGTTCATTATTAGACCTTCATATTGAAAGAAAAATGAGAGCTTTTCATTGCCCTCTCATTTCTGAGCATTATGCATTCCTGCCATATCTTCATATGAACACTTTAGGGTGAAACCATCTTTTGTAATCTTACCAAACCCGTTAACATTGCTGTTCATGCTAAGACACCTTTAGTCTTCTCTTTTTAACTTCTGCTCAGTCTTGGACACTAAAAATCCCATGAAGCAGTTTACCTCGGTGTGCACGATATTCCTGTGTGTGCACAGTAACAAATTCATTGAATGCTGACCCACGAATTCCTGATAATATATGTTTTATGGTTATAAATTGTCAGTGTTCTGTTTCTTTACATATCCTTGTACTTGATTCGCCGATATTCATGTACCACGTAGTAACGTAAAGGTAAAGGTACCCCTGCCCGTATGGGCCAGTCATGTCCGACTCTAGGGTTGTGCGCTCATCTCATTTAAGAGGCCGGGAGCCAGCGCTGTCCGAAGACACTTCCGGGTCACGTGGCCAGCGTGACGAAGCTGCTCTGGTGAGCCAGCACCAGCACAGCACACGGAAACACCGTTTACCTTCCCGCTATAAAGCGGTACCTATTTATCTACTTGCACTTAGGGGTGCTTTCAAACTGCTAGGTGGGCAGGAGCTGGGACCGAAAGACGGGAGCTCACCCCGCCGTGGGGATTCGAACCGCCGACCTTCTGATCGGCAAGTCCTAGGCACTGAGGTTTTACCCACAGCGCCACCCGCGTCCCACCACGTACTAACGTAGTTTGCAATAAAAATGAAATTGTAACAGCCCTGTAATGAATTTTCAGCCTGCTAGAAATTCCACAGTTTAAAATGATGCAGTAGTTAAAAACAACACAGAACAGCAGGAATAGCTTTGTGAAAGTGCAGTATTTCTATATCCAGTGAGGGGACCGGATGCATCCTTGTATCAAGGTCATTCCATACTATGTTTGACACTATGAAGAAAGGTTGGTCCTGTGCCCTTACTGCCATCAACTCTGTAAAGTTGGGGGCCACATTTCCTTCTGGACAACCTTCTGAGAGCACATGGCAGTGATGGATGGGGCCAAAGGCAAAATGGGTAGAGCAACAAACGTAAATGTTATCTTTGTACAGTGGGCTAGAGTCTACACATTCTCACAAACTCCTCTGCCCTCCACTCTGACACACGAGAGGCATCATCCGAGTGCAAGGACACATCCGAGTGCCAGGACACCAATGAGAGGTGAGGCCTCAGAAAATGTCCAAGAGACTTGAAGGGCCACATTGGGCCCCCAGGCCTGAGGTATCCTGCATAGAATAGGATGCAGCACATGGCTTTTGTCCATAGTTCTAAGGACATAAGCTCCTTAAGATACACAGGGCCAAGACCAACACAGATAGAAACATAATTAAACATCAGGCATTAAAAACTTCCTGATACAGAACTGCCTTCATTTGTCTTCTGAAAGTTGTGTGGTTCTTTATCTCCTTGACATCTGATGGGAGGACACCACTGCCAAGAAGGCCTGGACATTGGGCCAGTGAGGTCTAATGGATATAGAGTTTAACATAGAAGTGAGACCTTGGTTCAAGGGCCTTACAACATGGCAGTCTCTTCATCTCAGTAGGTTTTGTATGGGAGGCTACAACAATCCATATAATACTTTGAAATGTACATAGGATAAGTACAATACAGCGTTCTTATGCTGTCCAATTAACAAGACCATTGACTGCAGATAGTTTATAGCTCGAACTAGAATGCAAAATGCATTTACTCTCCAGTAAATAAAGTAATTTTCTCACAACTGTGTTCTAAATTGAAACTCCTGTCAAGATTATTTCTTCATGCAACTAATTCTGTTAAGCGAGCTTCCACTGGGAAAACAAGTTTTACTGTAAGGTGCAAATCTTGCTAAATGAGACCGAAATAGAAATGGAACTAAAGTTGAAAGGGTGCTTCAGTTAAAAAATCAGGATATTGATGTTTCCCCCTTCAAAGTAGCAAAGGCTGAATCAATAGTTTATTTTCCACTGAAATCTTTAAAATGTTGCCTCTTGTAGATTTGATGATAGAAATGGAAGATCAGACAAATGATGTTAACGAAGCAGGAATTCCTGTGCTGGACTACAAAACATATACGGACAGAGTCTTCTTCCTGCCATCCAAAGACGGAGAAAAAGATGTCATGATCACTGGGAGGCTGGATATTCCTGAAGCTCGACGGCAAACCGTAGAACAGGCACTGAATCAATTCTCCAATCTGCTGAATAGTAAATCATTTCTCATTAATGTAAGTAAAAAGTGAAAGGTCCCTTTTGTCTCCTTGAAACACATTTTTGCCTGATATATATTTACAACAACAAAATTAGTCTGCATATTTTTGTCATGTATATTTTGCAAAAGGCTGTGTGAACAATGTAAGTAATATCTCAAGTAGTTTGACACTGCTCCTGTCATTCCCTGTATGATATTGAGCTGAAATATTATTAGCTCCTTCCATGAACTATTCATATCCAATTTGATCACTGCACTAGCCATTTGGTGTGACAGTAAATAAAAGCAGTGTTTTAAAATGCCTAGATCTAAAAGTTATTTAAAAGAAAATTTCAATCTGAGAAAGAGTAAAAGGTTGTATATCTTATATAGATCATTTGTATCCTCTTTGAGACTTAACTGAGATATGCTTTAGAAATCCCCGTTTCTCCCTTTTCCCTTTAACAAAGGTGTCCCAAACATATGCACCAAATGGCAGTGTGATAGCTTATTGTTCAATGAAGTTTATTGTATTGCAAATGACAAACACAGTGCTGAATGGCGTAGTTAAACAAAGGCATCACTTCATTTGGCAAAAAATAAAATGCCAAGCTCTAGTTAGTACTGTTGCGGTATATTTTGCCCAAAGCCCTATTCCTACATTTACTCACATGTAAGTTACTTACTGAGACACGGGTGGCGCTGCGGTCTAAACCACAGAGCCTAGGACTTGCCGATCAGAAGGTCAGCAGTTCGAATCCCCGCGACAGGGTGAGCTCCCGTTGTTCGGTCCCTGCTCCTGCCAACCTAGCAGTTCAAAAGCACGTCAAGTGCAAGTAGATAAATAGGTACTGCTCCGGTGGGAAGGTAAACGGCGTTTCCATGCGCTGCTCTGGTTTGCCAGACGCAGCTTAGTCATGCTGGCCACATGACCCGGAAACTGTCTGCGAACAAACGCCAGCTCCCTCGGCCTATAGAGCAAGATGAGCACGTAACCCCAGAGTCGTCTGCGGCTGGACCTAACTGTCAAGGGTCCCTTTACCTTTACCTTTTATGTTACTTACTTGTAGCAACAGGATCAGAGCCACACTTCTGACCCTAATTCTTTGCATCCCATTACCGTGCCGCCTCAAATCTTCATTGGTTAAATCTGAGAGGGGAAACTTCACACAAGTGGAAAACCCGATATGGTGGATTTCCTGCTCAGTGGAAGCCCCTCTATGGAAGCAGCTGTTCATGCAAAGTGTTCCCTTTTCACACATCCATGTATACCCTACAATACCCTGCATACCTGATGTTTTTCTGTTTTGTTTGTTTAGTTCATTCACACATTAGAAAACCAAAGAGAATTCTCTGCTCGTGCAAAAGTGTATTTTGCATCTCTCTTGACTGTGGCTTTGCACGGGAAGCTGGAATACTATACGGACATCATGAGGACATTGTTTTTGGAGCTAATGGAGCAGTACGTTGTGGCCAAAAATCCCAAACTGATGCTCAGAAGGTAGGGAAGGTTTCTTCAGTTGCCCAGTTTCCATTGAAGTAAATGAAATAAAACTCCCATCATTTTTAACAGAGCACAACTTATTGTGTCTGTTGCTTCCCTTCTCAAATACATCTATTACTATTTGTGCACTGGGATTCTAAGAACTTTAGTACATATTTGAGAGTGTAAGAGTAGGGCTGGGAAGGTCTGGGTTCAAATCTCTACTCAGCTATGAAGCTCATTGGGTGACCTTGGGGCCAATCATTACATGTCTTTGCCTATTCTACCTTACTGTGCAGTTCTGAGAATATAATGGGAAGAGAAGAACCATGCACATTTTATCCTGCCTTGTAGTAACAGAGGATATAAAACATCCTTTCAGTGCGGAATGTGATGCATGTTCTCCTGTCATATGATAGACAACCAGAGTTGTGAGCCTGTTTCCAGCAGGAAAAGCATCCTCCTCCAGACGTTTCTCTCAGATAGCTACATTACAATGAAGACCCCTGCGATTCTTCTGTGGCATATTTGTTATAGCAATTAATTTAGTACTGATTGAACGATATTCGTAGGGTACTTCCCTATCGCTAAGGGTATCAAAATACTTCTTCTTCGGCGATCACTCCTAGCCGAGTAAGATTGTCTTCCAAAAACATGATTTTAACGATGAGTCCGTAGGTGACTGTGGAGGCCCATTCTGGACCCACACGTCCCTCCACAGTGGGGACATTGGTTCCCGGGCAGGAGTTGATCACGGTGTGGATTTGCCAAGCGTGCCTTCTTCTTAGCTCATTTCTCCCTTTCATCCTGAGTTCAGATGTCTTCAAAGCCCATGACACCTTTGGTAAAGGCTGTTCTCCAACTGGAGCCTCACAGGCCAGTGTTTCCCAATTGTCGGTGTCTATACTATATTTTTTTAGATTTGCCTTGAGACAATCTTTAAACCTCTTTTGTTGACCACCAGCATTACGCTTTCCATTTTTAAGTTAGGAATAGAGTAGTTGCTTTGGAAGACGATAAGGCATCCGCACAACACCCATCTATTTTCAACCTTATGTTAGAAAGTAGAACTTCACATTGAGGACTGCATGTCTTAATATACAGATTTTGCAATGTGCCAGGAAGACACCAACAAATTAACACTTAAATGGCTAAGGGGGAAAGAATACAATATTCTAAGTACGATACCATGTTTGCTCACAAAGTCAGTGGGAATGTGCATTACAAAACATGCCTATAATGAATCTACATGAGATTGTATGTACTGGTTAAGGAATATAGGACAGATTCTGGATTTTAGCTCTTGACAAATGCATGAATTCAGGCTGCACTAGCCATGTCGTTCAACAGTTATTTGTTCATTTGTTTCAGATCAGAAACTGTGGTGGAGAGGATGCTTTCTAATTGGATGTCAATATGTTTATATCAGTACCTCAAGGTAAAGTCTGAAATGCATGCACACTTTACACTTGCTGTGTTTTTGCATAATAACCAAACCACAGTTTGGTGTTACAAATAAGCCTCAGACTCATGTACTTCCATTTCCCTCATGGTGGAACTCATCCTGGAAGGATGAGTTCCAGTAAACCGTAGTTTGGTCTGCAACCCTTGTTTTCAGGCATCATCATCATCATCAAATCTTTATTGTGGCAAGTAGGGTGGGGTACAATCATTTAGAACAGGCATAGGCAAACTCGGCCCTCCAGATGTTTTGGGACTATAACTCCCATCATCCCTAGCTAACAGGACCAGTGGTCAGGGATGATGGGAATTGTAGTCTCAAAACATCTGGAGGGCCGAGTTTGCCTATGCCCGATTTAGAATCTGTAAAACATTTTGGAAATCTGAAAAGTATTAAAACATAAGGTATATCTAAAGGACTATAAGAATCTAAAAGAAGGGTTAGGAGCAGTAAACAGATGTGGGAGAGCAGAAAAGGTTAGTATATAAAAGAATATAACTATCAATTTAGAGAGCACTCTGATGTGAGTGTTCATTAAATCTAGTTTGTGGCACAGGTCATCAGTTGTTTTCAGGCAAGTGCAAACCATAGCTTACTTATTTAGATAAAACTGAAAACTTCCAGGTGAGCATATGTGAACTTCAAGTTGGGAAGTGGCAGGCTACCAAACCCTGCTCACAACATCCCACTACATTACAGGTCCGCTTCCAGCCTTCCTGCAGTATAAAGATCTAAAGGACAAACCAGAGTGCGTTTAGGGGAACAGGCTTGGAAGCCTCCCTATGATCCAAAACCCAGATACAGTGGTACCTCTGGTTAAGTACTTAATTCATTCCGGAGGTCTGTACTTAACCTGAAACTGTTATTAACCTGTAGCACCACTTTAGCTAATGGGGCCTCCTCCTGCTGCTGCACCGCCGGAGCACGATTTCTGTTCTCATTCTGAAGCAAAGTTCTTAACCTGAAGCACTATTTCTGGGTTAGTGAAGTGTGTAACCTGAAGCGTATGTAACCTGAAGCATATGTAACCCGAAGTACCACTGTAATGCAAAGTTCCCAATTGTGAAGAGGCTTCTGAGTGCATTCAGATTAATGTGCCTTCAGACCATCGTACTCAACCCGTGAAGGTCAGAAGCAGCCAGGGCATGCATAAATGTAAGTTGAGTTACATGCCTGATCTGCCAGCTTCTCGCTTTCAGCCCACATGCCTCCAACTGCATGAATAAGGCTTATGGTTTGCAGCAAAATGGGATCAGAAGTTGCTAATCCCCATCTGCAAGAGGAAGGACAGAAGGTTTGTTCTCATAATGTCAGGTTAGGGTTCTGTGTTTGCTCAAACACTGCCACTGTTTATCTGTCAAAACATAGCTAATATTGACATTGTCTTCCCTCACCAATTTTTACAGGACAACGCAGGAGAACCTCTTTATAAGTTATTCAAGGCTATCAAACATCAAGTGGAAAAAGGCCCTGTGGATGCTGTGCAAATGAAGGCCAAATACACACTGAATGACACCGGTTTGCTGGGAGACGATGTAGAGTATTCACAACTGGTGCGTAACTTTTATAGACCTTTCTTTCAGGAAATTGGTAAAATGGAATCCTTCTGAAATGCATCATTCCCTATTACCCAGCTGGTGTGGGTTGTGGGGGGGTTGCTTTTGTTTTGTTTTTGTAAAACATAGATAATGGAGAAGTGCCATAGGGCCAAAAAATAACGATAAAGTAATTAATTTTGTTGCCCTGACTTGAACACAATAATTTGACATGAAGCCTTTGGTATTTTAGTGGATTAACCCAAAGAAGAAAAGGTAATGGCATTTTCAAATGTGAAGTCTCTCTTCCAAAAGAATAAACACAAATTAACAACTCAGATGACATAGACAGTTTTTTAGAAAGGGGACTAGATAAATGAAACATAGTAGGTTCCTCAATAGCTGTTAGCCGTAATGGCCTGATTGAATTGAATCTCCATGTTCAGATACAGTATGGCACTGGGTGGAACAAAAGGGTTGATGCCTTCATTTCGGAGCTGTGAAATTCTGGGGAGTACCGATCACAGACAGACCCATTGATCTGGTCCAGGAGAGTTGTGTTTAAGCTGCTCCTTAATCTGCTGTGAATTTTATAATGTCCTAGCTTTGCGGTCTCTCTTTGCCCATTATAAATTGCATTCCCGCCCAGACTCTTCTAACCCACATTCCATCAGTAGCCAGCATGTTCTGCTCAAGTCCTTTGCTGTCCATCGAGCAGAAGGCTCACTTAGCCAGATGGCACAGCGGGAGTTGTGCTGTTCATACTGGCATGGTTAGGTTTTCACGTGACCCGCCATTTGGGAGGAATCTGAGAGCCAAGGGACGTGGTGGCACTGTGGGTTAAACCACAGAGCCTAGGGCTTGCCGATCAGAAGGTCGGCGGTTCAAATCCCCGCGACGGGGTGAGCTCCCGTTGCTCGGTCCCTGCTCCTGCCAACCTAGCAGTTCGAAAGCACGTCAAAGTGCAAGTAGATAAATAGGTACTGCTCCGGCGGGAAGGTAAACGGTGTTTTTGTGCACTGCTCTGGTTTGCCAGAAGCGGCTTAGTCATGCTGGCCACATGACCCGGAAGCTGTACACCGGCTCCCTCAGCCACTAAAGCAAGATGAGCGCCGCAACCCCAGAGTCGGTCACGACTGGACCTAATGGTCAGGGGTCCCTTACCTGAGAGCCAAGTATCTCTGCATCAAATATGCAGGTTTGTTTGTTTGTTTTGTTTGTTTGTTTAAAAATCCCTCTTGAGAAGTTGGTTTTGGGGAGAAATCCCCCATTGGCTGCAATGGGGAATTTCCTCTGGATTCAGAGGAGGGATTAAAATTCCTTAGGCCTGAAGCAGGGGAGGAAGGCATTAAATTTCCCTCCACCATGCCTGATTTAGCTGAGATCCCTGCACTGCAGGGGGTTGGATTGGATGACCCTTGGGGTCCCAGTTCTGTGATTCTGTACAAAGGCACATACTACATCGCATCTCGTTCAGCTCCGACTTGCTTATGAAAGATTTAAAAACGTAGTGTATACGAACGGACCATGGGACTGGACTTTGCAGAAGTGTGCTGTCATATTCTTCATCTAGAAGAACCACACTGCTGGGGAAATTCTCCCAAGTTTATTGGCATTACTAGAAACGATTTCATTTTGTTTGACAGCGACTTGTGCAATGGCACAACTGTGGCATCAGAAGAAACTTAATAAAAAACACTTACAAAGTGCTGTTTGAAAGCACATTTAATATATTTTTCAGGAAAGAGAAAATTGGGGGAGTATGGGAAGAGCAAGGAGTTTGTAAGACTTTTAGACATAGTATATAACTTTTCAAATACTGACAGTTCAAATCAAGGGGGAAAAGGAGGCATATATTTTAATAAAAGAAAAATAAAACAGCATGGGAAAACAGCCAGCACTGCTGTTTTGAGTGAACAGAAGAGTGCAAGCAAAACTCACCCCATCCCTCTGTCTCTTTATGCTGTTATAAATATATGGCATGTGTTAATATATATACGGAGTCCTAAACATCTTGGGTCCAGAATGCCTTAAGGACTCCCCTGAGCCCTTATATCCCAGCTTGATTGCTGAGAACATCCAGAAAGAACTCGTGTTAGCTGTCCACCATGTTTCAGAAGCCCAGCCAACCTCAACTAGAAGTTGGGCGTTCAGTGTCACCATCCTGTGCCATGGAATACTTTTCTAACCAAGATTTAGTAGGAAAACCCACAAATGATTTCCAGGCGTCACTTGATTAGACATGTTAATGATTATTTGGATTATTTGGGATTTTTAAACAGTATTTTATTGAATATATTGTATACCTCCTTGATATTTTTCATGAATTGGTAGTATATAAATACTTCTATAAATGAATAAAAATAAAGAGTCTGGGTTTTTTTTTTTGTTTTACTATTTGATTGGTTACTAATATTCGTGGGTTGGCCCAAATACTGTCTAACTCCAAAAGTTCACTTAGGGACCCATCAAGACCCTCTTGGAGTCGGTCTCTTTCTCTTTCTCTTTTATTTCCCTCAATCTTTTCTTCTACCACCCCAGTTCTGTTCTGCTGGTGCTGAATAAGCATTCAGCATTGTGTCTATGGGTGGAAGACAGAAAATAAATATATTGCCACATATATTTTCTTGGTTATTAGAATTGTGTGCTTTCCCAGTCCTTTCGGTCTGAAAAGCAGAGGACCCTAATAGCAGGAAAAGTAATTGCTAGCAAAGTTAATTACCAACATTAATCTGCCATACCATTTAATCAGGTATGTATAAATGCTCCCTTTCTTGCCAATATGATAAGTGGCAGTCTTGTGGACCCAAGGTCAGTATTTGGGGACATTTCCCTAGGCTAGTTCAGTGCAGCCAGAACCCTTAAATACTGTATAGGGATAGGGAAATATAGGAAATACAGCTTGGTTAATCCAAAGCTGTAATTTGGAATGAAACTCATACTGATACATATGCGAGCAGAAAAGGGTTGATCAAGATAGTTTTCTTGCCTGCCCCTCACTATGAGGTATCAGGGCAGGTTATAACACATAAAAACAAAATACAATTATAGCTGCAGTAAGATTTTAAAAAATTATAATCATAATCAATATAAATCAATATAAAAATTATAATCATAATCAATATATGACTCTGTAGACTAAATGTGCCACCTGTAATTACAGGCTTAAATACCTATTATTTAAAATTGATAGATGCTACATGCTTGAAGATTCTGTAGTCCTATAAGAACAGGAATGTCTCTGGAACCAGAAAAAAAATATATTTCCAACAACTTCACTATCCTGACAAGCACTTTCTCTTTTGTTTTGAAAGTGCAATAAATTTTAAAAATGTGAATTTCTTCTATTTAAGCAGCCACGGATGGTAGATAGTTCTAATAACTTGTATCTGTTTGAAACCTGCTTTTAAGAAGTCCCCAAGATCCAGTACCAGTGGTATAGAAATACACTGTATTTAAGAACATCCACTGAAGGCTCTTTTCTGTATACTCAGAATAGGGAAAATGGTGTGGAGACTGAAATGGCTCATTGACTATTTTTTTTTCTCACCTTGTCTTTTTTTTTATGGAGATGAGGGCATACAAGGTTTTGTACAGGTGTCTAAATTTTTGATCTTTTGGAATTAATAAGTACAAGCATTGATTTTTCCCCCCCTTGTCTAATTTGTATAACCATGTTATTTCCTACCCTTCAGACTGTGAATGTGATTGTACAAGATGAAGGCACAGAATCCGTACCTGTAAAAGTGCTCAACTGTGATACTATTTCTCAAGTGAAAGAAAAGATCATTGACCAAGTCTATCGAAATCTGCCTCATTCGCACTGGCCAAAGCCTGATAATGTCGTTCTTGGTATGTTTAGGTTCTGCTTCTTTTATTAATGCCATTTAATAAATGCATTGGTGTCAAAAGGGGATACTAACAGGAAGGACCTAGATTTAGCAAGCTCTTGTACTCTTGTTCTTTTATATTTGTATTAATAAATCATTTTAAATATTGACCTAAATGGAAAACCTTTGGTTTAGAATATTTTGGACCTATTCACAAAGAAGTTACGTAATAGTCTATAATTCGGCTTAGTTGTCAACGGAACAAAGACCTGTTAACAGGTTTGTTTCTTTGTTTCATACAAATTATATACTGCTTGTTTGTAAAACAACAACAACAACAATACTTCAGAGCAGTTAAGTGATCAAAAGTAAGCTTACTCATCATGACTAACAAACAGAAATGCCTTAAAGGAACTTAGTCTCAGTAATTCTGTACATGTATTCTGAAAAGCTGGACCCATAAATAAGCTGTTCACTTTGCTACTTGTGTTATGAGTCACTGTTCAAGATTTTGACTATTTTTACAGCACTGTTTTTTGGGAGATGTGTTTTGGGGTAAATCACTGCATGCAAACTAGTTTCGCATTTTTCATATTTTGTTCAGGAGATGAAGACGATTTGTTTTTCTTTTAAAGCAGGGCTAATTTGGGGGTAGGGTAGAGAGCAGATATTGGGAACCTTTGCAATGCTTCAGCAGTTTACTAAATGGAAAACTCATTTCGGATCTGAATTATGTTTAGTTGCACACCGATACAATATACAATGTGTTGTTGTTTTCTCGTAATTGCTCCTCAGAGTGGCGTCCGGGCTCTACTGCACAGATACTCTCCGACTTGGATTTAACGTCCCAAAGAGACGGCAGGTGGAAACGCATCAATACCCTGATGCACTATAATGTAAGGAAGTTGTTTGTATCTGTTGATTGCTTTTTGGTAACACACAGCTTTTCTTTTTTTAAAAAACTGGCTGAGACAACGTGTACTCCTTCTCCTATCAAATCTATGAGTAGATCTTTTCTGTTGCCTTTGCAAAGGCCAGACTATAAATCCTAAAAGGTTCCAAAAATACGTTGGCATTTGCTGCAACTGGGCGATTATGGAGTGCCTCATCAGTTAGGAGGACAAGATACAGCCTCTTTTGAAACCGAGGCATATTCTTTGCTCAGGATAAAAGTTAGCTTTGTATATTGCCAGTACTCAAGACTGACTGTCAATTATGCCCAAGGCAAGATGCGCTTCCCGTAACACTTTCATACTTCACAAATGCAATGCATCTTCTCTGCTCTTTAGTGAGTTTCAGTTTCCCGTAGTTCAGAGAATCTGAAAGACTGAATTTTGAGTTGCGCGATGGATTTTTCTTCTTATTTAAAAAAATAGTCACTAGATTATAACTCTTGATTCTCTGACACAGCATCTTTCCCAGCTCACTTCAAAACTAGACACAGCTTTACGTACACAAATGAATGTATATCTGGAGTGCCCCTTCCATTATGAAATGAAGGAATAAATCTTTTTGTCTGCAAGTGCTCCATGGGGACATCTTAATGAACAATTTGAAACGATGTAAGGAAAGGAATGAGTTTGTGAGGGATAGTGAATTGATTCCCTACACACACATTGTATGCACTGCTTGAATAGGAAGTACCATATTTTTTCACTCCAAAAGGCGCACCAGACCATAGGGCGCACCTACTTTTTGGGGGGGGAATTCAAGAAAAAAAATATGCAGCTCTTGGGGGCTTTTGCCGGAAGTGGGGGAAGTGAGGGAGCCGCGCTCTGTCCCTTTCCCCAACTCCCAGAAAAGCCAGGGATAGCCGCGTGAAGCCTCCCCAGGACAGTGGGATAAAGGCTCCCCACTGCCCTGCGGAGGCTTTGCAGAAGCTAAAACAGCTAGAAGGAGCACTGCGCAGTGCTCTCTCTCGCTGTTCTGGCTTCTGGAGCAGCCTTTCTGCTGCTCCCCGACCTGCCTGCTCTTTGGGGCTGGTGGTGGCGGAAAGCCGGGCTTCCCCCACCGCCAGCCCCAGGGACCACACATTCGCTCCATAAGACATACAGACATTTCCCCTTAGATTTTAAGAGGAAAAAAGTGCGTCTTATGGAGCGAAAAATGCGGTAGATGTTTTGCAGAAGTAAGATTTACTTTGGATGTTCTTAGCAATTCCCTCCTGTGCATTTTGTTAAAGGTACGGGACGGTGCTACTCTCATCTTGTCAAAAATGGGGGTCTCCCAACAGCCAGAGGACCATCAGCAAGACATGCCAGAGGAAAGTGAGTATGATCTGTTACTCCTCTAAAGGCCTCAGAAGAGCACTCAACATATTACCAGTGGGTAATGCTAATGTTGCCCTGTTCTGATTTGGCCCTCGTGGCTAAAGCTGTATTTTGCTATGCAGGAACAGAGTGGTTTCGTGATTGCCAATAGTACCTTAAGAGATCATTCTATTACTTAACATAAGTTCTAAGGATATTGATTTTGTTTTTAGTTAGTTAAATTTTCTCTTTCCACCAGTTGTGCCCATTTTTTACCATGTGCTTCCTAAACACGTCGGCTGCAGCATTCAGATATTTGCATGTTGCTCAATGGTCCTGCCCTTGTGGGAGTTTTTTAAACATTTGCCTTTACAGTGGTACCTTGGGTTACAGGCGCTTCAGGTTACAGACTCCGCTAACCCAGAAATAGTACCTCAGGTTAAGAACTTTGCTTCAGGATGAGAACAGAAATTGCGCAGTGGTGGCAGCGGTAGGCCCCATTAGCTAAAGTAGTACCTCAGGTTAAGAACAGTTTCAGGTTAAGAACGGACCTCCAGAACGAATTAAGTTCTTAACCCGAGGTACCACTGTATTACTATTTCATATCACATTCTTCGAGGGATATTCCAGTGGATATTCATTCATGGAACTAATTAGAGTCGTTCCAGTTTAGCATCATCCGTGCTCAGCATCAGATGCTTCTAGCATTCATTAGGCCCACAATAGAATGGGCTAGAAATTTGTGCCTATGTACAGGCAGTCTGGTTTTGCCCAGTTGGTTTTTGAAGCTATTAAAATATCACTGAAATATTCAGCGTTATGAAGACTTGGGCTGTGTCAACTCCTGGGGACTGCAATGTGTCTTATACTAAGCTCTGTGTTGATGGACGTTATAAGCACACCCACACTAGTGAAAGTTGTGCCAACCTAGGCTGAGGGGCAGGAAGTAGGTGTAGCTTCTAACTACATGCATTCCCCAAGGGCACTACTTTTATTACTTCCTATGAAAGTAATAAAAGGGGCGCGGGTGGCGATGTGGGTTAAACCACAGAGCCTAGGACTTGCCAATCAGAAGGTCGGCGGTTCGAATCCCAGCGACGGGGTGAGCTCCCATTGCTCGATCCCTGCTCCTGCCAACCTAGCAGTTCGAAAGCACGTCAAAGTGCAAGTAGATAAATAGGTACTGCTCCGGCGGGAAGGTAAACGGCGTATCCGTGCACTGCTCTGGTTTGCCAGAAGTGGCTTAGTCATGCTGGCCACATGACCCGGAAGCTGTACACCGGCTCCCTCAGCCACTAAAGCAAGATGAGCGCTGCAACCCCAGAGTCGGTCACGACTGGACCTAATGGTCAGGGGTCCCTTTACCTATGAAAGTAAAGGAAAGACATTTATGTGAAACTGGAGTCAAGGCATCTCCTTAGATTCAATGCCCACATAATGATAGGGCCAGTCCTGATTTGGGCTGTAATAGGTCATGCCTTTGACACATTCATCATTCTTTAGACCAGAGACTACATGCTTCCTGGTGGTATGGAATTTAAATGCACAACCTGTGCAGAAATAGGCATTGTGTTTTGTAATGCATCCCAGCAGGTCCCTTGTCCTGGTGTCTGCCTATGGGAAGCAGGCTGAGTTTTAAGCCTGTTGGTCAGATAAATCTTCTGCATTTTCAACATCTGTGGGTTTTTTCTGTGTGGGCAAAGCCTGGAATATTGGATATTAGCATTCATTCCTTATTTGGGACCCAATATGATGAGGCTTTTTGTCCTCTGGCTCCTACTATGACAGGGAACAAGTTTGATAAAGGGCACTCTCTCTAAAGGTTCTTTGGAACTGGTATGTCAATAGCATTTCAGTTCTTTGAGGAAAGCAGTTGCCTGGTTGTTTTTTTATGTGTTACTGCTTTCTAAATGCGGTTACTTAAATGCAAATTGATGATAAAAGCTTTCCAGAGTTTGTCAATCCATTTTTTAAAGTTTCTATTCTTTTTGGGTTACATAAATAAAATTGAAAATGAAAAAGTAGGTTTCTCGGGTTTGTGTATAGATGCACAGATGAAAATATATCTTGAAACCAAGAGGCCGTTTGAACCAGGATCTACTTAGTGATAGACTAAAAGCAGGAAATTCTGGTAACATGTATGCTGAGAGCTGTATCAGGTAGCAAAAATGATCTATTGAGTTTCAAAGATGAAGGCTTCCAACCACTCAGTGCCCTTTTTTTGCACAGGAAATAGCTTTCAGGGGAATTCTGGAAAGGTAATATTTCATTCCTAGCTAATGTTTCTTTTCATTAGTGCTTAGGTCTCTTAGAATTATCCAAAGCCAGCTTGTTTATTTGGAAAGCTATAAAATGTTAGAGAGCCAGTGGAGAGCTAGAGCTTGAACCGACAATGATTTGTGGAGTTCTTTGTTGCGTAAAAGGAAAATAAATGTTCCCCCACCCCAGAAAAAGAAGCAACATGCTGTTATGAGGCCTGAATACAGAGCCCACCTCTGCCAATTTTACAAAAAAAAATGACTTGAAAAGGACTTTTGTATGCTTAGGTTTGGCTGTTTTTATTGAAGTCATTTCATATGAACCTAGACTTTTTAAAGTTGGTTGCCACTAATAATATACAAAGAGAATGGGTTTACATCTCTTTCCAAAAAAATGTGGAACGATGTCCAAATCCTTTAGAAATAGTTCTTTCTTTCTTTCTTTCTTTCTTTCTTTCTTTCTTTTTCCAGGCAGTGATGTGTTAGTTGATTATAAAGTCTAGAGAATTAAGTGCAGTAAAATTTCGCATTGCCAAATGACATGATGGAATGAATGGGAGTTTCACAAATGTGCAACTCCCGTGGCATTCCTGTTCTTTTCAGTGGGACTTGGAAAGAAATTAGTTTGATTTATCCCCATTTTTTATTTTTATTTTTCATCTCAGTTCACAAATAAAGATTGGTTAGTCTGGACTTTCTTCGAATTCCTTCTCCTGCCAATGATCTTTATTACATTGGCAGTAATAAGCAAGTATTTTGTGTAGCGCTTTAGGGTGCTCAGAATGTACATTACGTTGGTAGCCTATATCTTTGTAAGGAAGATTGGTATTATCACCATGTGAGAGAAAGCAGCTTTTCTAATGCCGTCTGATACGAGATTTGAAGAGGAAACTTAGCTGGCATCTCCAGCTCCCCGTAATCCAGTAGCAGTCAGTGAAGTGGCCCAGATGGGTCATTGGTGTTTACCGTTGGAGTGTTGTGGGTACAGGGCCATCTTACCCATAAGCGCTAGGGGTGTGGGGCACCCGAGCGCTGGGCTCTCAGGGGCACCAGGCCAAGAGTCCAGGGCCTGAGAGTTGAGTCTGGGGAAGAGCCACTGGCGGAGGAAGAGGAGTGCGGGAGGAGCCCCTGGCAGTGTGATCCTGGTGGGGCACCATCGCGGCTGCCCCCCTGCCTGTGCTGGGCGCCATGCCCCCAGGACATGTGCCACGGCCCTACGTGATGAGTCAGCGTCATGAAATTTGGGGAGCTGCCTCGTTGGTCTATAGCCAACTCGTATAAAGAGGTACAGTTGACTTGAGAAGACTGCTTTATGATGTTGCAAGACTGCAACTGGAATAAAGCCCTACTTAAAATACAGCTTGACTCCCGAGTGCTTCATGTGGGGCTTCCGTACATCACTACAGTGAGCAGCTCAGTGTGGAGTGCCACTGCAGGAGTGTTGGACTGCCTCTACCACCACATGCCACACAGCGCTGCACTCCCCATGCTTCTCCGCAACAGGCCAACATCTCAACCTCCCTGGAAATGGTTATAATTTGAAAGCATGCCTCGTAGGGAAAAGAGAGTGAGGGAAAACACGCCCAGAAGGGGAAAGTTCTGACACGCAAAAATAGAATTCAGAGGTATGCAGAATTCTGGTGCACACATGGGACAAGAAAGTGGGGACAGTTTCTACATCATATACAGTGGTACCTCGGGTTAAGAACTTAATTTGTTCTGGAGGTCTGTTCTTAACCTGAAACTGTTCTTAACCTGAGGTACCACTTTAGCTAATGGGGCCTCCTGCTGCCGCCGCGCTGCTGGAGCACGATTTCTGTTCTCATCCTGAAGCAAAGTTCTTAACCCGAGGTACTATTTCTGGGTTAGTGGAGTCTGTAACCAGAAGCGTCTGTAACCCAAGGTTATTGCTGAATGTGCCACACTCCAAATCCCATTAGATAAATGGACAATTCCTTATTGTTGCTGGGAATAGGAAGCTCCCACTCATTTAGAGGCCAGTACAGGAGTTGCAATTCTGCCCTGGAGCTCTAGTAGACTGCACTTGTGTTTTAAAGCATTGTGTTGTTTTTTTAAGGTTAACTCAGCTTCTTCGCTTTGGCAAATAAGACCTGAGCAAGTACGTTGAAAAAAAGCATCAGCACGTTTGTTAGTTCGGCACCTTCATGTTTATGAAATGCAAATAATATTAATTACAGGCAACTAAATATGCAGATTAGTCACAGTCCTCTGGCACATGATTCATGGCATGGCAATCGGCGCACAGCCAGTGGATTTAATTTTAATGTGATTGTTTTGAAATGTGTCACTATTTTCAGGGCGTGCATTGTTGGAAGAGGAAAATAAGATCTGGCATCTAGTTCGGCCGGCAGATGAAGTTGATGAAGGCAAATCAAAAAGAGGAAGCATGAAAGAGAAGGAGAGAACCAAAGCTATTACAGAAATCTACCTGACAAGACTCCTCTCTGTGAAGGTAAGATTGAGACATCAAGTTAAAATTGCCATCATCTCTAGAAGGTACTCGTAATTCGGGGTGTTAAGTGTAAATAGTAACTTACTGTGTGGAATCCTTCTTTAGGGCTCAGATTTAATTTAAAAACAATAGCTTTCTCTTGTGTTTATGAGTCTGTATTTTTAGTTACATAAATAATACACTTTGTGTTTATTGTCAAGGACATTAGAGGTGGAAACCCAGGATTGACTTCACAAATTGGCCAGCACATACAACGGTTGAAACGTGACAATTCCTGAGGCACCTCAGAGCTAGATAGCTTATTGTGCTTTGATTTTTCACAGAATGAGGAAGTCACGATATTTCCCAAATAGTTTCTGTGATGCATAAATATTTGCATAACACGTATCAGCCACTGTTCTATTTGCCTGCACTGACACTACACCTCTCCCCTTTCATGCCCCTGTCAGTGGCTGTGCTTCTCCTTCTTCTAACACTAAGTGGCCTGCTAGCTTGTGAGCTTAGAGAAGTTAAGCGCAATGCAAGTGTGCGGTGAGCTCAGTGCTGTTCTGTGTTAAACTCAAAGCATAACAAAGCCAACTTGACATTTAATTTGCATTTCTGCCTCTAGTAGCCTTAAATGTGAGCTGTCCATATTGACTTCCACTGTTGCCACCATCTGAAAACATCTGGCTGGCGGGTAAATGTGTTCTGCAGATTGCGTGAACTTCCTTAAAGCAAAGTTGTGTGGAATTAATGAAACCTAAAAACACAAGAGCCCTGATTGAGTAAAGCAGACTCTTCTCTAATCCAGCAACCTGTTCTTATGGGGGCCAGCCAGATTCCTATTATTATTATTATTATTATTATTATTACAGTGGTACCTTAGGTTAAGAACTTAATTCGTTCTGGAGGTCTGTTCTTAACCTGAAACTGTTCTTAACCTGAAGTACCACTTTAGGTAATGTGGCCTCCTGCTGCACCTGCGCCGCTGCCATGCAATTTCTGTTCTCATCCTGAAGCAAAGTTCTTAACTTGAGGTACTGTTTCTGGGTTAGTGGAGTCTGTAACCGGAAGCATATGTAACCTGAGGTACCATTGTATTTTAATTTGCATATTGTCTTCATTTGAAGACCTCAGGGCGGTTCACAGCATAAAAATACAAAATAAAAAACAAAATGCATAATTAAAAACAAGAACAAAACAAACCCATAACCCACCCCCTCCCATAAACACATTTATATCTTGTGGCAAGCAGGTTGGGATCTTGCATGCTCTGCATAAGGTTAAAATCCAAAAGTAGTTTCCTCATGTTAAGCCACGAACGAGAGACTACAAACGCAAGGCTTTATTATAATTAGGCTACTAAATCACAAAAGTCCATGCCAGTAATTACCAGAATGTATCTGGGAAGCATAATTATAAGTGCATTACTCCGCCATCAGTTCCCTCCTATACTTGTCCATCTATTTCAGAGTTGGGCTTTTTGCATTCCCTGAGCAACAATACTGAAATCCCCACCTCTTTAAAACAGAGTAGAGAATTGTGTTTCCGGAGCTCCCTGGACCATTTCTTATGGCTGTTCATTTCATGATGTTCATAAGAGCATTTACTACCCATTTAGAGATGAAAAATGCTGCACTTCAAACTATTGTGATTCCTTGGCCACTTGGGACGGAGGCCTGTACAGTTGACTATAAATCAGTTTAGAAAGCATTCTTGTAAATTTGAAATAATGTCCTTGAAAATGCTACACTTGCACTATAACCTGAATTTTTAATGCATGTATGTATGTTTTCTCTCCCCCCCCCTTAATTCTTCTTCAGGGTACACTTCAGCAGTTTGTAGATAACTTTTTTCACAGCGTACTTGACTCAAAGCATGTTGTGCCACCAGCTGTGAAATATTTCTTTGATTTTCTTGATGAGCAAGCGGAAAAGCATGATATCAAAGATGACGATACTATCCACATCTGGAAAACGAACAGGTATGAACTTTCAGGGTTCGTGGGGAGAAGTGGCTGAAGAAGGCGATACATTCACTCACTAGCAACAGTGCTTTTTATTGCTGTAAGCCAGGGCTCTCTCTTTACCAGATGTGGAAGGGGAAAGTGTGGCATTTCACTCAGAGCTCTCAGCAGAAGCTGTGTGTGTGTGTGCATACCCGCCAACATTTCTCTGGTGAAAATAGGAACGTCCTATTCTATTATTTTTAATAATAATAATAATAATAATAATAATAATACCCTGTACATCTTACTGTGTTGCCCCAGCCACTCTGTGTGGTTTCCAACATATATAAAGGTAAAGGGACCCCTGACCATTAGGTCCAGTCGTGGCCGACTCTGGGGTTGCGGCGCTCATCTCACTCTATAGGCCGAGGGAGCCGGCGTACAGCTTCCGGTTCATGTGGCCAGCATGACTAAGCCACTTCTGGCGAACCAGAGCAGCATACGGAAACGCCGTTTACCTTCCTGCAGGAGCAGTACCTATTTATCTACTTGCACTTTGACATGCTTTAGAACTGCTAGGTTGGCAGGAGCAGGGACTGAGCAACAGGAGCACACCCCATCGCTGGGATTCCAACCGCCGACCTTCTGATCGGCAAGTCCTAGGCTCTGTGGTTTAACCCACAGCACCACCCACGTCCCTAACCAACATATAGAGAAACATAATAAAACAGTAAACAGTAAAAAAAAACCTTCCCTATACAAGGCTGCCTGGGTGTCTTCTAAAGGCTGTATAATTACTTATCACATAACTCCATACCCTCCAACATTTCTCCAATGAAAATAGGAACATCCTAAGGAAAAGTGGGACATTCCAGGATCAAATCAGAAACCAGGACAGCTTCTGTAAATATGAGACTGTCCCTGGAAAATGGGACACTCTGTCTGTCTGTATCTATCTGTCTATAATAGATGGTTCCTGGATCATAACCACTGTTTCAAGTAGCTGTTCTTTATGCTTATATTGCCCAACCACAGCCCTCTAAAACTGGGGCAGCAACCCTTAAAATGAAGGGAAATGCCAGAATGCCTTAACAAAGCTGCTGAGGGAGAAAGATGAAAGCTTTAAAACAGAGCCAGTTGCAAAGTGTTCCCAGCCCTGAAAAAGATAGGTGGGAGGACAGAATAGGTAGGAAACGTACAGAGATATATGTGGCAGCTTTACTTTTTGATGTTTACAAGGATGATTTCCCTGTTCTTCCCGAATCTGAGTTTTCCTATTTGAAATGATATACCCCAACAGCATGAAGGTTAAAGGATCTCCACTTCAACTAAGTAATGCCAGCCTTATTGCTGCATAGGACTTGCCACAAAGGAATACAGCTTTGCTAAATACTCATTTTTGGGGTTCTGGGGCACGTAGCAATGGGACTGCTGTCTGTGTCTTTTAGACAAAACCTCTCAAATTGTTTTTGGGTAGTTTTTTTGTTTTCTAATATAGCATGCAGAAGCACACTGTGGATACTGATTCACTTAGTGGCTTAAGCATATAATCAAACTGAAAATAATGTTGCAGCAATTTTAAGCAGAGCAATCTATTTTGCTTGCCAGGGCCTCATTTTCTACACTTTAACTTCACTCCTTAATAAGGGCTTGCATTGTTTCTTTGCTTGCTTCACAGCTTGCCGCTTAGGTTCTGGGTAAACATACTGAAAAACCCCCACTTCATCTTCGATGTTCATGTTCACGAAGTAGTGGATGCTTCCTTGTCAGTCATTGCACAGACTTTCATGGATGCTTGCACAAGAACAGAGCACAAATTAAGCAGGGTAAGTGTTTTACATTCTGCTCTGTGTCTGCGCGAGAGAGAGAACGTTTTAAGTACATTATGATAGACAAAGCAGTAATCATAGAAGATAGCGCATAGATCAGTTCATTTTGCCTTTGCTTGTAAGGATGATTATATTGTTTTGAAGCTTCAGCGAAAGTTCAATGTTTAATCTCTAGTGACACATTCAAAAGAGTTGTTTTCTATTGCTTTTAGAATAACAGCTGATTACTGCTTGCAACTTATTTTTTATCTATTAAAGGTACAAGCTGGTTTTTGAAACTTAAGGGATGTCTCTCCTATCATCCTGTTCACAGCCCTATATCCACAAGGCCTGCCCGCCTTGGTACCAGCCAGAGGGGCACATTGTGGCCTGTTTGGCCAATGAGGCAGGCCCTTGAGGTGCTCTGCATCCGGGGCGTGGGAACAAGGCAATGTCAGAGCCCTATTTCAAGGCTAGTTGGCCTTCTCCCCACACCCTCTTATTCTCTTTGCAGTCCCTGCCCTCCCAACCTATGGTAAAGGTAAAGGGACCCCAGACCATTTGGTTCAGTCGTGGCCGACTCTGGGGTTGCAGTGCTCATCTTGCTTTATTTCCCAAGGGAGCCGGCGTACAGCTTCCGGGTCATGTGACCAGCATGACTAAGCCGCTTCTGGCAAACCAGAGCAGCACCCGGAAACGCCGTTTACCTTCCCGCCAGAGCGATACCTATTTATCTACTTGTACTTTGACGTGCTTTCAAACTGCTAGGTTGGCAGGAGCACGGACTGAGCAACGGGAGCTCACCCCGTCGTGGGGATTTGAACCGTCGACCTTCTGATCGGCAAGTCCTAGGCTCTGTGGTTTAGACCACAGCACCACCCGCGTCCCATCCCCAACTTGTGACTTATTGGTCACTTCTACAATCCTGTGTAGGATTGTTTTGCTGTTCAACTTCGTGGGTTGTTTTTTCACCTACTCTGCGCCAAATAGCTTGGCACTAGATGGCCTGCTGTGTTTTGAACTAGATTCATCTGGTCTTTGGTTCAATTATTTTGGCCAGTTGGGCGCAGGAAGGATAATAGTTGTATTTCAGCCTGGAGACCTACCCCCCTTTAGGCATGTTTCAGGGTCCTGTACTGACCCGAAGGCTTACTCTCTGGGCTCTAGGGATAGAAGCTGCCCTTGAAGCTAAACAGCTTCATTGGCCTGGAGCTATGAGATCTCAGGGGGAGAGGCATAGGCCTTCCTACCAACTTTCATGCTGTGGCCTGAGATTGGGATGCCATCTGGACAGCCATGACTCTGGTTCCTTTGGCCTTTTAGCTTCGCATATGACAAAACCGACATATACCCACAGTCTGCTTTCCAAATGTTTACGGTAGCACACACACTTTATTTACATGAGTACATTTTCTACAAATTAATCTCTAACACACCAATTGCACTTGAACACTCAGCTCTGTGTATATCATCTTTTCCCAGGATTCTCCGAGTAATAAGTTACTCTATGCAAAAGAGATCTCGACGTATAAGAAGATGGTGGAAGAGTAAGTAAAGAATTATTGTACCTGGGCTTTTGTCACCGGGAAAACAATTCCATTTCATCATCATTTCAGAATATGTTCATTAAAAAATATTCCATGTATTAAACCGACAGGGTAGAAAATGAAGTGGTAAACATAGTGGTAACATCTCATTGGACAAAGGAGGAATGCAGGTTCTGTCAATAATAATGTTATCCTTCACAATGGCCTTTTCCAGCCTGGTTCCTATGGACTATTGCAGGATCGATCCCCATACGGGACCAGCTACATATTCCTGCAGTGCAGGGAGTTGGACTAGATGATCCTCAGGGTCCCTTCCAACCTGATCCTATGTGACTACAACTCTCATCAGCCATGCTGGTTGGGACAGATGGGACTTGCAGTCCAAAACATCTGGAGGGAAGATTGCTATATAGTGAGAGTTCCAAGAGGAATAAGTCTAAGGGCAAAGACAGACATATAATTCACACATTCCCTGCATTTCCCCCCAGCAAAGTTAAGAATGTACGTAGAAAATGGTACACTGGAAATAAAAATCTGCTTGAATTTTTCAAGACACATCTGTGAAATGATGCACAAAATCCAGTTCACCCTAGATTAATCAAATGGCTCCACACACTCTTATTGGGCTTGATAACCACCCATTATTGCCTGCTATCCAGATGTGAAATCAAATATTGCAGCAGCTTTATATGTCGTTTCAAAACAGGTATCTGTTTAATCAGACTGAACGAAATTAGGCATAAGTGTGTCAGGCTTTCTCCAAGTTAATGAACATGTTAAATGGTTTTTAAACCTTTGAATCTGGGGTTAATTTCGTGGCTTTTGATCTGTAATTTTTCAGACTAGCCTTACCCCCCTCCCTTTCCAAATGTGGTTTTTATAATGTCCTATCCAGTGAACTGCATTACAGAAGTTGAAGAAAGAATGTTGAGAAGTATTTCACAAGTGCCACATGTCCTGTAGCACCTTAAAGGATTAACAACTTTTTTGTGGCATGAGTTTTCAAAGGCTAGAGTATAGGTCTCTGGTGACATTTTTCAAGCTTGAGCATTGGAGCTGTCTGTTATACTTCGGCTTGCAAAAGCTATATACTTTGGTGTATTTTAAAATTCAGTATTAATGATGAAAGCAGATTTGGGGGATGGGTGTTTGCAAGATCCTTCATTTAGAAGTCTGTTAAAAAGGAAGATGAAAATATACACTCGATTCCAGTTGTAACACTTCCTAAATTCCAACTATTTCTGACTATAAAGTTTAATTCCTCGCCCAATACGTCTAACACTGCAATGTTATGCACAGCTACATGGGACTAAATTCCATTTAATTCAGTAGAAGCATTTGTGGGATCAGACTGTAAGAAACACTGAACATTTGCTTGGCTATGCTTCTTTTGCCAGCCTTGGCAGTTCTCAATAATGAGGCGGGTAATCCCCATAGTTCAGTATACTTGTTGAACATGACAGAATTTGGTCAGCAGTGCAGAAGCAACCATGTTTATTGAGGCGCTATCTAATCTGTTCAAATGCCCACAGAAAGTTTAGCTGGTTTGTGCTAAGTTGTGCAGTGTGTTCTTCCTTTCGCTCATGGGTTGTTGAAATCAATGGTAGCAGCGCTTTGATGGATTAAGCCAATTGTGTGTATAAGCAAAGAAGCAACAAGAGATGCAGATCAGATCATTTCATAAGGAAATTTGCAATTTCTTGAGCACCTCTGTTGTAGTTGTAGATGTTGTAGTTATTAGAAAAATAAAATTGCTACGAAGCATAAATGCATTTTTAAAATGATGAACTGCATCAACTAAAAATTGTTGTTTCGGTTGATTTTTTTCTAGTTATTACAAAGGTATTCGCCAAATGGTACAAGTGAGTGACCAGGACATGAATACACATTTAGCAGAGATTTCTAGGGTAAGTATCAAATTGGAATTCTTACTTTGGGAATACAGTGGAACCTCGTGTTATGGATGGGATCCGTTCCGGAGGCCCATCCATAACATGGAACTGACGCAAGCTGAATCGCTGTGTCGGCGCACGTGCGCGGTTTGATTTAGCGCTTCTGCGTGAGCGGTGAGACCCGGAAGTAACCCGTTCCGGTACTTCCGGGTTGCTGCAGGAAACACGTAACCTGAAGCAGACGCAACATGAGGTATGACTGTAGAGGCATGAAGCTCTGGCATTTGTCATTTTGTGCTCACGTCCAATTAGAACTTCTGCCTGTCCTACGGAATCTTTTGAATTATTTTCCCCCATACAATATTGCGTTGCTTGTGAATTATTGATTTTAAAGGATGCTCAAACATTCTTTTAGGGTGATTCCCTTCCCCCCCCCCATGTCAACAAAAGCGATGGGATTTCTAATAGCTTAGTTGAATAAAATGGCACAGAGGAAAAAAGGCTCGTGGGGAAAGAAGGCAGAACCATAGTTTCAAATTGGTTTCATTCAGGGAATTTACATGTGGCACGTCCTGAAGATTAATTTAAAATTCAGTTCATGTGGATGAAACTCACAAGGAACTTGTCTAAATGTCTTCTTGTGTTTTTTATTGGTTTAGATGGCCTTAACAGGGCACCAGCCATATTTACAGGGGGTAGGGCTATTCATCATGATGGCACTATGCCTCTAAACTCCAGTTGCTGGTGACTATCAGCAGGGAAAAGGCTATTGTCCTCACCACTTGCTTGTGGGCTTTCCAGATGTTGGCCACTAGATGTTGGTGGACTTGATTCTACAGCACTCTTATGTTCTTAACCAGATGAAGTTTGTGTTCTTTGGAGCATTTGCCCGCATGACCTCTATACACATCTGGAGTCAACCTGCTCCAGACTAAGGCTACTGCGTACCCCTTTCTATGATGAGGAAAGCAGCATGGTTGGCTGTAACAAATCCAGCAGGAGACCTTGACGCGGGGGGGGGGGTGTTCCTGAAAATTGTCAGTTTCACTTCCTCACCAAGCCAGACAGCTATTAAAAGATTTGCGTACCAGTGCTGGGATATGGAAAAGGGATTTACATCGTGTCTGGTGCTCCTATATATATTTCATTGGAGTTCGTATGCAGCCAGGACGGTGCCCTGACGCATTCCTTTTTCTTCTTGTTTTGTTTAATAGGCACACACAGACTCATTAAATACCCTTGTGGCTTTACACCAGCTCTACCAGTATACTAACAAATACTATGATGAGGTAAGTTTCCACTGTCAGAATGGCTTTATTATGCTGTAAAAGGGTCACCGCAGCAAGGAAAAAGAGCCAACAGGCTGATAGACTTTGGGCTCATGATTTCCTAGCTTACCAGGTGCTTGGCTTTTACAGGCGCTGTATTTCTGATACGTGGGGGTTGGAGGGGCAGGTTGGTGCTGACAACTTTGGAGTTTGCTTAGAAGAATCCAAAATACTGGTGGTGCTGATAACAAATGTTAGCCAAATTAGTGAGGTAGGAGAGCTGGGTGGGAAATCACATCTGGCAACCAATAGTACTTGGGTAAAGGTACCCCTGACCGTTAGGTCCAGTCACGGACGACTCTGGGGTTGCACGCTCATCTTGCTCTATAGGCCGAGGCAGCCGGCGTTTGTCCGCAGACAGCTTCTGGGTCATGACTAAGCCACTTCTGGCGAACCAGAGCAGCACACGGAAACACTGTTTACCCTGCCACCGGAGCGGTACCTATTTATCTACTTTCACTTTGATGTGCTTTCGAACTGCTAGGTTGGCAGGAGCTGGGACCGAGCAACGGGAGCTCACCGCCAACCTTCCGATCGGCAAGCTCTAGGTTCTGTGGTTTAGACCACAGCGCCACCCGCGTCCCTTTCAGTACTTGGGTAGATGAGTCTAAAAAAGCCCAGGGCACAATTTTTCACAGCCCTCTGGTGGCTCATTTACCAGAAGTAATGTACTTGGCATTATCTCTGGAAGTCTGTACTCAATTCTAACCAAACTAGGCCTCCTCCTAGAGCAAAATATACATAGGAGGCTTAGTTTGGTCAGAATTGAGTATACACTTCCAGAGATAATACTAAATGCATTGCTTCTGGAAATGAGCCACCATAGTTCTCAGAGGTCCATGAAACTTAGTGTCCCAGGCTTTTTAGACTCTTCTACCCATCTGAAACCAGAGGGGTCCATTGGTTGCCAGATGTGAAATATATTGCCATTATTTTCAGGTCTCCCACCCCACTACTAAGGCTCTGCGATGTTGAAAACTCAACATCACCGAGCTTTACCACCAGCCAAACATCGTGGTTTGGTGATAAACCGTGATGTTGAAAGAAGCTGCATCGGCCCCAGCCTGCGGCTGAGCTGGGGGGGCGGAAAGGCTCCTGCCCCCCCCAAACTTAGCAAGCCGGTGTCCGTGCAGCTTGTGCGTGAGCAACAGTGACCTGGGGCTCCTTGTGGGGGGAGGGCGAAAGGGCTGCTCTGCCTCAGCTGAGCCAGCCCCGAGGTCCCTGCTGGTTGCGCACAAGCGACAGGGTCCTTCGCGAGGCTCCCTCCACCACTGTTGGCATGGGGAGTGAGCGAGCTTATTCTCCTCCCCGCCCCCTTGAAGACAGACCACACTGCGGTGGCCAAATGCATGGAGCCTGTCAGGTTCCATGCATTTGACTGTCTTTGCCCGTGCAGGCCCGTCGCCTCTTTCCTCCTGGGGTGAACGACCCCAGGAGGAAAGAGGCACCCTTCTGCCGGCTTGTGTGAGCCAGAGGCAAGGTGGGGGCTCCTTTAAACTTCTCCATTGAGGGGCATGCAGCCACACCCACCTCAATGGAAAAGTGTGATGGAGCGGGGCTGGGGCTCTCTCAGCTGGGGAGTGGGAGCCCTTTAACAGAGCCACCACCCTGCCGCTAGCTCGTGGGGTCTGGGGCTTTGCAAGACTGCTTGGCTGAGGCAAGGGTCTTGGCACACTCCTCAGCCAAGCAGTTTAAAGAAGCGGGAGGGAGGAACAAGCTGTATCACGCCTTGTCTATGCAATTTCCTTCTCCCTCCGCTGTGGTAAGAGAGCAGAGCGTGGTTTTACCAGTGGTATATCGCTGGTGAAACCGCGGCCACTCCCTCTGCCTCCAGCTCCGGCTGCAGTTTGTTTCTCCCTCAGCGTGCTGGGCACTGGAGGCAGAGGGACTTAGGAGTGGCTGCGGTTTCACCAGCGATATACCACTGAGTGAAGCTGTCATCGCTGCCTGCCCCTCATACCAGTCCCTGGACAATATATTGATAAATCACCCAGGCCTACCCACAACTACCGTATTTTTCGCTCTATAAGACGCTCTTTTTCCCTCCTAAAAAGTAAGGGGGAATGTGTGTGCGTCTTAGGGAGCGAATGCAGACTGTGCAGCAATCCCTCTTGCTGTTCTGACTTTGCTTCATTGGAGAGGCGCTGCGCAGCTTTCCCTCTCTGCGCAGTGCCCCTTCAGCGAAGCGGTAGGAGAAACTGAGTCCCTTCCATTTCTCCTCCTGCTTTGCTGAAGAGGCGCTATGCAGAGAGGGAGAGAATTTTTTTCCCCTTGTTCTCCTCCTCTAAAACTAGGTGCATCTTATGGTCAAGTGCATCTTATAGAGCGAAAAATACGGTATTTATCTCTTGAAAGATCTTGGGCAGGGGTCAGCAACCTTTTTCAGCTGTGGGCCACTCCACCGTCCCTCAGACCATGTGGTGGGCCGGACTATATTTTGAAGGGGGGGAAATGAATGAATTCCTATGCCCCACAAATAACCCAGAGATGCATTTTAAATAAAAGGACACATTCTACTCATGTAAAAATACGTTGATTCCTTGACCGTCTGTGGGCAGGATTGAGAAGGCGAATGGGCTGCTTCCGGGCCTTAGGTTGCCTACCCCTGATCTCGGGACTATTAGTCAAGGGAGAGAAGCTGGCTTACTGTGCTGAGCTTCATACTGGGCGCCATGATGTTGCAACCGTTGGCTACACCTGTAGCAGCCTTCAGAGCCTCTTTAAAGAGCTTGTCCGCTTTCACGATAGTTGTTGCTTCCTCTTCTGCCAAGAAAATATAGGCAGGGGCACACCTATCAGTGAAACAACAAAATCAATTGTCAGTAGGACAAACTAGCTACCATCAGACAACAAAAGTTCAGTATCCACAAGCTATGAAGGAGCATTCCTTATTTCTGCCACGCTTTTAAAAAATTTATTGGCTAGTAATGGTGCTCATCTTTGAATACAGTGGTACCTCTGGTTGCGAACAGGATCCGTTCCGGAGCCCCGTTCGCAACATGAGCAGAACGCAACCCGCATCTGCGCGGGTTGCAATTCACTGCTTCTGCGCATGCGCATGACGTCATTTTGAGTGTCTGTGCATGCGCGAGCAGCGAAACCCAGAAGTAACCCTTTCCGGTACTTCCGGGTCACCGTGGGACACAACCTGAAAAGATTTAACCTGAAGCAAACGTAACAAGAGGTATGACTGTAGGTAATTTGAGATGGACGGGTTTGCATTACACAAGGCATTCTCAAAAAAAGGGGGGGGGAAGGAAATGGCTTGGTTCACTTCCCAACCAATCTGAATGAAACACACACCCACATCCACACACACACACACACACACACACACCACAATCTACCCTTGCATTTAAATGGTAGCTTCAGGCAGCCAGGACAGAGCTCTCCTGGCAGTGGGAAGCATTTGAGGGTTATGAAGGCTGCCCAGGCAAAGTACCCAACCACCCACAGAGGAGATGACTGCAATGGCAGGCCTTCCCCCTCTCTAGTGATTTTTGCCTCTTTAATCTCTCCGCTATTCTGTCTTAATAAAGCAACGTGCTTCTGATCTACACTTTGAAAATCCATGAGATTTTCTTCGGCGTAATATGTAGCTGAATAGGCCTATGGCTGTGAAAACTAAAACTGAAGCTGTGTGTCTTGCCTGAATCCTGATTTTTCTTCTTCTTCTTCTCCTAGATCATAAATGCACTGGAAGAGGACCCAGCTGCACAAAAAATGCAGCTTGCTTTTCGATTACAACAGATAGCAGCTGCTTTAGAGAATAAAGTAACTGACCTTTGATTTGAAAGCTGCAATAAAGAAGACTGATCTGGATGTGTAAATTCATTCTTCCTAATAAGGAAATAGTGTTCTATTTTTTAATGTGTAATTACAACTTTAAATGAAAAACAAAAGATTTTGGTTTTTTTATAGCAAAGCTGTAATGTAAAGAGTTTTTACTGTAAATTATGCTTCTAATTAAAATCCTGTGTTGTGTGTAAATGAATTTTCAGTGGGAAATGAGGGAAGTCCTCTGGGGTGGGGGAGGGTAAAGTTATAGCTCATTTAATCAAATAGTACAATCTTGAAGCATCAGCATTTTTAGAATTCATTACGCTAGTTAAATTCACTACCTATAGCATTCTTTATACTTTTTAAGCAATATGTGTACTAGAAAAGTAATAGCATATTGGAAAAATAAATGCAATATCCCTCTTTTAATTTCAGTAATTGGAAATAGATTTTCTTCTTATTCTTTTTTTTTAAATAAATAAATCCAGTTGTCCTGTGTTCTACTCATAATGAGTAGAATGAAAGACACATTTGCTATGACTTTTTTCTGTTTAAGACATTGCAGTGGGTTTGGTACTATACATCTTTACATATCTGAAAACCAAGTGCTAAAAACAGTGCTTGTGACTGTTTCCCTCCTACACACTTTGCCAGGGTCAAAGTGGACAATACTGTAGATTATTTGGGATGGACTGATCCTTTAACTAGGAAGGTGCATGTATGTCCCCCTAAGAGCATAAATCTTAACCATGATGTATGAGTACTTTTGCATGGTATTCAGTGTGCAGAGCATGCAAGGTACCTAACGTCCTCAGTACGCCAAGATTACCCAGGTACTTCCAAATAACTAATACTGATCCAGTGCACCGCTGGCAAAGCAACAGCTGGGAATGAACAGTGGTTTTGTCTAGGTTTCAGCAAAGTGATTGTTCGCACTTGTTGACACTGTTGCTGCCACATGAATTCTGAATCACACACTGAGGGGAAATATCTTGGGGAAAGCCTGTGTTCAGCCAAAGCAAAGCCGGTTTTTGGCTGCATAAAAGTGCAATTTGATGCTTTTGTTGTGGGGGAAGCAAGGGAATGGTAGCATAACACGATTATTCAAGACCCAGAAACATCTGGATCTGGCAAGTTTGTAGAGTTCCCTACAGAGTTGCAAGACTATATCTTACCATCCCTGATGGAAAGTACCGGTGGCAAATTCTAATTTGATTCAGAAATCGTGGCAAATAAAATTGGCCTTTTTTTCTTTTCTTTTTTAAATGATAGTTTTATTACATATGCTAATGTGCCTTACTTGTACTAATTATATGGATCTGAATGGTTTTGTAAAGAGAATCGTATCAAAAATATTTATGTGTGGTTTGATGACTTTTTTGTGAGAAAATTGACCAGCAGAATGCCTGTAATTAGCTTATTGCCAATAGTGTGCTGTTTGACATGATTCAAATATGTATATCTTTTGTTGGAATGGTTCATAGGATTTTTTTAAAACAAATCTTCACACTATCCAAGGGAGATTGTTATTTGGTTTTTGTCTGTGTGTGTTTTTAAAAGGGGGGTGGGGGGGTTGGAATCTGTGTTGTTAATGTAAAATACTCATTGTAAGGAAATCCTGTGCCCCGTCTAATCTAAACACCACTTGAGCCTTGGAATGCTGCAATGGATGGAATAATCATCATTAACTTAGCTATGGAAATTAAAGTAACTCGTCAAAGATGTATTGTGTGTTTACAATATTAGTCAGCTTCCAGGCCATTTGATAAAGCTTGGTACGTTATCTTAAATTGCTATGTTGCACAAAAAAAAAAGCAAAGCAATCTTTGTTAGATTCATTTTTCACCATACTTCTGGGGCAGTTCATGTAGTACTGCCATCAAAACGCTCATTATCTTTTTGGTGTTGCTCTGGTGTTTTCTGTCCTGTGACACCTTAAACCTGCTTGGCTCCTAACACAGTAACAGACTTTCAGTTTGCTACCTCTCTCCCTGTACTGGAGTTATCCAAATTTGTTGCCTTCATGTTTATCGTCAGATGTATCGGTAAGTCTCTTCCTGATTTCTTTGGAGCAAGTCACTAGCAATGTGATTCTCATGGCTACCGCGGAAGTCAGCCGTGAATTCCGATAGAAGTTAAAAAAAGGGAGGCAGTAACAGGGTGTCACTTTTCGTATCTTTCCTTTTATGTTAAACATTTGCTTTCATCTGTATGCGCTTCCTCAGCACACCTGGAATGTAAGGAACTCTGAATAGTTTGAATCAGTTTTACCTAAGAATTCTGTGTCAAATTATGCCTCTATACTTGCCTTCTGTCTGATCAGCAAAGGTATCCAAACTTGCTAATCTGTTTTATCTTGTCATTATTTGTAAATCCTGTGAATTGTAAATCAAATACAATCTTTTTTCCACAAAGTGTAATATCTGAATTGTCTAAGTATGTTCTTCAGACATTTTAAGACTGAACTGAGTGGACCTGGCAGTACAGTGTATCGTGGGTTTGGTTTTTTCCAGAAGTCTTCCCCTTTTGTTTAAAAGTTAAAGGGTAGCTATATGTTTATTCTACTTGGGTCCAGTTATCATATTGCTGTGCACTGTTACCTATTTTGAGAACATCAGTTCCTTTAAAAAAGTAGAATAAAATTGTAAAGAAATAAGTAAACTTAGGGGACTGCCCAAGATAGGTAACATCTGGCCAACTCTTTGCTTTACAAATGAATAAGAGTGATTTCCCAAACAGTCACCACCATCATTTTGTCTATTTGCCACTACTCCACAATCGTGCTCAAAGCGGTTCACAGCATATCAAATGAACCATAATAAATGCAACAATTAAAAAAAAAAGAGTAGTAATGACAGATAATCAGAATGTCAATAAATAAATAAACCCATATAAAAACAATGCAAATACAGTGGTACCTTGGGTTAAGTACTTAATTCGTTCCGGAGGTCCGTTCTTAACCTGAAACTGTTCTTAACCTGAAGCACCACTTTAGCTAATGGGGCCTCCTGCTGCTGCCGCGCCGCCGGAGCACGATTTCTGTTCTCATCCTGAATCAAAGTTCTTAACCCGAGGTACCATTTCTGGGTTAGTGGAGTCTGTAACCTGAAGCATATGTAACCCAAGGTACCACTGTAAGCTAACCTGCCTTAACAGCTTAAAAATAAACAGGAGAGAGAACAATAGCCAAACGAGAAAATAAAATGGCAACATACAACATTTGGGGATTGTCACTACAGTTGTACCTTGGAAGTCGAACGGAATCTGTTCCGGAAGTCTGTTTGACTTCCAAAACATTCAGAAACCAAGGTGCGGCTTCTGGTTGGCTGCAGGAAGCTCCTGTAGCCAATCAGAAACTGCGGAAGGCCCGTCGGATGTTCGGGTTCCAAAGAACATTCGCAGACCCCAACACTCACTTCCAGGTTTACAGCATTCGGGAGCCAAAACGTCCAAGTACCAAGGCATTCGGGATCCAAGGTACGACTGTATTCCCAAAGGAAGCTCATCACAATTAACTTTCCTATGGTGGCCTGATCTCCCAGCTTTCACCAGGGTCTCCTATCTCAATCACTTCCCAATCTCTTGCCTGGGGAGGTCAAAATAGCTAGTCCTCCTTCAAGCTCCACATACCCTCACAGTTCAGAAGCTGCAGAAGATCTGAATAGATTAGAATGGAACCCCTTTCTTATACACAAATCATTGCTGCTCCACAGAGAAAAACAGTGTATTTATTGATTGCAAGCCCCCTTTGCAATAATAGCAGGCGACCAGTGAAGGACAAACAGCCTGGCAGAAGCAAGCAACGGCCCGATCATGCTCAAGCACATCCCAGAAGTAACATGAATCTTATAATCCTGATGCTCCTTATGTGTACATTAGACTAGGGTTACCAGATGTCCCTGTTTCCCGGGGACAGTCCCCGGACAAATTCCATCCCTGGAATGTCCCTGGATTTCATCTAATGTCCCCAGGAAACACAGCAGCCTGGAGCAGTTGGCTCTGGCTGGCTTCAGGAGCTTCTCTGAAGTCCCCATATGATGGTGGTGCAGAGGCTCTAAGATGCAGCTTCTGGGATGCCACCTCCTTCCCTAACCCCACAGCAAAGCTGTGAAGGGAGGCTTCATGCTGCCTATCAGAGCTTGTGTGCAAGCAGGAGGGCGCAGGGATCTCTGAGTTAGGCAACGGGAAGCCTCCCTTCCCAGCTGAGGGATCCCTGCCCCCTCCTGCTTGCACACAAGTAGTAATTGGGATGGAGCTGTTCCGAAAAGCAGTGTGAAGCCTCGCTTGCCAGCTAAGGGATCCCCGCCCCCTGCTGCTTGCACACAAGTAGGAATGGAATTGGGGCTGCTGCAATGGGAAGGGAGGCATCGGGCTGCCCAAGCCTCACCGCTGCCTCCGCTCTTGGTCCTCCTTCTCCGCCTTCAATGCCTGACCCACCGCACACTGCTTCCCCACCACCACCACTGAAGAACCAAAAACTCAGAGGCTGCCCAGGGCTCATGGAGAAAGGAGATAGAAGCCTCGGAGGAAGGGGGAACGTGGCAATTGAGGTCAAGGCAGGTGCCACCCCTCTGCCATTGCTGAAGCATCAACTTCCCGAATGGGCAGTAATTAATTAATTGATTAAAGTGTCCCCAGATTCATTGAAAAAAATCTGGTAACCTTACATTAGATCCTGAAAACCAGTTACCGGTAACTGATGCAGCCATGAGATTAGCATGGGGGCGGGGAGAGAGAGAGCTCAGCATCACAGAGGTAGCAACAAGAAAGGATCCCGAAAGTCCAGTAGAAAGGAGAATCCTTCTTAGTCTGTCTGAAATCCCAGTTCTAGATTTGGGGCTTTAGTACAAATAGCTGAAAATTCATATTAGGACCCTGCCTATATTAGGCCAGCTGAAATGCCCCCAAATAGTGTGCAAGCTTTTGAGTTCTTTAGAACTCTTAAATCAGATAGTAAAGGTAAAAAAGGGGCCACTGGATGGTTAAGTCCGGTCAAAGGCGACTATGGG